AAGAGAGAAACATCTATCAGGTGCTTTATGCCTGGGGATTGATCCTGCAACCCAGGCATATGCCCTGACCAAGAATCAAACCAGAACTTCTCAGTCCATGGGACAATGCTCAATCCACTGAGCCACACTGGCTGGGCTCACCTCCCATTCTTTGCTAAACAGGCCAAACTCTAAGGAAAGATATGTGGATGAAAAAAATAAATATTTATTTATTTGTTATTATTTTTTTGTTAATCCTTACCTGAGGATATTTTTTCCATTGGTTTTTAGAGAGAGTGGAAGGGAGGCAGGGTGGGGTGGGGAGAGATGGAGAGACAGAGAGAGAGGGATAGAGAAACATCGATGTGAGAAAGCCATTGATTGGTTGCCTCCCACACACAAGGTTTAAACCTGCATCTCAGATACGTGCCCTTGACCAGGAACCCATGACCCTTTGGTGTGTGGGCCAATGCTCTAACCACTGAGCATATTGGCCAGGGCTTAAATTTTTTTTAAAAGTAAACATAGTTGGCATTGTAACTCAACCAGGCTTTTGACAGAATGGTACATTTATTATTAACTTTGAAAGTTCTGTTTTTGTTCAGAGGATCAATATGTACACTTATTACACTGTTTAAAAGTTATATTTTGTCTTAAATTTATGCTAATCATAGTTTTTGTTTTTTAAAGAGACATTCCAGCAACATTGAAAAGGGAAAGAATCAGGAGTCCCAGAACTTAGAGTTGATAAGGGCTCATGAGAGGCCCTGCATTGGGATGGGTCCTCCAGTAGACGCCTTTTGGAAACCTCTTGCACTGGGGGAAGGTAGACTAGAACATCTCTAGCCAGAGAAAGGACCAGGATTAGCTTATTCTTTTTTTTTTTTTTTTTTTATCTTCACCCGAGGACATTTTTGCATTTATCAGACAGAGTGGGAGGGAAAAAGGGAAGAAGAGAGAGAGACAGAGAAACATCAATGTGAGAGAGACACATTGACTGGCTGCCACCCACATGACCCCAACCGAGGCAGGAACAAACTGCAACCAAGATATGTGCCCTTAGTGGTAACCAAACCCAGGTCTCTCTGGTCCGCGGGCTGGCGCTCTAACCACTGAGAAAACTGGCCAGGGCAGGATCAGCTTATTCTGACAGCAGATGGGAAGAAAGGGTCTGTCTTGAGAAATCTAAACCAAATCGATATCTCAAATATCTTTAGAGTCTAAATCTATAATACTACTTGCATTGTGGAGCAGTTCAAGTCAAGAAATTAACATGAAATTAATCTGTCCAAGTATGTATGTATGTATGTATGTATCTGTCTCCCTTCCTCCTTGGGGTACTTGGAAGAAGCAAGCAGGAATCCACACAAAGGGGTCACTTTTACCAATCAGGCCAAAGGAATTCCCACAGTGGAATAAAAAAAAAAAAAATCTGATAACTGCATTCGTATCAATCAATCAATTCATAACGCACATTGGAACACTCAGGTACATTGAAGAGTTCTCATCACTACAAATGAGAGGAATTACTACACTAAGAAAGTGAGATAATGAAGCAGTCAGGAAGACACTATACAATAATATGTTTTAAAAGATTAGTGATATAAAAGAAGGATTTGAAATCACAAAGAAAGAATAAACTACTTTGAGAAAAAAGGGAAGATTTGCAAAGAATTATATGAAATTTCAATAAGTAAAAAACTAGTCATTGAAATTCATATTACTATGGCCAGGTTAAGCAGCAAACTTGGCACAGCTTGAGGCTAGAGTATGTGATGGAGAAAATTACCCATAAGCCAACACAGAGCATAAAGAGATGGAGAATAGGAAAGAGTTCTTAAGAGACCCAGAGGCTTTACTGAGATGGTCTATCACAATTTTGATAAGAGTTATAGGAGGAGAGAATGGAGCAAAAATAAGGCTGGGAATTTTCCAGAATTGAGGGAAAATATGAATCCCCAGATTCAGGAATTAGAGATTTGAACAGGCTAAATAAACATAAATTATTGCATAACTACATTGTAGTTAAATAGTAAATCACCAAAGCCTGAAAGTAGAATCTCAGAGGCAACCAGAGAAGAAAGAACAGTTGTGCTGCCAACAGATTTCTCAACACCGAAAGCCAAAAGGCAATGCAAAAGCATCTTCATGGGACTGGGAGAAAAATAGTCAGCAACTTACACTTTGATAGCCAGCTAAACTGGACCATCATTCTAGAATGTGGTAAAATACTTACATTTTCACAGAAACATCATCCTAAAAATATATTACAGAAAAACTTAAATGTGAAGAGAAAAACTTTAAAACCTTTGCCAGAAAATATAAAAAATATTTTTGTGATCTCAGGGTGTGTGAAACTTTCTTAAACAAGCTTTAAGAGCAGAAGCCAAAACAGGAAAAGATTGATTAACTTGACTGCATTAAAACATTATCTTTTGTTCAACAAAAGATACCTCGTACAAAGTTTAAAGACATAAAATATCACAAGTATCTCAATACAAAGTAGGCAGTGGAGATGCAAAAGTAATTCACAGAAGGTAAGACCCATATGGCCAATGAGCACATGACAGATAGCTCAGTCTTGTTAGCAGTCAGGAAATACCTTTGAAACAATAATGATATCAATTTCACATCCATTATATTGGCAGAAATTAATGTCTATTAGCACCAAATATTGGAGAGAATTAGGGATAGTACAAATTCTTTTACCATGCTAGTGGGAATAAAAACTTCAATTCAGTTTGGAGAAAAATCAATTAGTATGTATTGATAATGAAAAGGAGCATATTCTGTGACTAGGTCAAGGAAAATATCCTAAAGAAGCTCACTCATTTGTGCGAGAAGACCTCACAGGGTGTTTATTACAACAATATGTATAATAGGAAATATTGGAAAAATGTTATTGTTCACAGTAGGCTGACGAATAAATAAGTCACATTAATGCAAAAAGCAGAACAGTACACAAAGCTATAAGGGCTGTACCAGGTTTATGTATGTCAACTTAAATAAAAACTCAAAACATGCTGCTGAGTGGTAAAATGACACATTATAAAATGATACGTGATTCCAATTTTATATGAATTAAAAATACATAAGACAATACACAAATACTAAGATGTGTATTAAAGTATGAACATGTATGTGTGGACTTTAGTGATTCTGGGGGAGAAGAGATGATAAACGGATGAGGATTGGGCTTTATATTATATTTTTAATATGGGTAATGAGTATCTGTTGTATTTCATTTAAGTATGTTTGAAATAGCTCATAATTTAAAATAAAATATTTCAAGTAAGCCCACAAAATCAAAATAAAATATAACCATGGGTGAGGAGCAAAGGATAACTGCTTATGAAAGAATCTTTCCAGGAGCCAATCACGATCTTGCCTCTGTGTTCCAACCTCTCTGGCATGAGCAAAGGAATGTTACCTTTTAAATTTGAAATGTTCGTTTGAGGGATTCTGTTGGGTTTTCTTCCAAGGTGGAAAGATGGTGTTTGGTGTTGGTAAACAAATGGTGTTTTGCAGTAATGTCACGTTTTTCAGGATGCTTTCTCTGACCACTAAGGGCAGATTACAAATGATGTGTTACAAATGTTGCTAGTTCTCATCACTCATCCATCAGGTAAGAGAGATCAAGGGCTGTGAATTCCTAGTAGATAATTAGTAGTAAGTAAAGTTTTCTGAGAGTCTAGACCTTTAGCTCTTTGCTCACATGTGCAGTACGGGGATTCTCTTAAGTGACAGTAACCATCAGGTGGCAAAGGGCAGAGTCCACCCCTTATACCGTGGCTTGTGGGGAAAAAGCCCCCGTCAGCGATGAAGCCTGTGGTGGGGCACCTCTCCTTTCCTCTCACAGTCTTCCCAGATCTTTCCCCCTGAGACGTCGCCCTCCGTAAACCACAGTGAATGGTTGAACTGGAGGAAATTTCCAAAATCATTTCAATCACTTGAAGCTGTTTTAAAGAAGTGACTTGTGCCAAGTGCCAACTACGTACTTCAAAACAAGTAACACTGGTCAGCTGAATTTTTTTTTTTTTTTAACCAGTTAGTAATGGTGAAGCTCCAAATGGTATCTGTTTTACTTAAATGAACTTTTCATTTTAGAATAGTTTCACACTGATAGAAATGTTGCGAAGATAGTACAGAAAGTTCCCATGTATCCCTTACCTAGGCCCCTATTGTTAACATATTACATTACTATCTGGACAGTATTTTTAAAACAATAAATGCATCTTTGTTTGGGGATGTGGACACATTTTATTCATAAACTAGCTACCTCAAAGATTTTACTGACATGAAAGTATATAGCAGAATTAAATGATATTTCATTTATAAAGTAACTGGAAAATAAAAACTAACACCTTCGGAAAATTGTGGAAATTTTTACAATTACTGTCATATGGTGCCGAGTACATGTAAGTGCTCCAGAAATATTGGTTGAAAGAATGAATAAATGAGTGCAGATGCTGTCTCTACCCTATTGAGAATCTCCAGTTCTTAGAGCCCTCAGAAAAGATTCATTTACTCTATACACAACCCGTTCTGCCTTACTCAGGCAGAAATTCTTACTAATTGATATAAGGCATAATTAATTCATTCTTAGTATCATGAAACCTTGGTGTTTCCTCTCTCTATCCACTTATTATTTTAAACTATCAACAGGTAACACTGAATGCCTATTATTTGCCCTGCCCTCCGCATCATTTTGAATACTAAGTATAAACTTTGGAACTTTTCCTTTTTCTATATCTGTTTTCTTTTTTTGACTACATAGATTATACCTCTGTGTATAATTGAGCATTGCTAGATCCTATACTATCTCAAAAAAAGTTTAATTTTTCTTGGGATACCAACATCGACATTAAATATTGCATAAAAATGGTCTTTGGTAGTGTTCAGATATACTTTTTTAAAAAAGTATTTGAACAGAAGAAAGTGCACTGCTTTCATCAAGAAAAATAAAAGTTATTTATTTGGAAGGTAGACTATTCAACAATTAATCTTTTTTATGTTTTCAGAATTCAGCAGTGAAAATGCTTTTGTCAAAACAACTTTCTCTTGATGTTCAAGAAAGCGTAAACAACACTGAAGATGAGCAGAGAGTCAATGAGCTGCAAAATCAACCTTTAGAATTAGATGTTATGTTAAGAAATGAACAATTAAAAGAGATAGAGGTACGGAAACAAGAAAAACAGCATGATTGCATCATTTATCCAGTGCAATACAATGTATTGTAATTACCAAAAACTTGCTTTCACAGAGTGAAAAGTCTCATTTAACCTTTGCTTGATGATCAGTTTGGTAACTATATAATTGTGTACTAATCAGTAAGTTGTATAAATCTTTCTATTTAAAAAGTGGAAAAGTTTAATGAACATTATTGTTCTTTCTGTTTCACAAAGTTCCTAAAAACTTACTGATTCAGTAACAAAATTTAGAGATTCTGACTTATCATTCCTTTCTTAGTCATAAGTATTTTTCTGATTCTGACAAATTCCATTCATTTTTCTAATTATCACAGTACAGGGTACCATTTCTTTGTTTTTACAGCTCTGTTTACATAGCTGTGTTTATGTACTTATAACCATGTAAACTTATCTAATAGGGCAGTGTATCACCATGTTTTTTAAAATGACTCCTATAATTTTAACTAAGCTTACATAATAGTAAACATGTATCTAAGACAGGAAAGGGGATAATGTATGTAAATAATAGAAATAAGATAAATCTTCCTTTCAACATTGTAGAACCTTTTAACACAATAGGCTGATCTAATTGCTATTAAATGCTAAACCAATGGTACCGAGTCCAGATTTTAATATAATTCAAGTGAAAAAACCTTTTCAATGTCAGGATTTAACTTTGTATGTAAATGAAATCTTTAAAATATCTTCTTGGGATTGAGTACGTTATTGGAAGGAAAGAGGATGGGAAAGAAAATTAATGAATGAAAATTGTATACTTACTGAAGTCTTTGACTTGTGTTTAGGAATTATATACACAATTGCAAGCAAAGAAAGCAGCCATCGAACCACTGGAACAAACTGAGTCTCTCAACAAAGCAGAAGCAAGTGCCTTGGCTCTCCACCGTGCAAGGGCGTCAGTGCAGTGCTTGGACCGTCTGCTTCAGTCACTTAGTACTTTGAAGAAAAAGAAAGCAAGCCAATACCGTGTCCTTGAAGATTTTCAGGAACACCTTGCTGCAGCTGCATCCTCGCTGAAAGCCTTGTTAACAGAAAAGGAAAGTCTAAAAGTGTAAGTGTAAGAATTTAGGACTTGCATTCATTTTATTTCAAACATGGGCTCTATTACCATGAACAGGCCCAGGGTTTTACGAATTGATGCTACAACGGATGTTATGATTTTAATACTACAGTATGGAACTTAATTCCATATGGAAGCCATTAAAGAAAGCTCTGTTGCTTTCATGCAAAAAAAATTTATATTAGTTATATTAATTATATAATTAAATTACATTAAGTTTGTAAGTTAATTTGTTAAGCGTCTAATTCATACAATAAATACCTGCAAAATATGTTAAAGTTCTGTGGCATACAGTATTCTTTTTGTCAAGAATTTATTCTAAACTATGGGATGAAAACATTTACGTATATAATTGTTTAGTATCAGCGTAATTGGTTTACATTGATTGGAACATATTTTATATATGTATTGTACTGGTTTCTTTTAAAACAGATGTACTCCTTTGGGCTTTGAAAATGACGGTGAATGGTTCTAGATATAGTTTTAGTGTGGAAACAATTTTTTCATTATTAGTATGTACTTTGTGCAAGTACTTTACAGGTTACAGAGTACTTTTACATACACTGTCTCCTTCACTCTTTTTAAAAAACTTTCTTCTCTATTATTTTTTTAGAGAGAGAGGAAGGGAGAGGGAGAGAGAGCGAGAAACATCGATGAGAGAGAACATCTACTGGCCGCCTCCAGCATGCCCCCCACTGGGGATTTGGCCCACAACCAGGGCATGTGCCCTGACCAGGAATCGAACTGGCGACCTCTTAGTGCATGGGTCAGTGCTCAACCATCTGAGCCACACCGGGCTGTCCCCTTCACTCTTTGCTCTTTTCCTGTGGTACTGATTTTTTATGATACTCATTTTATAGACGAGCTCTCTACCTTGTCACAAACTAATTGAAAGTCATAGTAAACAAGATTCTGATTTTATTTTAAGGACAGAGTGACTTATAGACAGTCTAAGCTTGTCTTTTGTGAATTCAAAACAATTTCTATTTGATAACGTCAAACCTCGAGTTGATATATAATAAATATTAACAAGCTCCATTTTTCTTTGTTTTCTAGGGGACCACTGGACAGTGCAACCTATGTGGTCAAAATTCAAAAATTACTGGCATCAATAGAAAAAGAGAAAAATTCTTTAAGCAAGATGAAAATTGAATGGGAAGATTTATCAAACTGTCTGAATGACATGGATAAGAAGTTATTGGAAAGCCAGGTCAAGCAACTTGAACAGGAGTGGAAACAAGTAGAACAAGTGGTTCAAAAGAAGTATTCTCAGCACATGATGGAACACGAGGAATTCACATACCTCATGAGTAATATCCAAGACCTGGCCATTTCTCTGCAGCAGCAGCAGCAGCAGCGTCTCCGGTTAAGGCTGGGCTCTCCGGAAGAACGGGAAGGGAACCAAGGCGTGGTTGCCTTGGCCACTGAACTCCAGGCTATTAAGCATAGATTTTCTGTTTTAAAGGGGCAGGCTGAACTTCAGATGAAGAGGATTTGGGGAGAAAGAGAAAAGAAGATTTTGGAAGATGCAATAAATAATTTGCAGAAACAGCTGGAAGCTTCGGAGCCATTAAACATAGAAGTGGAAAATGAGATCAAGAAATGTGAAATAAGGAACAAGGTGAAAGAGACTATGTTATGGGTGAAGAATCTGTTAGGTGAGCTCGTTCCTACCATTTCCCTTCTACCAGACCACATTCTTTCACAGATCAGAAAATGCAAAGTGATGCATGATGGCATCCTGGACAAGCAGCGGGCGGTAGAGTCACTGGTGGAAGAGGTCCCAGAGAATATTCCTAACCTGACCGCACACGAGCATGATGAATTAAATAACCTCCTTCGGGACTTACAAGATCAATGCCAAATGCTTGTTTTAAAATCAACTCAAAGATCACAGCTGTTAGAATTTAAATTGGAAGAAAGAAGCAAATTTGTTACAGAAATAGGGAAGGTTCAGCTTTCACTTCAAGGAAATGAAATACAGATAATTCCCAAAATGGAAGCAACCTCCACAGAAGCTGAACTGGAACATCAGTGTGTCACACTGACAACGTCTCAGAAGGAATTGCAAGAAATCGAGAGTGTAATCTCATCACATCTTCAGGAACTAACAAACAGCTGTAAAGATCTAAGTGTGTTCGAAAGATTATTTCTGGATAATCAGTTGAAAAATCTGAAGACTAGAGCCAATAGAACACAAAGATTCATTCAGAATAAATGTAATGAAGTAGAACACAAGATAAAAATGTCCAGAGAATTTCATGAGCAAACATCTTTGCTTCAGAAGGAGCTCGATAATATACAACACAATGAACTGCTACTAAGTCAAGAAATAAATCAGGATGTTAAAGAGGTGTCTCATAGTCTTCATGAGCGACTCAGTGGTGTTCAGTCTAGCATCCGACAGGTATTGAAACTCAAAGAAGTGTTTGACTATCTGGGACTCAGCTGGGATTGTTCCCAACTTGACATGTTACAGTCTCAAGTATTTGAAAAAGAAAAAGAACTTGAAGAAAAAATTAAGCACTTGGACACATTTATGGCAGAATATGGCAAATATCAAGCATCACTAAGTAAATTGAGGGCGATGGATTTGCAAATTAAGAAAAGGGCCGAACCAGTACTAAAAAGCCCTGATATTTCACCAGAGAGCCGTCTGCTCAATGCTCAAATTTTGAATCAGAAACTCGAGAAAGCCATGTGCTTATATCATGAGATAATAAAGAAATTAAATGAAAATACGGCCTTTGATGACTCCTTCAAAGAGAAAGAAATACTGCAAATAAAACTGTATGCAGAAAAAAATGATAAGTTACATAAGGTTCTCCAAAATATACTGCTAGAATCCCAACCAAAAGAGATGGATGAAAAGAGTTTTCAGGACAAACTGGAAAATTCCTTACATGTTTTAAACCAAATAAAATCTCAGTTACAGCAGCCTTTCCTTGTCAATTTGAAAATTGAACATATTCAAAATGAAATGGATACTTGTGAAGCGTTTCAAGAACAAGTTCAGGCAGAAATGTGTAGCATTAAAGCTGTAACTGTTATTGAGAAGCAAAAAGAGGAAATCTCTTCTGAAGCTAGTGATTTGGAGACAAAATTACGTGACATTGAAGAGTTTCACATTCAGCTTAATGCAAGTATTGATTTGCGTGCAGTAAGTTTTTTTTTTTTTTTTAAATTAGGTGGTTGATGCATCTATTTTTGTTTCATGATTTTATGTTTAGCTCTAGTTAATATCAGCACTTCTCAAAATAGTACAGGTTTTACAGGGAAATTCTCCATAGGAAAATAGCCGTTTGAACAAATTGCTAAGAGCCAGTTTATAATCCCGATTCATTCTACATCTAAATACAATGCCCTATCATTTGGAAAAACCAAGTTTGACACCTTTATTTCTGTATCCCTAATAACCTCTGTTACACAAAGCAAAGCTCTGTTGTTTTTGTTAAAGGATATGTTTTTTGAGGACCTGAGGATATTTTTTTATTGATTTTTTTAAAAGATAGAATGGAAGGGAGGGAGGGAAAGAGAGAAAAAAAATCAATATGAGAGGGACACATCCATTGGTTGCCTCTCCTATGACCCTTACCAGGGCCAGGGATCAAACCTGCAGCCCAGGTACATGACCTTGACTGGGAATGGCCCCTCAGTCCTTGGACTGACTTCTAACCACTGAGTCAAACTAGCCAGGGTGAACAAAATTTTTTGTTTGTGTTCTAGAGCTAATAGGGCACAGTGGGAGAAATATAGTGTAGAGAAAAGAACACAAAATAATATTTACTTAGAACTTATTATGTACTAAACATTTTACCTTTAATCATCATAGCAACTCTGTGAAGTGGATGTTATTATTAGCCCCATTTTAAAATCGGGAAATTAAAGTTCAGAAACAACCATTTTCTCAGGGCCTTGCCACAGTAACAAAACCAGGATTCAAGTTGAGATATGATTTTAGAGCGTGGGTCATCAAGTTAAGGCCCAGGGGCCAAATCAGCCCATAGCGCCTGATATTGTAAATCAAGTTTTATTGGCACGCTACAGCCCTGCCCCATTCCCTTACGGATTGTCTGTGGCTGCTTTTGTGCTACAACAAAAGGACTGAATAGTTGTGATAGTCCAGATGGCCTGCAAAGCCTCAAATACTTCGTCTGACCCTTTATAGGAAAAATTTGCTGGCTTCTGTTACAGAGTGACTCCTACATACTCTCTCCTTTCCTGCATTAATAGGGTAGATATCTTGGGTATCATTGGAACACACTGTGCTAATATAATGCTTTTTACTGTTTTCAGAATTGTCACATTAAATTTACAGAATGCAGAACTGAGCTCCCTTTTTTAATTCAGTGAATTATTAGATAATATATTTGCATGCTTTGATAGATACAAATTCTTTAAAAATTTAAAGTCATATTATAAACCCTAACATGCTCTTTAAATTGGAACTTACCAAATGTAGAGCAAATTGAGTACTTTCCTACTTAATTTATTTATTGAGGTATAATTGACATATAATATTCCTTTGGTGTGTACACATATTAATTCTGTATTTGTACGTATTGTGAAATGATCATCATTAATAAGTCTAGTTAACATCTGTCACCATACTGAGTTACAAAATATTTGTCTTGTGATGAGAAATTTTAAGATCTATTCTCTTGGCAACTTCAAATATGTAATACAGTACAATGCACTATAGTTGCCATGCTATAATATCCCCAAGACTTAACTTATTTTGTAACTGGAAGTTTGTAGCGTTTGACCCCTGCTTTCCTCATTTCAGCTCCACTCCCATCTCTGCCTCTGACAACCAGAAATCTGTTCTCTGCATCCTTCTCTACTTGATTTTAATACACTTTCCAGAAGCAATGTACATATGTATGATTATGATTATACTGTATGATTAGAGCTGGACTGGAAGGGACCTTTAAAGTTATTTACTTCATGCCCTGGCCAGTTTGGCTCAGTGGTTGGAGTGTCCATCTGCAGACCAGAGAGTCCCGGGTTCGGTTCCCGCTAGGGGCATGTACCAAAAAAATAAAATAAATAAAGTTATTTACTTCAACTATTTGTTATTTCAGGGAGAAGACATTAAGTGATGTGCTCAAAACTAGTTTGTTGGCATAACCATTAATTTAAAAACATAAGAGGTCTGGGGTTTTTGTTTATTTTTTTTTCATCTTTTTTTCACAAGTATTAATTAAGGTTCTTATACATTAAGTACGTTCCATTGTTTAACTTATGTCTCATATAAGAGTTCTAGAGCAAGAACATATATCATTAGACATGATTCATAAAATTTATTTTTGTATTTAGATTAGATTTCCTTAGCACATCTGGCAGCAATTTTTCTTTATGTAAACATTTTTAAACAACTAGTTCAACTGAAAGTATGAGATGCTTATGAGTTATATATTATGAATATATATATATATAGTGTTGTATATTATGAATACAACACAAAAATTCAAGAATGACAAAAATCCCAGAAGTTTGACAGTTTTGTTACAGCATTTCATCCCCTTTTTGCCAGAATATCTTGAATGATGCTTATGAAAACTTGACATGCTACGGTGAGGCAGTCACCAGGGCAATGGGGATTATCACCGCCCTCGAAGCCATCATTGCATCCCGTAGAGTAGACCTGGATCATCCAGGAGAATCACTGGCGATGCCTCACTGCAAACTGGAGGAATTAGAATCCACAATAGCAGACATCCAGGACCTCACCGAGAAACTGGGGACTGTGTCCAGCCCTGAAGCCAAGCTACAACTTCAATGTGCTTTACAGGACTTAGTTTCTAAGAACTCAGCCCTGAGCGCGGCGGTCAAAGTAAAGCAAGCAGAAATAGAAAGGTAGGTACTTCTTTCGAAAGGTAATTCTTTAAGAACATAAAATATAGGTTTCTTTACAATTAACATGTACATATTAGAAATAATTTAGACAATAGGGAAAAGTTATAAAAACACTATCTAAAGGAAACCATAACAAATATTTTATTGTATTTGTTTATTTACTATTGAGTGCATGCAATAGAATGTTTGTAAAAGTCTACATACAGTCAAGTAATTTTTTCCCCCCTAACTCACTAGGTGTCTCGAGAATTACAAATGCTATGAAAAAGTTAAAAAGAAAATTGGCACTAATCTCAACCAAATGGAAACAGTTCTTGTGAAGTCCATGTCCCCATTGCCAGTGTCTTACAAAGAAGCTTTAGAACGCTTGGAACAGAGCAAGGTAATAGTACTTGCAAATCTCCGGTAAGGCCGGTGTAAGAAATGTCAGAAAGCTGGTGGGGGCAGCAGGGAATGTGGCTGGGTCTGTTATGATCCACAGACGTCTTCAATCTGACTTGTACGCTCAAAATTCTCCCAACCAAAAGCCAAGGAGAAAAATGAAGCAATGGTTCTGAGAGATGTAATTAATAGTTGGGTTCAGAGGATAGTCATCTCCCTACTAGCATACTGTTCTTATTGATCACTCTTTCATAAGCTTTACCTTTCATATTCTTTTTCTGGACATTATTGGATTGATGACATAAAATTTAATGCAGCTGTTATTAGTGCTAAATTCTGGTTACTTCTTATACTCAATTACCAAGCAGTTTTAGTTTTTTCTTATTTTTATCTGTTAAAATCTATGGCATTATGTTATTTGGATTTGGATGAGAACATTCTGAATTATCTGTGCTTAACATCCACCCCCCCAAAAAAAACACAAAAACAAAAAAAATGAAATAAAGCCTTGGTGGTTGATACAGTACATATAATGCAAATTAACTAGTAATATATGACACGATGTAATAACAAAATGAACTTTTAGGATATTTACCTTTGAAAACACATTTTTTCTTGGAAAAAATTGGTTTGTGGGTCATTATTTGTCCCCATCGTTTCAAATTCACGCGCAATACAATAATACATAGGTAATTCTCATCTGTCTCCAATGGGCTTTCAAAAGGACTGAAAAATAGGTCATGAAATATTTGTGGGTGATATAAAATCATTTATTGTTCAAGATTTTTAAAAGTGTATAACTTTCAGACATTCTATTCCTCCTATCTCTCTTCTTTCTTAAGGCCCTGGTGTCAAGTCTTACATCAGCTAAAGAAGAGTTCATGAAACTACGACGGGTCCTCAGACGCCTGAGACCCGCAGTCACAGAGAATGACGGCCTGGGTTTGCTCCGAGCCCTGTTGGCTCTGTGGGAGAAATGGCTGCGTCTGCTGGAGGCTGCGAAGGAATGGGAGATGTGGTGTGAAGAGCTGAAGCAGGAGTGGAAATTTGTCAGTGAAGAGGTGAGTGCTTCATTTTCAACAGTCAGACCATACACTTTTCCTAACAAGCATCTTTAAATTGTTTTATTACTTTCATTTTGCTTTTATATACAACAGGTCTTCAACCTCCATCATTTGTTTATATCACATATGTGTAACACATAAATGTTTATAGGGGTCACGTACAAGTAAAATAACCTCCAAGAAATGATTCAAATTGTTTTATAATGGTGGGATATTTTTTTGGTATCAGACAATTCTTAGTGACAAGTGACTACTTGTTCATTTGAGCTTTAAAATGTTTATTGTACAGCAAAAGTCATACATAGTTCTAAACTCTTTACATGTATAATAATTTATCCTCACCAGAATCCTATGAGATAGATATTTTTATAATCCTCATTTTATTTAGAGGAATGTGAGACAGTGAAATTGAGTAACTTGCCCAAGTTCATAAGTAAGTAATAGAAGCAAATTCAAATTTATACTCTGGGGTTTAATTGCTAAACTATCAACTTAAATGACATTTACACACCAAGTTGATGTAAGATTTAAAAATAGCTTTTATCCATTTAGTAAAAACTGTATCATCTAGCCCTAGAGGTGTGGCTCAGATGGTTGAGCATTGTTCCATGCACCAAGAGGTCCCTGGTTCAATTCCGGTCAGGGCACATGCCCAGGTTGCAGGCTCAATCCCCAGTGGGGGGCATGCAGAAGGCAGCCAATGGATGTTTCTCTTTTATCAATGTTACTCTCTCCCTCTTCCTTCCTCTCTCTCTAAAATCAATAAAAACATATTAAAAACAAAAATTATATCATTTAAAGAGCTATACATACAAGATCCTGTTAACATATTTGTACGTTTATATGTGACAAAATGAATTTTTGTCTTTAAAATGTCAATAGTTTTCCCTGGCCAGTGTGGCTCAGTTGGTTGGAGTGTCGTCCCATACACCACAAGGTGTCAGGTTTGATTCCCTGTCTGGGCACATACCCAGGTTTCTGGTTCAATCCCAGTTGAGCATGTGTGGGAGGCAACCAATAGATGTTTCTCTCTCTCTCGCTCTTGCTCTCGCTCTCGCTCTCTTTCCCTCCCTTCCTCTCTCTAAGATCAATACAAATAAATAAAATTAAATGTCTGTATTTATACAATAATTCAGTGTCTTTATGGAATAAATGTTTCGCCTAAGTAGACTTTTAAGAACAACTTCTGTTTACATTTACAAATTAAACATCAATTTAAAGCTTGATTCATTTTCCCTCATAAAATCTTACCATATGTTTTCTTAAACAGAACTTGCTTGATTTAATTATTCATTTCTGGTTGTTCAGAATCATCATTTTGTGCTTCAGTGATCATATTGCTAGAATAAAGTCATATCTTCAAAGATAATGGGAGGCATAAAGCTGGCTCTTTCCCCCTTACATCGGAAGTCCAAAAGGCATTTTCTGTATTAGTTTCTCTTTCTTCCGGTTACAAGATGTTCAGTCTCCTTCACTGGGCTTACTTATGGTTCAACTATAGTTTTTTCTCCCTTTCTAGATTCTACTTTATAATTGACTGTGAACCTAAAATTTTATAACCAATTTTGTTAGAATTATGTGTCCAAGGAAAATTATCCAGGGGCTGCAAAGCCTCTTGTAGGTAAAAGATTAGATGCATAATCTTTGCAGCAACTGTTTTCCTGATTTGGACTATATTCACTCTTTCTGGTGTAAAGTTTGTTGACAAATTTTTTTATTGATTTTTTACGGAGAGAGAAAGGGGGAGAGAGAGGTGGAACATCAATGTGAAAGAGAAACACTGATCGGCTGCCTCCTGCACGGCCCCTACTGGAGATCGAGCCCACAACCCGGGCAAGTGCCCTGACTGAGAATTGAACGGGGACCTCTCAGTCCATGGGATGATGCTCAATGCACTGAGCCACACAGGCCAGGCAAGTTTGTTGAATTTCGACAAGCGCATACGGTCATATGACCACTAACAAAATCAAGATTTAGAACATTTTCATCACCCCAAAAAGTCTCTTTGTGCCCCATCATAGGCATCTCCTTCCATCACCTCTAGCCTGTGGCAACCATGAATCTGTTTTTACATTTCCAGAATGCCACATGAGTGGACTTGGATAATTGTTGGTCTTTTGAGTCTGGCCTCTTTTCACCAAACATGATTCGTGCAAGATTCATTCATGTTGCTGCTTGTATCAGTAGTTCATTTCTTTTTATTCCTGGATAATATTCTACTGGGCACATGTATGATAGTTTGTTTATCCATTCCCAAGTTGGAGAATTGCCTGGCTTTTGAGTAAAATTATTGTCCTAATAAAAAGTGTTCTTTCCTCCCTGGCCAGTTTGGCTCAGCAGTTAGAGCATCAGCCAGAGGACCAAAGAGTCACATGTTTGATTCCAGAGAAGGGCACGTACCTCAGTTGCGGTTCATTCCTGGCCCTGGTCAGGGTCGTGCGGGAGGCAACCGTTTGATGTCTCTCTCTCTCTCTCTCTCTCAATCTCTCCCCCCCCCTTTCTTCCTCCCTCCCACTTTATCTGAAGATGAATAGAAAAATATCCTTGAATGAGGATTTTAAAAAAAATTATTTTTCCCCCTTGTATTCCTCTCCTTAATCATTTACCAACTCACAGCAGACAGCCGAGCCTAAGACAGGGACTTGCAGGCAGGTGGCTTATTTTGGAAAGTGATCCTAGGGAATAGGAGTGGGGGGCTAGGAGAGCTGAAACAGGAAAGGTCAGAGCTTCGAATTGCTTTACTCTTATTGGGTCCTGGTTGCTGCAGTTGCCCATTTGTGGTTCTCACCAGGCACAGAAGCACCAAGAGATGCTCCGTTAAGCCCTGGTTTATAGACATAGTTCTTTCAACCTGGATGCATATTGGAATCCCTAGATGTACAATTACCTCTGCCAACAGAACTGTTCCTTTCTTTGCATTCTGGTTCTTTGTCAGAGAGGCTGCAAAACAACCCCATGGAACCTTTTTCTCAGTCCCTGGTGGAAATACAGCTGGCTGCATGAGAACCAGGACTTCTGTACAACTGAATTTATGTTTGAGGGGACAGAAAGCACAAATACCGTAACAGGTCCTCTTGGAAAGGGGCCAGTCTACACCTGCACCCATGTATTCTAGCAGCTGGGACTTAACTGGATTACATGCCTCAAGTGGCAGGGTAGCTTACAGCCCAGCCCCAGGACAATGTCTTCTTTTTTCCAGACCCCCTCAACACTGGCAGCATTCTGATGAATGGATCTGAGCAATATCCAAATGTAGCATATACTGCCTCCAAAATCCCATAGTGCAGTGCCTCTGAACAACTTGATCTTTATTTTATAGAGGTTTTGCCATGCCCCTCACCATTGGACCCCTCAGAACTTAACTGATGCTGGAATTCCTAAATTTTCATAGGTTTTATTTCCTAAACCCTAGCATCCAGGTCCCTGTTCATCACTTGCGTTAGCATGATATCATAAATGTAGTTGACCAGTATGATGCCCAATAATGTCAAGATTGCAAGATGCCTGGCTCGAAACATAGAGGAGGGTCCACAGCACTAGGGCAGACGTGATAAATGGGCGGTGCAGCTGAGGGGAGAGCCAGAGGTTTGAGGAGACGCAGAAGCAGGATCTGCTTGTCTGCCCTCATTCTGAGTTCAGGGCTGATAGAACTCTAATTTCCATTTTTGTGATGGATTAGGAAACACATCTCTGGGTTCTGCACATAGCTGTTGGAAAGTACATGATTAGCATTTCAGTAATGCGGGCTGCTTTTTCTTTGGTGGTAGGGTAATGAGGACATAGTGGGCTTACTTTTTTGAGCATAGAGGGATCAGATGTGAAAGAAAAGGAACTGTAAAAAGTATCCAGTGGTTGCCCAACCTCATAGTTAGTGGGTGCAGTTTGCTGGAGCTCATTCTAACTACCTCATGGGTGTCTCAGGAGAAGAGATTGCTTTATGCAATTGAAGTCTGAAGGGGAAATTATTTATGAAAATACTCAACATTGTTTCCTTCAGCTCACAACAGCAGTAGTACTTCATTTTAGTCACACATCTACATGGCCCATAGCTGGGAACTATGGGATTCCGGTAGTGGAGGTATAATATTCCGCACTGTAAAAAGACAAATGTTATTTCAAAGTGGAATATGGCATCAGGAGCTGGTGTACAGACATTGTGGTTGCCAAGGTACGTTTCCAGTTCCGAAATGGTAAGATTGTATTTTACTTATTTCAGTTCTCCCTTCGTGTTTGTTGAATTAGGTTGAACGAGAAGCAATTATTTTAGATAATCTTCAAGAAGAGCTCCCTGAAGTTCCCAAAACAAAAGAGGCAGCTACCACGGCGGAGCTCTCTGAGCTGCTAGACGGTCTGAGCCAGTACGAAGAGAATGTGGAGAAGCAGCAGCTGTTCCTGACCCTGCTCCTTCAGCGCATAAGAGACATCCAGAGAGTTCCCGAGGGCTTGGGCGCTGCCGGCACTGTCCCTGCATTTCAAGAGATCACATCTATGCAAGAACGAAGCAATAAGTAAGATTTTATGAAAAACTGTTAAGGAAACATGTTTGACAGCTCAGGTTTAAAATTTAGAAAATGCTGAATTTCAAGAATATAAAATATAGGATAATGACAAATGAAATGATACAATTGAGTTGAGTCAACACCGATAGGTATAGAAAGAGATAGAAAAGATTAATAATGATCATTAAAACAAGCACTTGTTCTTCATCTTGGTATTACTGAGGACAAATACACTTCATTTTGTTTTTCTGTTTGCTGTTTTTCCAATTTAGTAATGCATATTTATTATAGGAAGTTTCGAGAATGTGGGACATTACAAAGATTGATATAAAACCCACCATTAACTTTACCACTCAGCATCGACCACTGCCAATCACTTCTTTTTCATCACTTTTAACTATGATTATATATATGTTTTATTGATATTTTTTTTACAGAGAAAGGAAGGGAGAGAGAGAAACATCAGTGTGAGAGAGAAACATCTGTTGGCTGCCTCCTATATGTCCCCTACTGGGGATGGAGCCTGTAACCTGGGCATGTGCCCTGACAGGGAATCGAACCAGGACTTCTCAAGCCCTTGGGATGATGCTCAATCCACTGAGCCATACTGGCTGGGCAACTATGATTGTATTTTTAAAGAAATTGCAAACTTAGTACTATACTATTTGGTATTCTGTTGAATTATTTATCAGCATATCATGTCTGTTGGTCTATGCATAAATGCTTTCTAAAACATAGCTGTATAATTTTTCATCTTGTCGATATGCCATAATTTATTTAACAAGGCCACTTATATAGAACCTTTAAGTTATATGTGATCTTTTTTTTTTTTTTACTTTTACACTTCAGTGAACATATTTATACTACAATCTGTCTGCATCTATAATGAATTCATTAAGAAAGATGCTGAGAGCCCAGCTGGTGTGGCTCACTGGTTGACCATTGACCCATGCACCAAGAGGTCGCCAGCTCACTTCCCGTTCAGGTCACATGCCCAGGTTGTAGGCCCGATCCCCAATGGGGGGCATGCAGGAGGCAGCCAATCAATGTTTCTCTCTCCCTTTCTCTCTCTGTTTCCTTTCCTCTCTCTCAAATCAATAAAGAAAAAATACTTTTAAAAAAAGATGCTGAGAAATAGTCATTGGGTCAAAGGATATAGTAAATTTACAGCTAGAGACACTTACCAAATAGCTCTCAGGAAAGATTTTACCACTTAAACTCCTCTACTGATACTGTGGCTACATTCACAACAAATGGAGTGGATAAGATAAAAAGGCTAGTGGGGCCCTGGCTGGTGTGCTTGATGGTTAGCGCATCAGCCTGCAAACCAAAGAGTCCCGGGTTCAATTCCCCATCAATGTTTCTCTCTCACATTGATGTTCCCGCCCCTTTCCATTCTATCTAAAAAAATCAATGGAAAAGTATCCTCTGGTGACGATTAACCAAAACCAAAAGGCTACTGGGGTTGTCTATCCTCCAGAACCTACCCATGTCTCCATTCACACCTCTAAGTCATGTTCAGGGGAACTCAAGGATTATATGAGGAAAAAAAGGTGGAGATGGCAAGTGTTACGTAAAGTGGGAAAAGAGGGTATTTTGGGATTAAAGTTTTAGAGAGGTTTTTGAGTGAGTGATAGAATTTGATATTTATTAGTATATATGCAGTATATAAATCATTGAAACTGGCACTTTTCTCTCAGAAAAAAATCTTTTGTGAGCTATACAAACATTGTGTTAGTTGTTGAAATACGATTATTTCACAGATGTGCAGGGTAGAGGAACAATTTATTTATTTATTTATATGTAAAATTATCTATATTGTTGAAAGTATTACAAATGTCCCCCCTTTATTTATTTTATTTTTTATTCTGATGTTATAATTTAGGCTTTTTCAGAAAGCTCAAAAAAATAAGGAATTGATGCAGAATGAAATCCAAGAGAGACAATCTTTCATAAAAGAACTAATTACATTGAAGAATTTATTTCAACAGACCATATCTTCTTTCCAAAATATGGAATTACAAGACTGCCCAGAAAAGGCAGAACAGTTTGAGGTAAGTCAGAAATGAACTTGTGAATGTAGCTGATACAGGTTTGTAGTCTTGCATCCAGAGTCCTTGGGACAAAGGTAACTCAGTGAGTAGAGTGGAGGGAGATGTCCAGAAGCAAGGAAAGCACGTGCTAAGGCCCTGTGGCATGGTGTGGGCAGAGCCACAGCAGAAGATCAGTGTGGATAGAAAGCAGAGAGCAGGGTTGAGTCCAGATTGGGAAGTAGGCTTGTCTGGACCAAGCAGCCCCTTTTAAACCATATTTGTAGTGTGTTCGGTGAGTAAGAGCCTCAGACCACTCTTGAGTAGCATGTTAGACAACTCACATTAGTAGGATGTAATAACTTCCCTCTGATAGAGTGGAACTGCTTTTACTTCCAACACTTCTGACAGCAAATGTGTGCCCCCCTCCCCAAACACACACATACACACCAACCTATTCTCCAAATTCCTGTACACCAACTGGGTGTCCTATAGTTTGATTCAATTCTGACACTAACTACCAGGAGTATGGACCCCACAGGTTAAGGGCTCAGTCCCACAAGACTGCCCCCACTTCACACACCAAATGGCATGTCCCAGGCCTCTGGTACTTCTGCCTGAGAGGCTGTATGTCAGGGGTTCTTATAGTCCCCTCCTCAAGTTCAATAATTTGTTAGAATGGCTCACAGAAGTTAGGCAAACACTTTATTTACTATTACCGATTGATTATAAAGGATACAGCTCGGGAACAGCCAAAGAGAAGAGATGCATAGGGCAAGGATGAGGAAAGGAGCTGGAGCCTCCATGCCCTCGCTGGATGTGCCCCTCTCCTAGCACCCCAAGGAGCTGGTTGTTTAAGGGATTTTTATGGTGGTTCTGTTATGTAGGAATGATTGATTAAATAATTGTTCATTGATGATGAACTTAGCCTCCGACCCCTCTCCCCTTCCTAGTGGATAGGAAGTAGAGCAGAAATTTTGTTCCAACTGTTACCAAACTAAAGGGGTTGATTCACCTGCACACACACAGCCCAATCAAACGTGGACGTGAGTTTGCAGCAAAGAAAGTAAAGGTTGATTAGTTAAGGGAATGGCGCCAGGTGAGCATTGCTCTGAGCCTGGCTCCCGGATGGCTTCTGGGAGGGGTTATATGGGGGGAAATCATCCATCATGGTGATTAAGGGAGTTAGGGTCCTGTTTGGGGTTGTGGTCTTATTGATTAGTCTGCAGTAGGGTAGGGGTAGTGGACCATTGCATCTGGTCCTGATGTCGGCCAGGGCATCACTTCCTCTGGTTTTGCATGGGTGTGGTCGGGGGAGAAGGTCCGCTTTTCTGGGTCTAGAGCTGAAACACAGCTGACCCCTAGGTGTTATCTTTAGTTTGTCTAACTGTCTCTGTGGTCAGAGACTCAAGGCTTTGTTCCTAAGATTATTTGATGCCGACAAGAACCTCAGTGTTGCCCTGGCCAGTTTGGCTCAGCGGCTGGAGCATCGGCCTGCAGACCAGAGAGTCCTGGGTTTGGTTCCCGCTAAGGACAGGTACCAAAAATAAAGAACCTCAGTGTCCTGCAGGCTTAATGACAAAGGAGAGGGAAGGGGATGAGTCAGGGTGCTCCTAGGCTGGACAAGACCAGTTTGAATCAAAAGGAAAGAAGAAAAACCGGTCAGATTAAAGAAATGACATTTCTGTGCCATGACAAGTGGTTGGTTCCTCTGAGAACCAGCCCCCATCCTGAAGCTGTCTAGGGACACCCCAAAAGTTATCTCATTTGCAGAAACTCAGGTTTTGGTTGAAAATAAATAACCAAAGATACTACTTTTACCACATTTAGGAAATGTCAAGAGTTTTAGAAGCTTTGCCAGAAACCAGGGATGAAAACCAAATGGATATATTATATCACAGTATCCCAGGGGCTGTGCACATGCCCTCGTGTCACTGGGAAACTCATTTTTCAGGGTCATCTCTTATTCTGGTCCAATGATAACAGGCAAAATGACTTTGGGAAGTTTCTTCAAAAGTCATATGCGGTTGTTAATCGGTTGGTTATCAATGTTGAAAAAGGAAACTTACTCTCCCTCCCAGACACAGTCTCCCTGGGGAAGCAACCTATGTGTGGCTCTGAATGAAGACCTGTGCTCCTGGACTCGGTCTAGAAAAACAGGATGACCTGTCCCTCAGACCCCACCTTGTCTGCCTGGCATTCTTCTTTCCCTTTCTCTAGATTAGTTCTCTGCGTGGTGGAGTCATTCATTCTTCAGGGCTGTGACTCCACCCATTAACAGGGATAGCGCTGCTCAACAGCTGCTCTAAAAACAAAACCAACCCCAAAAAGCCACAGCAAAGTCAAAAAGTATTTTTCCACTTGATCTTTGGGAAACTTTCCCAAACAAATGAGTTTCTCCTTTATAATTAGTGCAGGAGAACGTAGATCAGATTTTGTTTCTAGGCCACAGCCAATGGACTGTTTGTTCAGGTTTCTTTTATCTCCTGAAACCCACATTCTTTGCACGGAACTGGAACCCTCCTCTTTGAGAGAAGCTGAGCTCTGCTGGGCTGTCTAATTACATGAAAGCAGACACTTCTGCTTCAAGCATAAGAGCTTTTAGTGGCCTTGACTCATTGTGATGATAATGTAGGAAGAAGCAGAAATGGCAACAAGTTAATAACAACAAAAAAAACTTCTTTGAAACTTTTTGCTACTTGCAGCTTTTTAGATCAAGGATGCCACTGAGATACAGTTAAATCCCAGAGGTACTTTAGAAGCAGGAGATGTTGTAATGTCTTTTCAGAACAATGGTTTGACACTGTGAAGAGAGATCAAGTTTAATTCTTACAAATTAGAAAGCATCATCTGACCAAGAGGAGTATCTCTCAGGCTTAATCAACTTGTATCAATACTGAGGTTTTGTGATGCAAAACGTGCTCATTTAAATCATAAGGATGTGCGGGGAAAGCGGCTTTTATTTTTGGAGTTAAACTCTTCCCCCATCCTGTGAGTATTGAAACTCTCTTGATGTTTTTAGGAGCTTCAAAGCATTTTTAAGAAAGGGAAGCTAACTTTTGAGAATATTATGGAAAAGCTCCGAATCAAGTATTCTGAAATGTACACCATAGTTCCCGCAGAGATTGAATCCCAGGTGGAAGAATGCAGAAAAGCTTTGGAAGACGTAGAGGAGAAGGTAATAATGTTTGTACTAGTGTTATTATTTATGGAGTTGAATGAATACAAAGAAGAAAATATTTAATAATTATATTTCTATTTGCCTTGATTCCTGCTATAATTTCTCATAAAGTTTGGTTAAGTGGTAATTTTGTGTATTAAATACTAAGGTGAAATTGCTCTAAAAAGTGACATAAAAAACAGAATTAGGTAATCTGTTTATTTTTTTTTTAAGTGTCATGATGCTTAGTTTTTCTCTTGCATTTAAAAAATAGTTATGGATTATCTCTCATTTGACTTTTTAAAAAAGAAAATGACAGTCACTTTAAAATTTTGGACATTAATAATACTTTGTTTTAAAACAAATTTCCTGTGTACATTTTGAAACAGCAAAAAATACAAATTTCACAAGTCATTAGGAATAGCACTTAACACATGGTCTTTCTAATGATAGTGGTAGCACAATTCTCATAAGTCATTTCTAGGCACATCTTGATACCTGAAAGTCCAGGTTAGAGGGGTGGGCAATGTTTCATGGTGTAGGTATAGGAGTTTAGCAAGGCATTGTTATTGAATTGTAAAAAGACAGCCCAAATCCAACAGAACAAAATTCTGTTTGATTCAGCGTTCACGGAAGGATTTTTTGTATTGCTTTTTAAAGCCTAGAATACCTCTAACTTAGTAAATAAAATAGATATTAAATGCACACAAACTAAGATTTCAAATTTAGTTAACTTCTGTGCAGATTTCTTAGGAAAATCTAACCTATGTCAAAAGCATGTAAACTCCTAATATATACTTATAAGAAATCATGTTGATTTAGCACACTAAATATCTGTTATGAGGTACTTTCCCAGGAATCACGTACTATTGATTTTATTTTAAGAGAATACTAAATGGTTTGAGAGAAAACTAAATTTGTTCTTGTGAATACTTCATGTGAAAATCCCTAACGAAGTGAATTCATAATCAAAATTCGTCCTTTTGTTGTAGACCAATGAGACAGACCAGACTCAGACTCCGAACTGGGTTCAAATTAAGAGAGCTTTATTAGCCACACTGCGACTGTCCCATCCTATGCAGAGAGAGCAACCTCGAGTTCTGGGGGAGGGCTGCTTATATGCTTATATAGTTGTCTTAGCCCTAGTTAAGAAATTGGGCTAAAGGTTTGTGAGCAAGCAAGTAGGTACAGAAGCAGGTATCTGTGGTTAGCTGTTATGCCTGAGGGATGAATTAACTATACAATGGGTTAACTCTGGCTGATGTGTATCTTCTTCCTTTCTTAATGGAAAATTTTTTACTGTATATTCACATATCATGTGTTTGTCCTTCACACTTTGAATTTAAGGTTGAAAATTTCAACTGCAGCTTATGCATTTGTTGCAAACAGTAACTGATTTTATTGTGTGATGTGTCTAAAGGACCCAGGCAGCAGGCGCAGGCAGTACCATTCTGTATGATTCAGACAGCAGCGTGTTTCCCTGAATCACGATCTTTCCTAATGTTCCTAAATGATGTACGTTAACTGCCAGTGGAATAACTGCCCAGAATATGAGAAAACTTTATTGTGTGGTAATTGTCACATAGCAGTGAAAAGTTACAGCAATAAAAAACCCAACACAGGCTTATTTCCCCCTCAAATTCTTGACTGTGGTATATAGCCTGTGAAATAAAAACATTTTATAAAATTATCAACAGATTGATGTAAAAAGAGGCTGGACTCTGGAGTCTGGCAATTCGGGGCTTCCAGGGATAAGTTTAACCACTACCTGACAAGCAACCTTAATTTAAACAAGTCATTTAGCTTGTGTTTGGTTTCTGCATCTGAATACTATTTTGGGGGGATGTTCTAGTCTCAGTGGTTATCCAGATATAGTGGTTTTTAAAAGAGTTAAAGGATTAAACAAAGGCATTAAGTATTATTTCATTATTGAGTGGTTGTTGGTAGAAAACCTTATCAACATAGCCTAAAAAAACAATAACCATGAACACAAACTAATCAGGTATTTGAAAAATAACACATTCAACATTCATTTATTATCTTTTCTAGCCCAAGTTATTTTTCTTAAGAAAATCATTCAGGTAAAAAATTACACTGTTCAGCAGCTAGATTTCTGATTGTTATGAAAACACACTAGACACATTCACACAGAGAAAACTAAGCTCTGTGCATCCTCAAAGTCATTTTACCCTAATGACTATTAAGGTGGGAATTACCTTTTTTAAGTAGCTTGAAAATAATTTTAATTTTATTGAAAACAGTTCTGTACAGAGGATTATCTCATAAAATGGAGAGACTATAATAAATAAATTTATCTCAGGAATTCTTTCATATTGTTTGCTCCATTGGGTATGTTTTTTTGTTTTTGTTTTTTGTTACGTGCCCCTAGCGGGAACCAAACCCAGGACTCTCTGGTCCGCAGGCCGGCGCTCCAACTACTGAGCCAAACCGGCCAGGGCTCCATTGGTTATGTTTCAAACAGTCCACTCAGTAGTTTTGTCGAGCATAGCATGTATCTATAAGTATATACTGTGGATTATATTCAACAAACTTGTATTGGTTGGCTTCCTTTTCTCTCTTTTTTTCTTTTGGTACGTGCCCCGTGTGACTAACCTTTTTATCATTTGAACCTGTGACTAGACTACAGAAAACGTCTCTAAACCAAATGTGTCTGTCTCCCATTGTTATAGATTAGCAATGAAGTCTTGAAAAGTTCACCATCATATGCAATGAGTAGAAAAATAGATGAAATTAATAACGGGCTTCATAATGTTGAAAAAATGTTGCAGCAGAAAAGCAGAAGTATTGAGAAAGCTCAAGAAATTCAAAAGGTAACATTCTCCTTTAAATTTCTTTGGCATTTGGTATTCTCCTGTTCGTCCGTCATCACAGGGTGTGCGCTTTGGAATAATCTGAACTGCAGAGATCCTAACCCAGCTCTCCAGGGCCCCCTTTACTGAGGTATCACCTGCAAAAGCACGGTATAGAAGGTTGCGTTTAAGAATTGTTGTCTGCCCTGCCAGTGTAGTTTGGTTGGTTGAGTGTTGTCCCATGTACTAAGAGGTCATGGGTTTGATTCCCCATCAGGGCACATACCCTGATTGTGGATTTGATCCCTAGTAGGGGTGTGTATGAGGCGGCCACTCAGTGTTTCTCTCTCTCCCTCCCTTGACCTCTCTCTCTAAAATCAATAAAAACATTTAAAAAAAAACAAAAACCAATGCTATTGGAGATTTTCGCATTAAAATAAAAAAGAATTGTTCTCAGTTTTTTTATGGTAGAAATATACTCTACCCCCTGAGAGCCTATAATTGTGAACTGGCCTTTTCATTAGTAAAGGAGTGTAAGGATCTTGGTAAGACTGATATAAAAATATTATAAATAGCCCTGGCCAGTTTGCCTCAGTGGTTAGAGTGTCTGCCCACAGACCAGAGAGACCCAGGTTCGATTCCCGCTAAGGGCACGTACCTTGGTTGCCGTTTGTCTTCTGCCCCGGCTGGGGTCATGTGGGTGGCAACCAGTCGATATGTCTCTCATGTCGATGTTTCTCTCTCTCCCTCCCTCCCTCTCTCTCTCCTGCTCTATCTGAAGACAAATACAAAAATGTCCTCGGGTGAGGATTAAAAAATATATACATATATTATAAATAAATGTAAATATATAAAATAAAGGTTAACATGTTTCTGTGTTAGAGCATTTTTTAGAGTCTTTGGTTTTGTAAAGTGAAATAATATTGGGGAATAAAATATGGAACATTTATGAAACTTACTTGATTAAAGAACATTTTACCTGGCTGGTATGGCTCAGTGGTTGAGAGTTGACCTGTGCACTAAGAGGTCGCCAGTTTGATTCCTGGTTAGAGCACATGCTCAGGTTGTGGGCCACATCCCCAGGAGGTGGCTAGTCGATGCTCTCTCTCATCAATGTTCCCATCTCTCTCTACCTCTCCCTTCCTCTCTCTCTAAAATCAATAAAGAAAAAAAAATTAAAACAACAACATTTCAATAGGATGTCAACTGTAATTAAAAAATAAAAATACTCTGTTAGGTGAATAAAAATACAATAACAATAAAAATATTTCAATAGGATCTGAATAGTATTAACTTTTCTTTAGACTGCAAGGGGAAACAGGAAAATAGAAATTCCAATTTTATTTTCCTTGTAAAGTGTCTTAAGAAATAAAGTATTAGGTAAAACTACATTAACATAATATTGCCCCTTTCACTCCCAAGTAAACTCTGCATATAGAGAATATCTTATTCTAGTCTACATTTTAAGGAACTGTCCTGATATGAATGGAAACTTTTAAAAATAGCTCAGAATATGGTTCACTAATGGGCAACATTTTGGACTCTTAATAAATAGAGGAATATAATTTAAGCAATCAGATTTCCCCATTTCTAGAAATTACATTCTTAAGCAAATATTAAGTAAGAATTCACAATTTTACCTGTAAGATATCCTCTGGCCAGACAAGTCCAGGTTTGAATCCAACCTATCAGTTTCTTGAGCCAAAAGCAGTTGCTACTATTACAAGGGGCTAGAATTTGCTGCTACTGCATTAATCCTGAGTTAGAGCAGATACTTTCTTTTTTTTTTTAATCCTCACCCGAGGATATTTTTCCATTTTTTGTACAGATAGAGTGGGAGGGAGAGAGAGGAAGGGAGAGAGAGAGAAACATCGACGTGAAGGGACACATCGAGTGGCTGCCACCCACACGACCAACCAGGGCCGGGGACAAACTGCAACCGAAGTACGTGCCCTTAGCGGGAACCGAACCCGGGTCTCTCCGGACCGCAGGCCGACGCTCTAACCGCTGAGCCAAACTGGCCAGGGCAGAGCAGATACTTTCTTTTGGTTAGTTTTATTTTTGTATTTGATAAAAATTGTCTTCTAGAAAGTACGTGTATGCACTGGTGTAAGTTTAACTAGAGTCCTTTTAGACATAACATTAACTCATCACTCTTGAAAGATTAGGGTTGTGTTGACCTTGTTTGGTGTCATTCATCTCTGGAAACGGCCAGGTCTTTCTGCTCCCTTACAGCTAATATGTACTGAAATGAATTAATACTGTTAGAGTTAAGAGGCCTCAGGAAGAGCGTTTTTTAGTCTAGGTCACAAGTGACTGCTGGGCATACGTGAATAACTGTGACTGGTGTTTTGGTGGCATTTACAAGTGCAGTTAGTGTGTGAACACTAGGAATAAACACAATATGCCATGACACCTGCATTCAAGTTGACTTATGATCTCTTTCTCCAGAAAATATGGGATGAGCTGGATTTCTGGCATTCCAAGCTCAATGAGCTGGATTCTGAAGTTCAGGACATTGTTGAACAGGATCCAGGACAGGCGCAGGAATGGATGGATGACTTGATGGTTCCTTTCCAGCAGTATCAGCAAGTATCGCAGAGAGCAGAATCTAGGACCTCACAGTTAAATAAGGTGCGATGGTAATACGTGGTAACTACACATAGCATGTAGTGGTATTGAGATGGATTTAAAACAAATGTATTCAGAAGCATCCATTTTCCCTCACAGCCACGCATAAGGTCCAGGTGGGCACCGAGAGGACAGATTTCGAGGTTGGCATAAGCAGGAAGTCTAACTGGGCAGCATAAGCAAGTATCCAAAAGTCAGACCCCAGCACAGCATTTCTGGTAGGCAGTCTCTCGAGTCCAGGGAGGGAGCCAGCAATAAGAAAGAATGACATTTGGAAAAAGACACCTCTCTTTCCCTTCTAAATGTGGGTTGTGAGTGGGTGACCGGTACATATGACTTAACTAGCATGGGACAGGGTCCTGGTGTCGGAAGAACTGCAGTATTATAGGACAAGTCCCTGTGTAGCAGGACAAAATAGAATTCTGGTTTTCAGAATGAAGCATACAGTGGGAACCAGGGTAGTTGCAAGGCTAACTCAGAACCCTTGCTCAGAACCGTAGCTTTGGGGTGGAACTTCTTATGTCCTTACCAGCTGTGATCAGGATTAGTCTTAAAAGTTGAAAAGATCAAGCCCTGGCTGGTTTGGCTCAGCAGTGGAGCGTCGGCCTGCAGACCAGTGAGCTGCAGGTTTGATTCTGGTCAAGGGCACGCACCCCAGTTGCGGTTCTGTCATGTGGGAGGCAACCAGTTGATGCGTCTCCTTCATGTCAGTGTTTCTCTCTCCCTTTCTCTCCCTCCCACTCTATCTGAGGATAAATAGAAAAATATCTTCAGGTGAGGATTTAAAAAAAAAAAAACATTGAAAGGATCAGAACTGGAGTCGGGGTGGGCAAGTCCCTCTAGCCATGGGGAGTGGAGCCTTGCAACTAACAGCCACGAATTCTTCATTCAAGAAATCATTCAAACTCAAGTAGAAGACATCACTCAGACTAAGTTGGGTGCCACCTCTCTTTCATAGGCTACCATTAAGATGGAGGAATATCATGACCTTTTGAGGAGTACTGAGGCTTGGATAGAAAACACCAGTCGTTTGCTGGCTAACCCTGCTGACTACTCTTCAAAGACACTGAGCCACTATGCCAGCACCCTTCAGGTAAGTGTTCCTTTGATGGTTCCTGGGTGTCATAGAATCTGCATAATGATCAGTGGCTTAGCTAACCATCATGGTGGCCCCCACACACACACCTGTACCCCTTTATCTTGAAAAACCACCTTATCCTCAACCATGCCAAATGGCGGAAGGAAGTATGGAAGAGTGGCAGGCTCTAGACAGGGATTTTGGAGACCAGGATCTTGTTCTCTCGGTCCTGATAACTACTACATGACTTTTTGGGTAATTTACTGTACCCTCCATGGGCCCCAGTTCCTCAATCTGTGAAGTGAGAATGTCACTCCGAATGGTGATGGTTTTGGTTGGCAGAATTCTAAGATGGCCCTTAGTATTCTTGGCCTCTGGTCCCCTGGTGTACATGACCTGTATCATCCTCTCCCCTGAGAGTGGGAAGGATTATGAGTATGTGATGAAATGGTCACTCCCTCGATTAGGTTACATTATCACATTGCAAAGGTAATGGGATACGCACTCCCATGAATACATGATTAATCATGGTTATGTGATTATAAGACTGCCTGGTAGCAGACTGGAGAGAGACTATCTTACTGGCTTGAAGAAGTAAGCTGCCATATGATGAGAGGGCCATAGGGCTAGGATCCCAGGGGGGGCCCCTAGAAGCTGAGAGTGGCCTCCAGTCAACCACCAGCAAGAAAACTAGGATCTGATTCCTAGAACTGAGTTCTGCCAACAGCCTGAGTGAACTGGGAAGAGAAACTGTGCTCCAGATGGCACCTTGATCACAGCCTTATAACATTTTGAGCAGAAGGCCCACCTACTCTGTTCCTGGACTCTTGAACTATGGAACCTATGAGATAATAAATGTTTTATTTTGAGCTGCTAAGTTTGTGGTAATTAGTTACACAGCACTACAGAACGAATCCATGCTTCCTTCCAATTCTAGCATGCCGTCGTTCCAGATCCCCGTCCTTCCTGGTGCTCCCCAGGGCCCGGTGTCTCCACGCTAGCTTACAAAGACAGAACAATTTGCATGTATTTTTCTGCTTGAGGCCATGACCGCGAGTTCTTCCTGGTGCCACATATTGGCTTACGTTTTATGATGAAGGCATATTTCACTTCTATTGTACTAGTTAGCCATGAGTAAGAATCTCTTAGAAAAAAGTTTATCCTATAACAATTCTTAGAGTAATCAGACCTCAAAGTAGATCCAACTGCTTTTTACATCTTTAGAATAGCACAGTGTGTTCCTAAGTGAACAACTGACATCCTGCCTCCCTGATATTTGAGATATTTTTCAACTATGGCAACAGTTATAAAGATGTTACCATTTGTTTGTTTCTTCCCCCTTGCCTGTGATTTCTGCCCCCACCTCTTGGGTTGACTTTCCACATCCCCCTTTATTTTAAATTTCCTATATTTTTTTTTATCATTTTAAAGAGTTTGCAAAGACATAAGAGAGAAATGATGCCTTTTCCCTCAAATGTTTATTATAAGTTTTTTTTTAGGCCTTTTATTTTGATTTTTTAAATTAATTAATTAATTTTTATTATAGATGTTTCTCCTCTTTCCCCCCAGACACTCTCCTCCCTATCCCCCCCACCCCAGCATTGTTGTCTATGTCTATTGGTCATACATGCATATAAATTCTTTGGTTTATCACATCTCCCCCCCCCCCCCCCAGCTTATGTTGTTTATTATATTCCACAAATAAGTGAGATCATGTGATATTTGTCTCTCTCTGATTAGCTTATTTCACTCTACAGATCCCTCTGTGTCATCTCAAAGGATGAGATCTTTCTTACAGCTGCATAGTTTTCCATTGTGTATATGTACCACAGCTTTTTTATCCACTCATCTATTGATGGACACTTGGGCTGTTTCCAGATCTTAGCAATTGTAAATAGTGCTGCTATGAACATGGGGGTACATATATTCTTTCTGATTGGTGTTTCAGGCTTCTTAGGATATATTCCTAGAAGTGGGATCACTGGGTCAAATGGAAGTTCCATTTTTAATTTTTTGAGGAAACACCATATTGAGTTCCATAGTGGTTGCACCAGTCTGCATTCCCACCAGCAGTGTATTAGAGTCCCCTTTTCTCCACACCCTTGCCAGCACTTGTTGTTTGATGATTTGTTGATGGTAGCCATTCTAGCAGGTATGAGGTGATACCTCAGAGTCATTTTAATTTGCATTTCTCCGATGATTTGTGATGTTTTTTATATGTCACTTGGCCATTTGTCTTTGTTTTTTGGTTTGGAAATTTTTTTTTTTCTTTATTGATCTTAGAGAGAGAGAGAGGAAGGGAGAGGGAGAGAGATAGAAACATCGATTGGCCGCCTCCTGCATGCCCCCCACTGGGGATCAGGCCCACAACCTGGGCATATGCCCTGACCGGGAATCGAACCGGCGACCTCTTGGTGCAGGATTGACAGTCAGCCACTGAGCCACACTGGCCGGGCACTCTTGGCCATTTGTATGTCCTTTTTGGAGAGGTGTCTACTTAGGTCCTCTGCCCATTTTTTTTTTTTTTTTTTTTATCTTCTCCCGAGGACATTTTTCTACTTTTTGTTCAGATAGAGTGGGAGGGGAAGAGAGAGAGAGAGAGAGACAGAGAGAGAAACATCAACATGAAAGGGACACATCGAGTGGCTGCCTCCCGCATGACCCAACCAGGGCCGGGGACAAACTGCAACCAAGGTACATGGCCTTAGTGGGAACCAAATTCGGGTCTCTCTGGACCACAGGCCGATGCTCTAACAAACTGACCAGGGCCCTCTGCCCATTTTTAAATTGGGTTCTTTGTCTTTCTTTTGTTGAGTTGTATGAGTACTCAGCCACAGCAGTCTTGAAGAAGAAGGACAAAGTAGGAGGGATCACAATACCGGACATCAGGTTATACTACAAGCCATTGTAATCAAAACAGCCATTGTAATCAAGAACACGCATATAGATCAATGGAACAGAACAGAGAACCTGGAAATTGACCTAAGACATTATGCTCAATTAATATTTGACAGAGGTGGCAAGAGCATACAGTGGAGTAAAGACAGCCTCTTTAAAAAATGGTGTTGGGAAAATTGGACAGCTGCATACAAAAAAATGAAACTAGACCACCAACTTATACCATACACAAGAATAAACTCAAAATGGATAAAAGACTTAAAAGTGACTCATGAATCCATAAAAATCCTAGAAGAAAATATAGGCAACAAAATTTCAGACACCACACGCAGCAGAATTTTTACTGATACACGCCTAAGGCAAGGAAACAAAGGAGAAAATTAATACATGGGACTGCATCAAACTTAAATGCTTCTTCACAGCAAAAGAAACAATCATCAAAATGGAAAGGGAACCCAGTATATGGGAGAGTATAATTACTAATGATACATCAGATAAAGGGTTAATTTAAAAAATATAAGATTTTTTCAAAACACTGTACAAGACTGAACTGGGGCAAACACAGTTGAACTTTTCTACCTTCTACTGACACAAATGTAAAAGTGTGAATGAAAGTATCTCTTATTTGCTGGCCTTCAGAGCTAGAGCTGAGTAGATCTCTAGCCTACATTCAAGGGAGCTTAGGATGATAAGAGCATGAATAGCAGGAGATGGAGATCACTGGGGCCAACTTAGAAGTTTCCTGCCATAAGCCATTATGAGCAAAGCTGCTATGAACATTCATATTTAAATCTTTGTGTGGATATATGCTTTCATGTCATCTCATTAGATAAATACCAAGGAATACAGTTGCTGGCTTTTATGGTAAATATTTAACTAGATAAGAAACTGCCAAATTATTTTCCAAAATGGCAGTAACATTTTTCCAAAATGGCAGTAACATTTTTCATTCCCACCGGCAGTGTGAGTTCCAATTTCTCCATAGTCTGGTTTGCACTCAATATTATGTCTTTTAAATTTTAGCCTGACATAGTGGTATCTCGTGATTTAAATGGCATTTCTCTAATAACTAATGCATTTCTCTAATTACTAATGATTTATGTATTTGAGAGTGTTTTCATGTGTTTATTTGACATTTGTACACTCCTTTTTGAAGTGTTAGTTCAATTTTTTTTTTGCCTATTTTAAAATTTTTTCTTTGTCCTTTTATTTTTGAGTTGTAAATTTATTTTAAAAATATTCTAAAAACCAGTCCTTTATTAGATAAGTGATTTACAAATATTTTCTCCCAGTCTGTGACTTCTTTTCCTCATATTGTCTTTCAGAGAATACATGTTATTAATTTGATGAAATCTAATTTATTAGTATTTTTCTTTCATGGATTATTCTTTTGTATTGTATCTAAGAAATCTTTAACCCAAGGTCACAATGACTTATTCCTATCTTCTAGAAATTTAGTTTTAACTCTTCCTTTAGGTCCATTTAGGACCATTTAGGTCCATTTTGGTCCATTTAATCCATTTCAGGTTAATTTTTGTACATAGTATAAAACAAGAGTCAAGGTTCATTCTTTTTTCTAGAGGGATATCCAGTTATTCTAGCCCATTTGTTGAAAACAGTCACCATGGAATTACTTCGGTGCTTGTTGAAAATCAGTTGACCCCCATGTATGTGGGTATATTTCTGGGCTCTCCTGTTCTGCTGATCTGTCAGTCTGTTTTTGACCAATGTGACAAAGTCTTGATTGCTATAGTTTTTATGGTAAGTCTTAAAATCAGGTAGCATAAATTCTACAATTTAGTTCTTTTTTCATATTTTTTTTTGCATTTCTAAGTCTTTTGCATTTCTTAATTGATTTTTTTAGAGAGAGGAAGGGAGAGAGAGATAGAAACATCGATCAGCTGCCTCCTGCAACTCCCCTTCCCCCACTGGGGATTGAGCCTGCAACCCAGTCATGTGCCCTGACTGGAAACGGAACTGGGACCTCTCAGTCCATGGGATGAGGCTTAATCCACTGAGCCACACCTGCCAGGTGCTTTTTATATAATTCTTAGAATCAGCTTGTCAATATCTACGAAGGTCTGTTGGAATTTTGAGTGTGACTGCATTTATTCTGTAGAACAATTTGGTGAGAATTGACATTTTACCTATATTGACTGTTCTAATCTGGGAACATAAAGTATCTGTTTGTTTATTTTTGTCTATTTAAACTTTCTCTCAGCAGTGTTTTGTAGTCTTCACTGTGCATGTCTTGCTTATAAATTGTTCAGTTTATCCCTAAGTAATTAATGTTTTTGATACTATTGTAAATAGTATTATTAGTAAATAGCATTAGTTTTAAGTTTTGTTTTGCTTAAAGTTTTCTCCTTCTAGGATTTTGAATAAGGCCAATATAAAATTGTAAGTAAGCTGATAAATTTGAGAGGTTTATAACTAGAATTCTAGTTGCATAAGTACATTTATTTTTTCATATCAGTTATTTTTAATGGAATTACCTACTGGAAATGTTCATCCTACATTAGCAGGTTGGACATTTCCAGTAGGTGGCTGAGATATTTTGAAATCTTAAGTTTGAAAGTTAATACATTATAGTCATTGAAAGAAAATTGAGGAATGTCTAAGTAGTTCTAAAAATGGATGTTTTTCACTTCTATTTGGTTATATCAGATTCAAGTCTTTTAGTATCAAGTTGTTCAAGTTGACTCAAGCTGTAGGGGCTACTGACGGAGTCAGTGGCCCCTGAGGTGTGGCCCACAGAGGCCCTGACACGAGGACAGGGGCAAGTCACGGGAGCGCCCTTTATTTCTCGTGCCCACTTCATTTACCTGCTTCTCTCAAACTCACCTGCCCAAAATTACAATTCCCACCAATCAGAAAGAGCCCGAATGGCTTTCTTGGCTCCAGTTCCACTTTCCAGAGGGGTAGACTGCTGGTTGGTGTTCCGGGTCCTGTTCGCGATGGCTGGAGGAGCAGGGCTGTGGTAGCAGAGGCTGCTGCAAGCCCACCCAAATCGGCAGACGCCCTGGAGTCATCCCCTGCCGCCAACAGTAGTGTCCAGTGTTTTATTAGGAATCGGAAAGTGACCAGGAGTTGGATATGTTGAGAAAAGTGTACTTTTTCTCTGATTTGAATTTTAATAAACTTTCAGTATCTTAATGTCCCCCCCGCCTTGTTTCCTATTATCTAGATGGCTTTGGAAGATTCAGAACAGAAACATAATCTTTTACATTCAGTTTTCACGGATCTAGAAGATTTGTCAATAATTTTCGAAACAGATGATTTAGCACAGTCCATACAGGAGCTTAGTCGTCAAGTAGCAGCTTTACAACAAAACATCATGGAAAGCCTCCCACAGATCCAGCGAATGGCTGATGTAAGTGGGCACTATGAAGATGTGATCTCTTATCTTTAATTTATATTTCATTTAGTAAATTAGAATTATACTGCTAATCAACAACTAATTATAGAAAGACGTTGATCTGGTACTGTTTATTTTTCATTTATGTTCATATTTCTTGAATTATTTTTTACTTGACTTTGCAACCCATAATACAACTACAACAAAAAACCATTTCCCCATTCTCAGTCCAGGAGTGGACTAAAGGGAAGAATCCTGCCCTGGCCGATTTGGCTCGGCGGTTAGAGCATCGGCCTGTGCACTGAAGGGTTGTGAGTTTGATTTAAGGTCAAGGGCAAGCACTTCAGGGGCAGGTTCGATCCCTGGCCCCAGTTGGAGTTGTGTGGGAGGCAACTAATCAATGTGTCTCTCACATTGATGTTTCTCTCTCTCTCTCTCTCTCTCCTCCCTCCCCCCCACCTCCTTCCCACTCTATATGAAAGTCAATGTAGAAATGTCCTTGGGTAAGAATTACAAAATAAATACTGGGAAAAATCCTGATCAAATAAGCTCTATGTTTTCTCTTTTTCAGAGAGGAGATATTGTTGATTTAAAAGCACAGCTTAGCAAAGAGGCAATTAAAACAGATAGCCTTCCAAGTCTTCACCAATAGCAAATATTTATTGAGGGTCTGCTGTATGCCAGCCAATGGATTTTTAAAATAATTTTACTTATTTTAGCTTGAAATGTGCAGTATTTATTTAAGGATTGGGTACCATGGCAAAAGCAGTTCTGGTTAGTCTTAATTATTTACCTTTACCTTCTTAGTTACATTCCCTACACCACTCTTACGTAGCTTCAGGGAATAATAATCATTAAATATTCTTGGTTAGTGATGCTTATTCCAAAGTTTTTAAATGCTTCTACAATTTTTGATGGAAACTATTCTAAAACACTGTATGCTTTCATATACCTTTTTCAACATAAAGTGTAGAAAATAATTTCAATATCATTGAACTTTTTCTTATAATTTGGATATATCACTTGTAAAGTTACTGTACTTACTGCTTTACTTGTTTACAGTTATGTTTGTCCTGCTTGGCCAGTGTGGCTCAATGGATTGAGCGTTGTCCTTTGGACTGAGAAGTCCTGGTTCAATTGCTGGTCAGGGTACATGCCTGGGTTGCCGGCTTGATCCCCAGTAGGGGGCTTGCAGGAGGCAGCTGATCAATGTTTCTCTCTCACATCAATGTTTCTATCTCTGTCTCCTTTCCTCTCTCAAAAAAATCCATATAGTTATGTTTGTCCTACATTGAATGGCTCTAAGCTGCTGTAGTTTGAAACCCTCAGTCTCTTTCTGTATAGTGATATCTGTCCCCTTCATTAACTGAACCTTTTTGTTGCTACAGTGTATCAGTCTTGAGATCTAAGAGAAAGGCCTAAAGGCCTCTTACAGTGTGAATGGACTTCAGTATGTAGCCTTAATGGCACACATTGCGGCATTTTCACAAGGTTCTTGGCCAGATTCCAGAGGTTGACATTGATGAGAGAATAACCACTGAACAAATGATTTATTGTTTAAATTAATCTGAGCAAGTTATAAAGTAGTTGAGTGACTACTTTGCATGGCAATAAGCGCATTAGGGTATTGGCAGGAAAATCCTGTCCATTTTCCAGCTCCTTGTCTGTGTGTGTTTCCCAAGGGTGACTTTATCATTTTACTTAAAGTCATCAGAATTTTTTAGATGCTAGACCCACTTGTATTCAAATGTTTAAACACATTCCAAAGATAATTCTAAAGTGATTGTAGATCATTGTGAATTTACAGCTCAGCCGGTGTGGCTCAGTGGTTGAATGGCGACCTATGCACCAAGAGGGTTACTGGTTCGATTCCCGGCCAGGACACATGCCCTGGTTGTGGGCCCAATCCCCATTGCGGGGCATGCAGGAGGCGGCCAATTGATGTTTTCTCTCACTGATGTTTCTGTCTCTCTCTCTCCCTCTCCCTTCCTCTCTCTCTCAAATCAATAAAGAAAAAATTAATTCAGATGTATACTACAGATGGTCCCCAATTTACAATGGTTTCACTTAAGATTTTTTTGATTATGAAATGCATTCAGTAGAAACAATACTTCAGGTTTTGAATTTTTATCTTTTCCCAGCTAGCAATATATGATAAGATATTCTATTGTGATGCTGGACCATGGCAGTGACCGCCCGTCTCAGTTAGCAACCCTACAGTGTATTCATTATGTCAGATGATTTTGCCCAACTGAAGGCTCAAATAGGTGTTCTGAGCACGTTTAAGGCTCAGTTATGATGTTTAGTAGGTTAGGTGTATTAAGTGCATTTTTGACTTTCCCATTTACAGTGGGTTTATCAGGATGTAACCTCATCCTAGGTCAAGAAGCATCTGTACTTTTGTTCTCACAGTATAAGTAATTGAAAATTGGCTTTATGAGGACCTTTAACTCAATAATGTGTAAGCAATGCTTTGTAGTGTGGTGTGTTATTAATAGAATAACATTTTTTATCAGAAACGATCAACATGATCTGAGTAGCACTTGTTTAGTTTTTAAGAGCTGTATAAATGGCAAACATATTTTGGTTAAATATCAGAATAGAATGAATGGCAATAAATTGTCTTATAGATTATTAACATACAGCATATACTGCATGAGCGTTTTTGTTTCTGAAACTCTAGGATGTGGTTGCTATTGAAACTGAAATAAAATCAATGGAGAAAAGAGTTTCAAAAATCAAAGCTATCCTATTATCAAAAGAAATATTTGATTTTTCACCTGAAGAACATCTTAAGCATGGAGAGGTAAGCTTGGATTCATTATTTAAAGTATTTTTCTCATACTACTAACTATGCTTACTTTTAGATGTGTAATAATACGATGTAATAAACAGTATTTAATCTTGCAAGAGTAAAGCACAATAAAGTTGAAAGAGATATTATGACTGTAAATATCATGTTTTAAATCATATAGTACTATCTATATAAAGACAGTTTTCCTATAGGTTATTTTTTCATTTACTTTCTTCCAACAACTTCGAAGTTTAGAAGTTTTGCCTTCAAGTCAAATCTAGTTGTTTAATAGTCCAAGAGCTTGAGGCTCTGAGTCCGGAGAACTGAGTCCCAGCCCCAGCTGAGCTGCTTACTGGCGCTGTGACTTTGAGCTGTTGGTTAGCATTTCCTGGATTGTCTTTCATGTCTGCATATTGGCCTTGCAGAGATCATGTTGGACAATTGTAATGTATAAAGAGGCCCTAGCACTAAATAGGACACAGATGTTGATTCTTCCCAGTGGTTAGCAGCATGTGCTTTGGGGTCGAGCGGCCTAGGTTCTCATCCCAGCCCCGCTTTTTACAATCTGACCTCACCTCGGTCTTCTGACTTCTGTGAACCCAATTTCCTCACCTGTGAAATGGAAGTTCTGATACCTAATTCAATAAGGTTTTTTTTGAGAACCTCCCCTGTGGGAAGTCCCGTGCTAGGTGCGGCTGCTACAAAAGACGCAGTACCTGCTGTTACATAGCTCACCTCCTGGTGACAGTACACAAAGCAAAACACAGTTCTCCGGGGTGGGGGTAGGGTGGGGAGCAGGAAAGGGTTATCTAAGTGCATAAATTAGTGCTAGGAGGTTACCCTTACCCAGGCATTTTTTTCCTGAGAATTTTAACTACCAATCATAAGTGATACAATAATCCTTTTTCAGTCTGAGCTAAGGAAATGTTTTAAAAATCAAAACTATAGATTAGAGCCTAAATTATGCACTATTATAATTTTAAATAATTAGATTTAACAGTGGACATTTTTTTCACTTGTGAACCATGCTTATCTGATATAATCAAGGTCATACTTGAAAATATACATCCTATGAAGAAAACCATTGCTGAAATAATGTCTTACCAAGTGGAACTGAGGTTACCCCAGACAGGAATGAAACCTCTGCCTGTGTTTCAGCGGACAAATCAGCTTTTACAAGATATTAAACTGTTGGAAAATGTGACTCAGGAACAAAATGAGTTATTAAAGGTGAGTTGTTTATGAGGACAGCCAACTTATTGGATGACAATATTCAGCAAAATATTTTTGTTTCAGTGGTTGGGTAGATCAGATTCCCATGACAATAAGATGCTGCCTGTGTTTCTTCTCTTTGGTCTCTTCCAGTACTGTGTCCAGGAAGTGGCATTTGATATCAGAGTGTAGATCTTCTTGTCACAGGGGGCTAAGGTTGTTTCTCAGTTCTTACCTTGTTCTGGTTGGAGACATTAAGGCATAGCTATGGTCTGTTTAACTCCATTCTCGTTATTGCAGACCTACACAAGTAAATGCCGTGGGACGAGGTTCAAACTTGAACAGAGTATTTGCAATCCCATGAGGCCGACAGACTCAGACAGTAATCCTACCCTTAATGATCTCTTTTTGTATCTCACTTTCATATTAATCATCTCATTTTGTTCTCAAACATTGGATACAATAAGAGTAGGCACTTTACCTCCTTACTTTTACCTAGGAGGAGTCTAGTGTCAGAAGGTAGATGGCTCGGTAAAAGAACACTGAGTTAACTTTTGTTGAGATTCATTTATGTACAAATAAGATAAGAATTTGAGTTTCTAGATTTTGGCCTCTTCTTTTAACTGATAACCTCTTTTAGTCTTTCCCCAGATTTTTTTTTGTCTTTTTTTCCTTAACATTTTGTTTGATTTCCAGTCTCAAGTCAGGCGTCATCAATAGATAGAAATTGCATTTCACTTTGGTTTGTATTCCTCAATCAACATCCACTCTCACAAAGAACAGAAAGTTGCTGCCCTGGCTGGTTTTTCCCAGTGGTTAGAGCCTTGGCCTGCTGACGGAAGGGTTGAGGGTTCGATTCCCGGTCAAGGGCATGTACTTGGGCTGCAGGTTTGATCTCCAGCCCTGGTCTGGGTTGTTTGGGAGGCAACCAGTCAATGTGTGTCTCTCATATCGATGTTTCTCTGTCTCTCTCTCTCTCTCTCTCTCTCTCTCTCTCTCTCTCCCCCCTCCTCCCTCCCTCCCTCCCTCCCTCCCTCCTTCCCTCTCCCCCTCCCTTCTTCCCTTCCTCCCTCCCTCTCTCCCTCCCTCTCTCCCTCTCCCTCTCCCTCCCTCCCTCCCACTCCATCTAAAAATCAATGGAAAAATATCCTCAAGTGAGGGTTAACGACAACAAAAAAGTTGCTCAAGAGCCTTAAATTCCACAGACTTTTCAGCCCTCTTGGTAGAACCCCCTGCTTGCATTTCCAGATGGGTCAGGGTAGAAGAAACGTTTTGTTTCCCCTTTTTCAGAGCTACCACCTGATCATAGGAAGAAAACTATTTCTTTCTCCCTCTTAAATTTCATTCACATTTAGATGGCCACTCTGTTCTCCTGAGATTTTGAGGACACTGTAATCTCTGGTTTGAGTCTTAACTCACATAGTCTCTGGCCTGGCTACTGATCTGACATTATTTCCTAACACCCACTGGGAGAAAAAAATCTGGCCTCAGTGTACTAATTTTTAATAATATAAAGAGAGGAAAAGAGAAAGATGTAAGATTTGATATATAATTTTTAATTTTTTTGTTTTATTTTGGTCTCCTGGCCAGGAAAAGAAAATAACAGTCCTAACTATGCTCAAAAGTGACTTCTTTAGAAGATGAAAGGGGGGCCTTGGCTGGTCTCGCTCAGCAGTCAGAGCATCAACCTCAGACTGAGGGGTCAAAGGGTCGATTCCCGGTCAAGGGCACTTACCTGGGTTGCAGGTTGAATACCTGGCCCCTGTCAGGGTTGTGCGGGAGGCAACCGATCGACCTCATATCAATGTTTCTCGCTCTGTGTGTGTGTGTCTCTCTTCCCCTCCTTCCCACTCTCTCTTAAAAAAAAAAAAAATCAATGAAAAATATATCCTCGGTTGAGGATTAACACTATCAACAAAAAACGATGAAAGGGGAGAATAGAAGACAAAGTAATATTTTATGCCAAGTTAGATATCAAACTGTACTGCTACAATTTTCCATCTTATTGTGTTGGTGGAAATCAGATGTCATCTCATATAATTCAAAGCTAAGTAAACCAGTGGTCACGAAAGCATTAGAATACGGTACGTTTATTTTAATTCCTCATTTAGATATTGGAGGTACCATTGTTGTGGAAAGACAGATTACTTTTGGGAGGGGTAACGGGATGTTGCTCATTATGGAGGACTGGGGAACAGGTGTGTACAGGGAACATAGTTATTCATTTCCAGCCTGCAGCTAAAAGTATGGTTAAATATTAAAGAAAATACAAGGAAGAATTCTGTGTTGGCCAGAAACTTTGTAGTTTAAAAGACATTTTGCTTCATTGTGAAGCATACCAAGGACATATCTAGACTTCTTTTGAAGTCCATTTCTCTATTTCATCATGCTTTGATCAGATCACTTGGTCCAGAAATAGCTTCGAGCTCCACTGCTCGCTTAACACTGATTCCACGTATCGTTCTGGTTAGTGTTGCTTTATTCTTCCAACTCAGACTGCTCTCGAACCCTCAGTTTTTTACTCATAAAATGTACAGTACTAATCCCAGTGAATACCAGGTGAGGATGTGGCTGGAATGGGAAAATTTGTCATGTCTCAAATTAAGTTCTCTTCTTACTCTGATTCAGTGATGTCACCCTTTTGTGGAAAGCCCCACATAGAAAATGTTTTTAAATGTATTTATAAAACTTAGCAATTTTATTTAAAAAGTGTTTTTTTTTCTTTATTGATTTTAGAGAGAGAGATAGAAACATTGATGAGAGAACACTGACTGGCCCCTCCTGCATGCCCCACACTGGGGATCGGGCCCACAACCTGGGCATGTGTCCTGACTGGGAATCAAACTGGAGACCTCTTGGTGCATGGTTCGATGCTCAACCACTGAGCCACACCGGCCGGACAAACTTAGTAACTTAATATTAACCTGCCATAAAATGCTTCCCAGAATAAGCCCACTAGACTGGAGCAAGGGTGTGTCTAGTTAGACCTCTACTCCAAACACTGCACAAGGTGCCCGGGCATCCAGTAGAGCAAGAAGATCCGGTGCCAGATTTGCCAGTGTTGCCCTCTGTGTAGGCTGCCATTTCCTACTGAAATCTATGTGGGTGCATATTTGCTGTAATTGGTTGGAACTTGTGTTGGGGCTGGACATTGGAAGCAGCCCATTGATCTGTTAATTAGATATGACAAAGATTCTTCTTTTGGGGGGGTTTATTTTATAGATAGTCATAAAACAGACTAATGAATGCGACGAGGAAATAGAAAATTTGAAACAGATCCTAAATACGTATTCAACTGAGCTGTCCCGTGGAGGTATGTCACCAGCCCAAGCTGCCACTGTGCCACAGGTGAAGGTATGTTTCTTTCATTCATTCATTCTGCAGCCCAGCAGTTCGCGCAACGGTCACTTACTAAGCTGGTGGTGTCTAGAAGCTTGTGTGATGGTATAGTCTATTCTATTCCCTACTTTTTTTTTCTAATTGAAGGTATTCTATGAGTGTATTTACTTTCCGTTCCTATTTTATAAAATATGTGACCATAATTATGGTAATAGAAGGCCCTTCACGTTCTCATCCTCAGCTTGGTGCAAATTGGTCTGAATTTGCTCTGGGACAGAAGCTCATGTAACACAGGATATGTGGACAGCCTGACTTTCTGCTGGCTTTCTGGGATGGGGGTCATGCAGTGTGGGCTGGCCTTAGAGGCACGGACCCTGGGCGCTGCTGTAATGAAGAGCTCCCTATGCTATACAGTCTCTCCGTGTGCCATAACTCAGAGTGTCAGGTGACCCAGTTACAGTGGTGGCATGTAAATCCTCTACTGCTTGGAGTTTTGTGCTTTTTTTTTTAAGGTTTTTGATTTTGAATCAGAACAACTATAAAGAAAAAACCTTTTACAGCAAGGATTATAGAGAGCTGCTTTTTCTCCAGCCATTAAGTTCAGGCAATTGCTCTGGTATTCAAAGCCAGGTTACACCGCGTATTAGCTGTGAGTCCTAGGGCAAGTTACTTAACCTGAGGGGTGAAGTACAGAGGAATCCAATGGACTCAATAAGGCAGACTGAATAATCAGGAATCAATATTCTGAAATGTCAGATTTCTGTTTATATTAAAAGATTTAAGGAACCCTCCCAAAGAGCTTTAATTGATATAAATTGTATCTACCAATAGCAGAAGAAATTAAAACACAGAAATGTAAAAATATTTTAGTTTATTTTAAAATGACAATAGTAAACCCAATACATGTTAATAGAAACAACATAGTTTTGTGGAATAAATTGTATTTTCCAAAAAGAAAAGATAGTGAGAAGTGAGACACTGTTTCACAATTTTGCAAATCTCTTTCCTGTCTGGCTCCCCAGGTTCCCATCGGCTGCTGCAGTCTGTCTGCTAAGCTGCGTAGTTTTGTTTCAAGTGTGTGAAACAGGCTAACCCCTCAAGACATGTACATAGAAAAGGGACTGTTTAATGACCCTTCTGAATAATTGTAGATAGTCTTTGAAACCATACTAAACTCCAACAGGTAGAAGTTACACATTCAGAATCGGAAGCCACGCCAATGAACTTTTCAAAGCTGGTCTGTAGGTTTCCAGCTGTGAGCATGCAAAACAGAGTTTATTCTTGTATTATTACTTATTAATTATTGCATTATTTTCCATTCAAACAACTGTGAACCTACCTTTGCCCCACCCTTCCTTTGCATGGACCTTTTCACCATGTGTGACTTGATGACATCCCACTTGGTCATTTGGAAAATGTTGTTTCACTAGTTACGCAGCCTCTCCTAATGTTTACATACTTCAGTAATTGATATTAACAATTTTGCAGTTTTTAACATCGATCTTTTTAGGAAAATCTTTTAGTATCTATCTATCTATCTATCTATCTATCTACCTACCTACCTACCTACCTACCTACCTACAGTTGGCCAGCTGTTTCTTTCAAGTAAAAATAGTGTTCTATGAAAAAACATATCTGCAGTTCCGCTTGAAACTCAAGTGCTTTTCCTCAACCCTCATACTCCGGTATGTGGCTGAGTGCCCTAAGCATGCTTACCACTCTGTCACACAGAATAGAAAAAATACGTTCTTTATCAAGGATATTCTTAAGTGAAACTGGCTTTTATATATATATATATATATTATTATAAGTACATGACAGTGAAGAATTTAATAACTACTAAAATAGTTCCTTAAAAAAATCAAGTTGTTGCCGCCCGATTCGTACAAGATGCCAGAAGTTTTATCCACCATTGCTTTTGCGGTGAAAACTCACACACTGAGAAATGTCAACACAGTAAAGAAGGCAAATCACTTCTCAGTATTATTATAACGATGACCCTGGCCTCTTGAGTGTCCGTGGGGGCCAGCTGAGGTGGCTCTGTTCCTCCAAGTGTCTGTCGTTCTGGTGGCTGTGGTATTACTTTCGCTGGTAGGCACTATTCCTGCGCAGCTTAGTGTTCACGCATATTTAGTTCAGTCGTCATTACAAAGTGATCACAGGAAGTTTAACTTCGGACAGAAGGAAGGTGTTGGTGTTGGAGTCGGTGCAGTGGGGGGGGGGGGCATGGGGGCCCGTGTCAGGAAGTCCAGGTCTGCTCTGTCACCAGCTGCAGCTCCGGAAAAATCACCTCCTTTCTCTGGACCTCAGAATTCTCACTTACAGGAGCAGACATGGTACGTTTCTCTGTCCATAAAATAATGAATGATTCTATAACTATCTGTAGGATGGGTGGATGGAACAAGGGAATGAGGAACAAATGAATAGGGGTCTAAGGACTCCATAGGGAACAAAATTCGCGTGCGTGAAGGTTTGCTAAACAGCAGGATGTCTCTGATGCAGCGCTTACTGCAAAGAGCAATGCCTTTCCGGGGGCTAGAGAGGAGGATGCCAGGCTAGAAGACACCTGCTGTTTCTTCCAAATCTATAATTCTGTAATCCCCATAGACAGACGGGGGCATCTGCATTCTACCGTGTATGAGAAGTTTTATTCCCACACAGCCATCATGCAAAGTTTTCAAGTACTGTTATAAAGCTTAGAATCATCGGCCTTTCATTCCCATAGCAAGTTACACTTCACGGTACCTTTGTTTACGTGTTCCCATTTGATAGGAAGCTTTGGCCATGGTAAAATCTGAATGAATTCAGAAATATTAAAGAAGGCTTTAAAAGCAATAGTAAAAGTGTGAGATTTCTTACCTTGTTTTCCAGTGGTTCCCAAATGATAGTATGCTCTTGGATCTCCCGGGTGCTTGTTAAAGTGCATATTCCCAGGCCCTGACCCCGTGGATTGTGGCCAGTCAGTCCCTGTGGCTACTAGGGCCGTGGCTACCAACCATGGGCATACATCACAGTTACCTATGGAGCTTACCCCCAGAGATTGACTGGCACGGTCAAGGTGAGGCCAGGGCATTCTATAAGGAAGCTTGTAAACCCTCCACTGGGAAACACAGCAGGATGCAGAACTATACTGTTCCAGAGAGCAGCTCCTGACTGCGAACCAGCAGCACAGACAAACCTTCATCGCGTGAACCCACCGAAGCAGCCTCCTGCAGGCACGTCAAGGCCTCAGACGTCCTAAAGCGATGCAAACATTGTCTCTGCACAGGGAGAGATCGAAGGTGTTGAAAAGCAGATTGTGAGTCTGAACCAGAAAAAAGAAGACCTGTTGGTGGACTTAAAGGCTGCTGTACTAAACCTTCACCGGCATTTACAACAAAAACAGCAAGAATTAGAAAAAGAAAAGGAAATGCTGTCAGCAGGAGCATCAGAAGAGGATGGAGTGGCCGAGAGGGATGTTTCTGAGCGGAAGGTGGGTATGACTTTTGTTAATGTCGGCCCCACAGTCCAATAAGAGCTTTAGGTGGGTAGTATTTTTCTCCTGAAAAATGTATGGCATCTGTGTCCATGGCCAAGAGTAAAGAAATTTTAAAAAGGGAACTCCTCTCCTGAAGGTGGTTCACTAGTGAATGTCATTCTTCAGGGTGTGTCTGTACTGGGACTCAACAGAATTCTTATGCCTGAGTTTCCTAAGGAGCTGCTTCTGAAATTTCACAGGCAGGTGGGTGGGAGCCACCCTTTGAAAACCTTCTTACTGAGAACAGCCCATTACAGACTCCCAAAATGAGTCCAGCACCTCTCTGAGCCCACTCTGCATCCAGGTCAGGGAAGCACACTTTTGAATTGTTTGATAAGGAGCCACACGAAAAGGATATAAGATTTGACTGAGTCATGATAATGGGCTGGATGAGCTGAAGTTGCCAGACCCAGAGGGCTACTCGTGTAGGCGGTCATCTTGGAGAAAGTGAATAAAATATTAGCTACATAAAAATGCAGCCCTGCCCTGGCCGGTTTGGCTCAGCGGTTAGAGCGTCCACCTGCGGTCCGGAGAGACCGGGTTTGGTTTCCGCTAAGGGCATGTACCTCGGTTGCAATTTGTCCCCGGCCCTGGTTGGTCGTGCGGGTGGCAGCCACTCGATGTGTCCCTTTCACATCGATGTTTCCCTCTCTCTCCCTTCTTCTCTCTCCCTCCCACTCTGTCTGTACAAAAAATGGAAAAATGTCCTCGGGTGAGGATAAAAAAAAAAAAAATGCAGCCCAGCCTGGCCCCGGTGATGCGGAGTGGCAGCTTGGCAGTGCGTGTCTGTGTTGTGCCTTTCAGTTGGACAGAAGAGGCTCCATGTCCTTCCTGCCAGCAGTCGAGGAAGAGGCGGAGGAGAGCTCCCTGAAGAGTCAAGTAAGGAGAACAGTTTCCTCGTTAAATTGTGTGAGAACTGAAACCTTCTACAAGGAGGTCAATGGGAAGATCTTGAAATGAGTGAGAACGTAAAGATTTTTTTAAATTAATGCCTTTATTTTATAAGGAGGATAGAAGTAGTTCTTCTTTGTTATTAACATTGTTTAAGTGCCTCTAATCCTACTTCCCACCCGCGTGGGATAAATGTTGGCGTAAAGGAGACGATGAGGTTCTTTGTCCTTTCCTGACTTCCGAGTACTTTCTCTGAAGTTTCGAGAGTGTGCTGTTTGGTTGGCACTCCTGCTGTGCTTTTTAGAACTTCGGTTTTTCATATTTGAATTACTTTTTTAGTCTAAAACAGCAGTGCCAAGGACACGAGATGTGTTAGCAACTAATACAAATCCTTACTATTTCATTAGAATTAGTTGAATGAGACATTTACAGTGCTCTTTCCTGATACTGATTTCCATTTCGTGCTTTTAAAAACTGAAGTTATAATGGGTCTTGTGCCAAAAGGAAGAAAATTATAGCAATTTATAGTTTTGTCTCAAACGTGACCACCAGTCATTCTTTCTGTTCATTTTATAGAATAGCAAACAGCTCCACTGTCACACAGAACCACCTGCTGTCCTCTGGTGTGTCTCTAGGACCTGGTGGTGCTGAGCTCAGGTTTACCATGCTCTGACCACCAGACAGCTTTGTAGTCTGAGTACACCCTTCTCTGCAGAAAGGGTTGTGAGAATTGAGGGGGACCAGGGGCCAAGAAAAGAGTACATGTCAGTGTGATTCTAATTTGAGCCCTGTATTTACCTTTGAGTTGTATGTTTATGACATTCTCTGTTTCTGTTTGACAACAACAGCAAAAATACACTTTCATCAGGCTGTTCTATTAAAATGAGCATTCCAGCCTCCATTTACCAAAGCAGATTAAATTCCTAAAGCAGTTTTAGAGATCCCCTTTGTGTGATGTGAGCCGACTCCCAACTTTTTTTTTTTTGTTAATCCTCACCTGAGGATATGGTTTTATTGATTTTTTTAGAGAGAGAGGAAGGGAGAGAGAAACATCAGTGTGAGAGAGAAATATCAATCGCTTGCCTTCCCATATGTACCACGACCAGGGATCGAACCTGCAACCTAGGTGTGTGTCCTGACTGGGAATTGAACCAGCACCTTTTGGTGCATGGGATGACGCTCCAGCCACCTGAGCCACCTGCCAGGGCTGACTTCTAACTTTTCAAAGTGCTTTGTAGGCTACAGGAAGAGCAACCCTGTTTGGAGATGTATGGTTTAGTTAGCCAAAGAAAGATGAAAATAGGGAGCAAGTGGAATTAAGAGCTGCAGTTACGCTGCCTGGGAAGCTGTGTTTTGTGTGAAAGGGATGAGTAGGATGCTGGTTATGATGGCAGAAAATCGCTTCCCTCTGCTGATCCGTGGATTACTGTGTTAGAACGGAGACAAGAAAACAAAGCCATCTTCTGGGTCTTGGACTTTACTCTGGAAGCATGACAAGGACATGGAGGAAGATACAGCGTCCTCGTCCTCTGGAACGATCATTCAGGTAATACTGGCCCTCACACGTGTGTGGGAAGGGGGATTGGGATGATAAGGGTTAGTAAGTCAAGGAGAAGAATTTCTTATTTGAAAGAATGCTTAGGAAAGAAACCTGCTTGGGCTGGAAATTTTGAAAGCTTCTCACCATTACCTCTCCACAAATGCAAAGACAGCCGAGTACTTCCTTACCATTTATTTGCGTTTCTGTTTTGCACTCAGTGATAATTTTTCCGAGGAAAACTCAATATGTGACAATCCAGACAGACAAAATAGATAACTCAGAGGAGCACCTTAAAAGCTCACCATAGTGTTTCGGAGCATTTAACACACCTCTCTTTTGGGAGTAGTTGTGGGAAAGTTCTCTGCATAATCCTCTGTTTGAACAAAGTGGTATATAAGAGAAATGAATTAATAAGTTTTTTGTTGCTAATGACCTTCTGAATCTTCTCCAATCTCTCAAAACAGAAGGCAAATGCCCTCACTTTAGAAAATCATAAGCTGATGTGAACATGATGCTTTTCCCTTGCTCCTGAAACATGTCTTTATCCTTCTGACCCATGCACCTGCCCACCCCTGCCTCCTGCTCAGCTCCAGCCCTTCCCGCCAGTCCTCTCATTTCACTGGCCCTGGGCTCTGCTTGTACCGCATCTCCAGTCTCTGTTTTTGGCCAGGGTCCTCCCCTCTCTACCTCAGAAGAATTCAGTTTTCCCTTTCCTCACAAGATCCTTTTTTCATGCCCCTACCCTCCAGATAAGCCGAGTGTCCCAGAGCCCAGACTTGTAGAAGCTGCTTTGTATCCCTGCAGGGCCCTTCTCTACATCTGCCTGTAGACTTCCCGCCTGTCCACCAAGGCCCATCTCAGTGTCCACCTCCACGAAACCCTGACTCTTCCCCGTTGTTTGCCCGTAGTGTTCTGCGCCTCAGTTATGACCTGCCACGTTTTTATGCATACACTTGACATGGTTTCATAAATGGCAAGAACTCTTTTCGTGTCTTGTACTGTGCTCAGTTGATACTTTAGTGCATTGACTTTCTTGATCTTGCTTCCCAGGTCCATCACTGTGCTTCTTCTCATTTATGGCTAATTGTCTTTACCTGATGCTCCTCACCCTTGGCCCCTTTTGTAATCAAGTTTTTACTCCTGGCGATATTTAAATTGCCATTGACTTTTGGAGCATCGATTTATGCCCTTTTATTAATCCTAATCCTTACTGATCTCTCCAGCATCAGACATTATCAACTACCTCTTCTTGAAATGCAGTGGTCTTTGGACTTTCCTAATTCTGCACTTTCTTGTCTCACCTACCTGCAGCCCCTCCTCCACGTCCTTTTGCCCCATCCCTGTGATGGTAGGCATCCCCCAATGTTTCATCCTCTTCCTTCTCTTTTATAGCAACCCCTCCGCCGCCCATTGATTTAGTAGTCACTTCTATGTCAGGGACTCCCAAATCAAGTATCTAGTCTTGACTTTTCCCTTAACTCTGTTTCATATTTCTATATTACTGATAGATTTCTCTTTTTGTTATCTAAATTTTTTTTGTTAATCCTCACCTGAGGATACTTTTTTCATTGATTTTTAGATAGAGGGGGAGAGCCCTGGCCGGTTTGGCTCAGCAGTTAGAGCATCAGCCTGCGGTCCAGAGAGACCCGGGTTCGGTTCCCGCTGAGGGCATGTACCTCGGTTGCAGTTTGTCCCCGGCCCTGGTTGGGGTTGTGTGGGTGGCAGCCACTCGATGTGTCTCTCTCATGTTGATGCTTCTCTCTCTCTCTCTCTCTCCCTCTTTCTCTCCCCCTCTATCTGAAAATAAATGCAAAAATAAAAAAAATAGATGGGGAGAGAGAGAAAGAGAGACATTGTTGTGAGAGAGACACATCGATTGATTGCTTCCTGCACGACCCTAAATAGGGCAAGGGATCAAACCTGCAATGTGTCCTCGACCAGAAATTGAACCTGTGATCCTTTAGGTCCACAGACCGACACTGAGCCCAGCCAGGTCAGATTTCTCTTTTTGGATATATTTTGTCATCTCAAACATATTTTTACCGTTTCCTTCAAACTTGTTCTTCCTCCTAATTTCTCGGTGTCTGTCTTTTTTTCGATCCTCACTCAAGGATATATATATTTTTTGCATTAATCTTCAGTTAGAGCTGGAGGGAGAGAGGAAGGAAGAGAGAGAGAAACATTGACGTGAGAAAGACACATCAATTGGTTGCCACCCGCACAACCTCAACTGGGCCGGGGATGAACCACAACTGAGGTACATGCCCTTGTTCAGACTCAAACCTGGGACAAGTTTCAGAGTCGTCTTAGATACCTCATTTCTCTTGCCTTTCTTGTCTTATCAATGGTCAAGTGATATCCAGTCAGTCTGGACATCTTCTCCCATTATTTTTGCCACTGTCGTATTCCAGGCAATTATTACTTCTGTAGCCTTTTGGAGTAACTTCTCATTGGGTTACAGCCTCCAGTCATTTTTTCTAATCTGTCTTACACATGGCTTTGTACGGATGGCTTTTCATGAAACCACTGACAATCTGCAGGCTTTCGTGATTCTGATTGTGTACTGAGTAAAATGCAGACTTCTTACCCTGGCAGTCCAGACTTTTCATGATTCCCACCTACCTTTCCAGTTTCCCCTGTAGTTAAAAGTTCAGCCAAGGTAGCTAAACCCAACTTTACTTTAGTTCTTGGTCCATCTTTCTAATAGCAGGTACTGTTTTCAGTACAAGGAACTGAAAAGTAACATTCTGTTATGAAATTCTGAATGCTTTATACTATATGTTATTGTTTAATAATGGCAAGCATGAGTGAGGTAGATTATATTCCCACTTTAAAGATGAGGTAAATGATACAAAAAAAAGAGAAAGAAACAAGAGAAAAGAAAAAAAAGATGAAGTAAATGAGACTCAGTATCTAGGTTCACTTGTCCAAGATCATACAACCTTTAAGTAGAGCAATCAGATTGGTTGAGACAATATCCGTACTTTTCCCACCCCATTATATTAATTATTTGTGTATATGACATTTTCCTATTTTTCAGCCGTGGTTAGTCTAGTAAGTGGAGGTGCTGGATCAAAGTATACGTCCATCTAAAATGTGACACACATCCAACTGTCCTCTAGAAAGACCCAGTTTTACTCCCACCTGGAGTGCACAGAATTGAATATTTTTCATCTTAGCCAGATTTAGTTAGTAGTTTAAATTAAATTTATATTCTAGGAGTGTTGCATATCTGTTTAAGTGCTTATTGGCTTTTATATTCTTTTGTGAATTGTTTATTTTTGCCATTTGACTGGTTTTCTGTGGAGGGGCTGATGCTTCCCTATTTGATGTATAGGAGTTATTAATATATTAGGGATATTACTACTTTGAAAGTTGTTATCCAGATCTCTTATTTCTCTTTCAGCATAGATTTTTAGTGTGCACTATTATTATTATTTTACTTTATTATTATTTTTAATCCTCATTTTCCATTGATTTTTTTCAGACAGAGCGGGAGGGAAAGAGAGAGAGAAAGACAGAGGAACATCGATGTGAGAGAGACACATTGACTGGTTGCATCCCACACAACCCAACCAGGGCCGGGAATCGAACCTGCAACCAAGGCACGTACCCTTGACTGGAATTGAACCTGCAACTCTCCAGTCTGTGGGTCAACGCTCTAACCGCTGAGCCAAACCAGCCAGGGCTATTTTTGTTGTTAATACTAACATTCATTCCTTTATTGTCATGCTTTAAAAGTCCTTCCCCATTCCTATATTAGAAAAAGATTCAGCCCTGGCCGGTTTGGCTCAGCGGTTAGAGCGTCGGCCTGCGGTCCTGAGAGACCCAGGTTCGGTTCCCACTAAGGGCACGTACCTCGGTTGCAGTTTGTCCCCGGCCCTGGTCGGTTGTGCGGGTGGCAGCCACTCGATGTGTTCCTTTCACGTCGATGTTTCTCTCTCTCTCTGTTCCTCTCTCTCCCTCCCACTCTACCTGAACAAAAAATGGAAAAATGTCCTCGGGTGAGGATAAAAAAAAAAAAAAGTCCTGAGAAAAAGATTCACTCATATTTTCTTCAAGATTTTTTATGATATAACTTTTACATTAAATTGTTCAAAGTGAGAAAAAGATCTAGTTAATATTTTTCATGAAATGCCTGGGTAGTTCTTCCCAAGTTTAACAAATTCACCTTTTCTCCCATTAGTTGAAATGTAGCCTTTATCATATAATTTAATTTTCATAATCACCTAAATACATAATTCTCTGGATTCCTTATGTGCTCCTCATAAACTAGAGGACAAACCTGAAGAAGGTGATTTTTTTTTTCCTAATGAACAAACTTTTTCTGAATGCACCTGACTTCTCTGGACATTTCTACAAGCAGGTGATTTGTGAAATGAGCAGGTGCGGGAAGAATGAGTTGCATGGCCATAGAACAGGACCTTTTCTGGACCTCTGATGCTTTTCTTCACAGGAGACGGCTGGGAAAATTAGCACGTGTGATAGCTCCATGGCACAGGTCCTTGCACCAGACTCACTAAACACGGAGCAAGGCTCAGCGTTTTCTTTGCGCCCCAACCAAACAGAAGGGGTAAGTCCCTGTTGGTAACAAGCCAGAGCTCACGTACCTGAGCTCCTAGAGACGGCAAGCTTTCTATGTTTTACAATGCCGCGTATTTCAAGCCCAAAGTTCTTTGTGAACCTTAACATCTTCGTATGTGTTGTCAAGTGGAAGAACCGGAAGATTTGCCAGCAGATGTTCACATGACACTCACCATTTGTCAGAGTGAACTCGTCTCTCCACTAACCACTACTTCTTTTTTCTGTGGTTACTACTTATGGGGGCAGTGAAAGTGGAGGGGAGTTAATATTGATTAACAAATGCCCATTATGTAAGAGGCACTTATATTTGCTGTTTAATCCTCAGATTAAATAAGGTAGATTAATACCTGCCATAAGTTTACAAATGAGGAAGTCAAAATTCAGGGATTAAGAGTCTGGCTGGTAAGTGGAGGAATAAGGAGTCCAACCCAGAATATTACAGTCGGCTTTACTGATTTGAATATTTAGTACTGAAAGATGTGAAACCAAGATAGGTTTGGCCTCACACAATAAAACACCACCAGCCTGTTCCAGCAGCAAGTCTAGTGTCTGTGCAGCATGACCAGGCAATTGTGCATTTTATAAAAAGAGCACATATGCCCAGCTGGTGTGGCTCACTGGTTGAGCGTCAACCCATGCATCAAGAGTTCACCGGTTTGATTCCTGGTCAGGACACAGGCCCAGGTTGTGGGCCCAATCCCCAGTGGGGGGCATGCAGGAGGCAGGCAGTCGATGTTCTCTCTCATCAGTGTTTCTGTCTCTCTCTTCCTCTCTCTTCCTTTCTCTCTAATATCAATAAAGAAAAAAACTTTTTTAATTAAAAAAAAGCACATATGTGTATATGTGTGGCAGGGGGAGATATGCATATGTTTTTTAGAATTAACTGTGAAATATTTAGTAAATTTAAAGGGTTGGCAATTTGGCATAAAATATGCACAGCTACGGCCAGAAAATGAGCTTATATTTTAAATGGATCCTGTTACTTAGATTAGTGATGTGTTGATGCAGGAATCGAGCCGTATGACCTTCATGAGAGGCTAACTTGGATCCCCCTAGAAGGTGGGCTAAATTATGTCAAGAATGTGTCCTTGTAGACTCTAAGGCATCATGAAATCAGGGATTAAATTTTGGTTCTACTTACTAGTTGGGTGGCCATAGGCAATTTTTATAACCTCTCTCAGCCTTAGTTTCCTCATGTGTCCATCAGGAATGATAATGAGCTCGTGGTGTGTGACGCTCAGGTGGTCTGTGCGTCACACTGAGCACGATCATGGCTCATCATAATCCAATGGAGGGTTAGGTATTATGACTTTACAGTCATGCTATAGGGGTGATGTGATTCTGTCACAAATACTGTGATGATACTTTTTTAGCCCCCCAAGATGTGTAATGATAAAACATTCATTTAAATAATGTCTGTTTTTAGAATTTGGGGCTATCATTTAGCAGGGGAGCTATTGTGGAAAAAACTGTGGACTCAGACTTAAAAGATTGCAGAGCTGTGTGACCTTGGGCAAGTACCTAGTGTCTGGGCCTGAGCTCCTCAGAAGCCATGTGGTGATGGAGGAGGTGTGTGACTGGTAAAACGTTAAATGCACTTGGGTTTCTTTGTCTATAAAAAGAGGCGGATAAGCTGATTACTGGCCAGTTCCCCAGGGCACCTTCAGCTGTTAATGTTCTATGGTTGCACATACTCTTTTTCTCTTCTGTTTACCTTTGTATTTTTTGTCAGGTTCAAATAACTAGCAAATAAAGCCCAGCTTAGTTATGGAGCTTCCTGTTTCTTCATTAATTCAGTGAATTAGTAAGAAAGCAAAGAAACTAAATCTTGTTTTAAAAAGGTGTGTGGCGTATGGTGGGTACTCAAATAATATATATTTTTATTGATTTTAGAGAGAGGAAGGGAGAAGAGAGAGATAGAAACATCCATGAGAGAGAACATCGACTGGCTGCCTCCTGTATGCCCCTCACTGGGGATTGGGCCCACAACCTGGGCATGTGCCCTGACCAGGAATCAAACTGGCAATTTCTTGGTGCATGGGTCGATGCCCAACCATCCAGGTGTGAAATAATATATATATATATTTTTTTTTTTTTAATAAAGTTTTTTATTCCTTTTTGCTTTTTTTTTTTAATCCTCACCTGAGGATATTTTTGCATTTATCTTCAGATAGAGAAGGAGGGGAAGAGAGAGAAAGAGAAACATCAATGTGAGAGACATATTGGTTGCCACCCATACGACCCCATCAGGGGATGAGGATAAACTGCAATCGAGGTACGCATGTCCTTAGCAGAAACCAAACCCAAGACTCTTCAGTTCACCGGCCAACACTCTAACCTCTAAGTCGAACTAGCCAGAGCTGAAATAATATTTTTAAATAAATAAGGAAGGTGGATGATAAATCTGTTATACAGATATATTAATATTAATAGATTGTTATCTCAGGTAACTAAAAAAAGGATTCCATAATCTTTGCCACTAAGACAAAAGCCCTATCTGAACTCTACGAAACAATCAGATGACTAGAAATTGGTGTCTGGCAGCAAAATCACACAACTGTTGCTTTTTTTTTCTTCTTTATTGGTTTTAGAGAGAGAGGAATGGAGAGGGAGAGAGAGACAGAAACATTGATGAGAGAGAACATTGATTGGCTGCCTCGTGCATGCCCCCCACTGGGGATCGGGCCCACAACCTGGGCTTGTGCCCTGACCGGAAGTCAAACTGGCCACCTCTGGTGCATGGGTTAATGCTCAACTACTGAGCCACACCAGCCGGGCACAGCTGTTGCTTTTTTAAAATGAAGATTGAAAAAGAAATTTAAAATAGGTAAAGCCATGTATAAAGCTAAGTATGCGTGAACTGCAGAAAAAACAAGGGAACACTTTCTTAAGAAGGTGATTCTTGAACAAAATATTGATGAGAACTGGGGAAGAGTAGCGTTTAGGTAGGAAGAGCGAATGTGACATTTATAGATGGTCACGGGGAACAAGTATAACCCAGAGACACTCTCGCCAACACAGCTTTCGTGACGCTCATTGGTATGTAAGAAAATGAGTGGCATTGTCGTACACTGCGTGTTTCTGTTACCACTTGCCAGTTTTGTTTATTTCAGTGGTACTAAAAGTTCTATGTTTAAACAAAATCCCTCAAACATTGGGAAATGTGCATTTGAGTTGACTTAGGGTGTACGTTTGTCAGTAACTCCCATTAGAAGTTTGTCATTTGGCCAAAACCGTGCTTTATTAGATGCTCGTGTGTAGTTAGCAAAGTCTTATATAGAAAACACTGTATTTCATCATAAACGTAATGAGATACATATTGATCAATAATTTTGTAGAGCAAAACACAAATCCTTATTCCTAAAGGAAATTTTTCAGAAGGGTTGATATACTCTTTCAGTATTTTGGAAAAGGATGTGGGAAGCAAATATAGTTTTACGTCAGATCATGTTTTACCTCCAAATTGAAAATATCTATTATGGGATTATTAGAATTTTTTCATCTGTTATCTAGAAGAAATTTTTCTGCTGGATTAAGAGCAACCTTGTTGTTTCAGTATGAAAAGAAAACCTCAAACTTTTTTATACTCTACTACAAGCAGCTGGTTCTTAACTCAGTAACATTTGAGTTGAGGTGAAAATTAGTTTTAGGGGTTCCCTCTGAAGGGTAGGAGGAAACTTTCCAGATAACCTCACTGAAGCTTATTACTAGACTCAAGCTATTTTTAATAGATATGTAGATGAGTAACATCATGTATGTTAGGGGGTAAAAAAACAAAACAAAAATATTTTATAATCTAACTACCTGAGAAGATATTAAAAGGCTGTGTACATTTTCTTGTTTGCCAGTCGGTGTGTAAAGATCTTTTTGTTTGACTAGAGCGCACAGCAATGTAAGCATTGCGCAATCATGTCTCACACAACTTTAAATACTGGCCAGTTCGCTGAAGTGTGTCAGACACACACCCCCACATGCACACCCTCTCACAACACTCACCTGTCTCCTGGGGCTGCCGCTGAATGCACTGGGAGTCTGTTTGCGTCCTCTGTGGTCGGGAACACTGTACCTGTATACCTGCGGATCGGCTGCTTGGAAACCTGGGGCGCCAGGTCACGTGATTGTTGCTATGAGTGTGGAGGTGCAGTTTTCTTTTCTTTCTGTGTGTGTGTGTGTGTGTGTGTGTGTATGTGTGTTTCTATTCTTTTAACTGGGGAGATGCTGCAAGTTCACAGGTCTTTGTGAGCCCAAATCTGAAAACTTTGGACTTCTGACTTTTCACTACTGGATTATCTGTGGATTTATCTTAGGGTGCCACACCTCCTATCAAGGCTACAGCCCTGGGCTTTTCTGCCGAGCAAGGAGCTTTTCATTCCACTGTGGAGAAACCTAGACCTGAGCCTGCTGAAGTCCTCCATGCCTGCAAGACCCAGGTGGCCGAGCTGGAGCTGTGGGTGCACCAAGCCAGCATGGCATTTGAGCCGGAAACATTAAACGCAGACATGCAGCAGGTGGTGGAACAGCAGCTGGTAGGGTGCCAGGTAAGGCTGATGGGTCGGAGTTCAGGGCTTGCCTCTTCACCAATCGCCTGGTCTCTTGGCCAGTTTCTCTTAAAGCAACAGTGTGCTTCTGTTACTCTGACCACTGCATTTATCGTGGCCTCAACTTTCTGTTCTCAGGGTAATTATTTGAAATGACTCATGTAAAACAGAGTATTTGGGAAACAATAATAGTGGATAAGAGTTCAGAATCTAGAGTCTCCATCCAGGTCTGTCACATTAACTGTGAATTTGAGGAAGTGAATTTCTCACCTCATTTTCTTCATAAGCAGGTGTCTTAGGACTTTGCCGAGATTACATGAGCTGTAAAAACCATGTCGGGGGTGTAAAGGATAAAATGGTGTTTAATAAATGCTGTTATTTTTATTCGGGATAGTAAGTTCTTTGAAATTGTATTCATCAGAAATGAAACCGAAAATCCTGATTTGCAAGATTGCAGATACAGCATAAAAGGGCTTTGCCGCCCTTTTACTATGACTACTCCTGCTGTTCCCTGGGAGGGGCAGGAATAGAAACTTCCTTGCCTTTAGTCACTTTGAGTAACATGTGCAGGCTCAGCCTAAAGGTAGGGAATCCCTATATCTGTAGCCCTCCGGGGAGGGATCAGAATGGCAGTTTCACAGCAGCATAGTCAAGGGTCCCAACAGCTGAGACGCCTTCCCCAACAGTGCTGAGACCAGCCTTGGACCACCGTCTCTGCCTGATTGGCGCATTTGTGTGCTGCAGTGGTCCCCAAGGATAAGGACATCCTCTCAAAGTACCCCATATCACTGGCCCACTCATAGGGAGCTTTTCCCACTATAAAGCCTATAAGGGGGTGGTGGATAACACACCCCAGCTCCAAGTCAGACACACTTCCTTTTTTCATTCAGGCCCACAGTCTTACAACATCCAGTGCCTGCCTAGCAGGGGACCCAGTTAGGCAGGCTGACCTCCTTCCCTGGATGGCTATGCACCTCTGACCCTAATAGTCAGCTCTCAGGGGTGGGTTCACCCAAATACTGTCACTGCCACCGTGCCTGTTTGAGGAGGTGTGAAAGTCTGCACTTGACTTTAGCCAAAAGGCTGAGTGATGAGGTATGGGAGTCTAGAAAAGACCATGCTACAGCACAGAACAGCGCCGTGCTAAACTGAACCTGTGGCTTTGCACATGCCGAGGACCAGCCTCTTGAGGTCATCCAGGGTCAATTTGCCAATTGATTGTCCTGCTGACTGGGCGGACCTCATACTAATTCCTTGATTATCACTGAAATTCCTGCTTGGACCACTTGTGAGTTCAAGGATTTGGGGGCTGTTCAAGGAAAAGATAAGACCACAAGGTGGCGGTAGCACACTAGGAGCTTTATTTGGGCAGGATCTTGGTGGACTGGGACGTCCCTCACCGCAGGAGACCGTGGGCTTAGAGGCATGGAATGGAGGTAGGGCCAGCACCAGGAAGGGGAAGAGGACAAGGACTCTCGGTGGGTGGGAATCCAGAGGAGTCGTGTGTGTCTAGGTAATTGCTGAGAACTCTGAAGGGCAGCACAGCTGAGGTCTTTATTATTATTATTATTATTATTATTATGTGTTAATCCTCACTTAAGGATATTTTTCCATTGATTTTCAGATAGAGTGGAAGGGAGGGAGGGAGGGAGAGAGAGAGAGAAACATCAACGTGAGAGAGACGTCGATTGGTTGCCTTTGCTCTAAGAGCTGAGCCAACCAGCCAGGGCGAGGCTGGGGTCTCTTAGAGCCCCGAGTCTGTCTGACCCATGGCTAGCCAGTGTGGGCTCTAGCTTTGTATTGGCACCAGTGGGATGTGAGGTAGTGGTCCTGGCCTGCTGTGAACAATTAAACAACATAGGGACCATCTTTGGCTTATTTACCTAACACCATGGCACATATAGTTTAATATTGAAACATACAAAGCCTCTCAGTGGTCTGTAAAAATGCTAAGTTCTCAGTGGGAAAATGTCCAGAGGACAGGTGCAAACAGACTAGTCAAGAAAAATTATGTATTAGGTAATTTGAGAAGAAATGTTCAGCCTTGATTATTAAAAACGGGTGAATCAAAACAGCCGTTGTCTGGTTCCTACATCACATTGGCAAATATTATATCATCCCGGAAAACTCTGGGGAAATTATTGGTTCAGTGTTTTGGGAGGTCAGCTGTCAGCACATAAAATGATCATCTTCTTTGACCGTTACTTTAAATTTATCCTCTGAAAATAACCCAAAAAGGAGAAAAATGTTTATGGCAGTATTAATTACGAGAGTGAAGAACTGGAAATAGGTTAAAGGCTTAACAGTATTCCTATTGTTAAGTGAATCATGGAATATCAACTTGTAACTGTTAAAACTGGAATCATGAAGCATATGTATGTAGACACATGAAAAAGTAGATAGAAAATAGCTAAGTGGAAAAACCGAGTGCAAAATTATGTTACACTGTTGTTTACAGCCGCTCTAAAATCTGAGTACATATTATTTAAGCTTAGAAGAGTCTATGTAGGATACAAGTAGTTTGCTTGGATGGAGGAGTTATAAGGCATACTATTTGAACATTTGTTTTAAGGTTAGAGTTTTTCCTTAACTTTCTCTCAAAGAACTAAACTTGTTCATAGTCACGCACTGAGTTTTTAGCACAGATGATGCCAGTGCTGGGGGGTGCGTTCGAGGGCTCCCACTGCACTTGTGTGCCCAGCCAGTTGGCATGACTGTTTGGGCTCTGGAGCCCCAGAACAGGGCAAACTTGATCTGTCCAGGGGGAATACAATGACAGTGACTAATCGGGAAACTTATTTCATCCAGCTGAGTTATTTTTAGACCCATGTGTAAGTTGGCCAGTTGTATCAATGACTTAGTGTTTTAGTTCCAAATTATTTCCTCTGTGGTCTTCTGATATTTTGTAAGCTTATTTGGCTTGAGAAAGAAAAGAAAAAAGAGTTCTGTGGAATTCTATTTTTAAATTACTACTCAACACTTGCATTGCAACAGAAAGAGGTTAGGAAGGTGGGGAAAAAAATAATAGTTGGCACAGACTATGTATCAAGCACTGGCCAAAGTACATGGATTTAACTCTCACTCGTCAAAGTGACCCCAGGAGGTACATTCTGTTATTATCCCCATTTTACAGATGATTAGAGGTACACTCATACAATGTGAGGTGCCTGAGTTTACCTGGCTACTGAGTCTCAGGGTTGGGATGTGAACCAGGTAGTCTAGTTCCAGTGTCTGTGTTCTTAACCACTATGTTGTGCTGGGTACATTCAGCTGTGTTTTCTAAAGTGATTGTAGAATCACTTATTTTAGAGAATGACAGCTGCAGTTTGGGATTGGTTTGGTTGCACCCCTGTTGAGAAGCACAGAAATTATGTGGAAGTTTTTTTTCCTCCCACAAGGTCCCTTCCAACCTGTGTTTCTGGGACTTCTTATACATTTAGATAGAGAAAGTGAATCTAACTGATATTGGAATATACACTCTTTCAAGACCAAAACTTGGAATAATGACATTATTTTCTTTCCTAGGCTATGCTAACAGAGATTGAGCACAAGGTTGCCTCTCTGTTGGAGAATTGCAAAGATCAGGGCTTGGGAGATAGTGGAGCCACTCAACAGGAAGCCGAAACACTTGCCTTGAAACTGAAAACTGTGAGGTGCAATTTGGAGAAAGTCCAGCTTATGCTTCAGGAGAAATACAATGAGGACCAGGTAAAATATGCCTGTGTATAGACATGTATGCAGATATACGATTACAGTAGTCCCATCAGAAGGATCCCGGGGTGTAGATGCTGAAAAGCTACAGAGGAATTACACTAAGAAAGAAAGAATTGAGCCTCTTCAAACTGTAAAGGACAGTTGCACTGCCTTTTGTTACCGGTTTCATTTCGCTGTGCACTTTTCATATCTAGATTGTTCTTAGTGATGGCATGGGTTTGGTTTGGGTTGGTTTGATTGGCTTGATCCTTGTAGGCAATGAGGTCTGGTGTAAGCCTTCTTCATAAAAGAAGGATGCATTTTAAAGGCATTTTGTGACTCTAATGGACTGGAAAACAAGGCCTTTATAGAAAAGATTAGCATTTGACATCAGAAACACAAAACTGTTTCTAGGGTACTTTTGTTATTCATTTACAAATAGTTACATGTACTGATCACACTATCATATAGTTAAGGTGTTCTTGTGACTTAAAAGCATTCTGTGTTTATAAATACAAATGTACATCTTGTGAGTAGAGTTTTACTATGTAAGACTTGCTCCCATACTTATGTGGCGGCTATTCCTACGTGGAGGGTTTATATTCACAGAAATAAGACAAGTGGCAGATACATGAGCCATATGGTCCCCCGTTTATCCTAATAGTTTCCTTTAAAAAAAAAAAAAATCTATGTTGTAGACGTAAGGGAAATTTTAATTTACAAACATAATACTATTTCGCCTTTTGATTTATTTATTTTTTTTACTTTGTTCTTAAGGGGGAAAAAAAAAATAGATTTCCAGGCTTTTACTAATTGATTGGATGAAGTAAGTTGATGAAATGATAAGATGATCTCTTCCTCAAACATAGTGGTTTTTGAAGTTGTTATGAAATAAGTACATTAAATCATAGTATGTAATTATATTGAAGAACAGAATGCACTCATTTACTTCATGTAAAATGTTTCCATTCTATAGTCTCATGATCAGAATTGAAATGACATGAGACCTCTTTTTAAATAAGGAATCTACCCTCATACAATTTTTTGCAGCATTCTACCATTCTAAAGAAACCTTCTGAGCATCACAAGGTTCTCCAACCAGATAACCTTTCTGAGTTTGACTCTGTTGTCATGGAAAGGCCACAGTTCAGCAGACACAAAGATTTCCAGCAACAGCAGGTAATGTGAGCCCCTAATAGTTGTGAGGATAAGAATATAGGGAATTTGCCCTTGGAGTGCGTTCTGTGTGCCAATGGAAAGTGTGGTGTGTGGTGATCCTGGGTGTGCAGCAACTCTGAGTTTTGCTTTCGTCGGCCACAGTTGCGGACTTTGGCTACTAACTTGGCTACTTTGTTACCTTGCATCTTATATCAAACAAAGAACGTAGCTTCAGAATGAACTTAGCTGTCACTGCATCACCTCTGGCCCTATTTCAAAATGTGTTGGTATATTTTTGGTGACTTTCTATGTGTGCTCTATGTATAAACAACACTTGGTTGTTGTGTGAAATATTTTAAGAAAGTGTTTGAAAGCTAAAAGATAGTATGAACAAACTAGCAAAAAAGAGAAACGGTAAATAATGATTTAGGACGGAGTTCAAATTCAGATGATCTGAACAAAAGAAACCCTTGGGTAGTAACTGAAAACCTTTATTGATTAGACCATTTGAATAATATTTAATTATAGGTACTGGAGTTGAAACCAATGGAACAGAAAGATTTCATCAAATTCGTAGAATTTAATGCTAAGAAAATGTGGCCCGAGTATTGCCAACAGGATAAAGTTACAACTCAGAAATCATCTGTGAGGTAAAATATTTTTAAAGAGTTGGACATCCAGCCCTGGCCGGTTTGGCTCAGCGGTGGAGCATCGGCCCGCGGTCTGGAGAGACCCGGGTTCAGTTCCCGCTGGGGGCACATGCCTCCGTTGCGTTTGTCCCTGGCCTTGGTTGGGTTGTACAGGTGGCAGCCACTCGATGTGTCCCTTTTGCGTCGATGTTTCTCTCTCTCCCTCTCGCTCCCCACTTTATCTGAACAAAAAAATAGAGTTGGACATTCAGTAGTTGGATGGTTGGGAGAACTAAGAGTATTTCTTGAAAAACATTGTTTGAAGGTAATAACATTTTTGTATGTTGATTCTTCTTTGCACCTGTTGTTTTCTCTTGAAAGCAGGGAGGCATCTAGCCCTGAAAATGATGCTTCAGACTCAGTCTTGTCAACCCGGGGCTGGAATGGGGAGAAGTGGCAATATTTACATCACGAACTCTCAGCAAAAATACAGCAGCCTCTCCCTCAGCGTGTGGAGCCTCAGGTCAGTGTGTTACTGCACGCAGGGTAAATAGGCATGTTTACCTTGGAAAGTCCAACATGCATTCGTTAAATACACAGGGATGTTCTGCGTTATGAAGCAATTTATTTTCAGAAAGCAGAGATGCCAAGTGGGTTTTTCTCTTGGCTGCCCCTTCCCACCCTCCTGAGAATCAGCCTTACTTAAGTGCCCCTCCTTTTGCTTCTATAGCACCCTGGAGTTCCTTGATCATAGCTCTTACTATACTGTGCACCTGTTTATTGGCTGTGTTCCCCATGGGATGGTAGGAGAAGAAAGACCGGGTCTGCCTGATTCACATTTGAATGCCTGGCACAGCACCTGGAACTCATAGAATCTCCATTACTGTGTATCAAATGAATGACGTGTGGACAAAAAAGGGGCCACATACTGAACCGGATGGGCTCGGGGGAGGCCAACGCGGTGGCTTTACAAACGTAGTAACTATATGGGATGGTCTGAACATATCTTTGGAATGTCAGTCTCCTTTCCCAGACCCCTCAGGGCACAAGCTTCACCAGAGCACCAGACAGCAGAACCCCTCATGGTTATCTTGTTCCCCGGATACATCTCTGTGTGCCGTAAATGTTCATTGTTAACTGTGCTCTACCCACCAATGTAAAAGAAGTGTGTGACTCCCTGTTTTGCTCTTTATTCAATCCCAGAGATTTCCCCACTTTGCTTTCTCCCACCCCCTAATCCTACCACCAGTGAATTCCACATTACCCTCCTTACATCTCCTCATCTGATTCTCATGTATCGGATAAGCTGCAAAACTGCCCTTCCCTGGAGCATTTTCTCAACCCAGTCAGATTTTGCCTCCCAACAATTGTCAGTTTGGCTCAAACAAACTCAAACATTTTCTACAGGTTTGGGGACGTTTCTTACATTTACAAAAAGAATGAACAATATACTATGTAGAAAATACTTTAAAAAATAATGCAGTGCTATATGCATGTCATCCATTCATCAAAAGAGCGTTTGGAATCTGCAGTGTGCTGGCCCCTGTGCCAGCAGGATCTGTCCATTGGTACTTCCACCACACACCTTATTGGTGCCATTTCTGGTTTTTCATTGCTGTGCCGACTACTGCTGGATCTCCCCTAGACGGGGGACCCCGGGCAGGAGCATCGTTACTCACGGCAGTCAGGCTTCTGCCTTCAGCCTGGCACTCAGACTCCCCAGGCCACGGTTACTGATGACGTCCCAATTCCCCCGTCTGGTGGGAACTTTTCAGTTCTCCTCTCCTGCAGAGAACCTTATTCGACCAATCAAAGTTGAATCAAACTTGTTGGTAGGGCTTTAGTCTTGATTTCCCGTTCTATACCTGTGACATGTTTAGCGTTCTCTTTCCAAGAGGAGAACGCCATCGGTAGTTCTTTCCCCAAGCAGAGCCCTCTCTCACCCACCCTGTTCTTTTATGTCAGTTTTCCCATTTGAGAAAGATAGTCACTCAGAATCATTCTCCCTCCTGAAGTCACAGCTCATTTTCAGTACTTACTTAGCTTTTCAACAACAAAGTCAAGATACAGATCTGCCCCTGAGGTGACTATGTTTTATTTTAAGAGTTGTCTGTATACCAGGATTTTACTAGTAAATGGGAAGAGAAGCAGCTAACCTGCTAACATGGATAGCATTGCTACTAAGTTGAAAGATTAGTGATTTTTCTAAATATAGCTTGTTTTTCCTTGTTTTGCTGTCTAACTCCCCCAAGTGTCTAAGTGAAGCCTGTCATGACTTTTCCAGCTGTCCAAAGTGTTTAAAATTTCATTGTTTTTTCTTACAAACCAAGAAGGTGACTTGGAAGGTAGCATGCTGATGCTAAGGCATTTGCTATTTTACATTAACACCAGCAACATCTCAAATGGTCTCTCATAGTGTTTTCCCTACTAAAAATAGGTTGCCACAGATATGAGTACTCTACCTAGTGTGAGTGTGTACAACTTTAGATACCCAACAACTGAAGAGCTGAAAACTTACACCACCCAACTTGAAGACCTGCGTCAAGAAGCAAATAATCTTCAGACACAGGTAGCGGCTACACGTTATCTATTTTTCTCATTGCAGTAACAAAAAAGGGACATGTGGGCTTGTAACTTGGTCATAATTTTCTTTACAGACAAATAAGAAAACATAATGGAATGGGTCTTAGAACTGCGAATAGAATGTATCGCTCTTACCAACTCTGACAGATTTAGTAGTGGCTGCCAAGCACCAAGTGCAAGTGCTTCTGAACCTGAGCCCAGGATTAGTAGGAACGAGGATCATGATTGATTAGTGCTGTCTGCATGGTGCTCTGGGGTTGGAAGGGCGAGGAGGGAGAAGGGGGAGGGATCTGCAAGGTTTCCAACCTTGAGTAGGCAGAATGCTGAGTAATGTAGGTACCTGTGAGAGTCCAAATTAGGGTAATTACTAGCTCCTAAATCACTTGTAACTGGTCAAAAATTCAAGGTGATCATGGGCAAAGAAATAGAGGTGGTTCCAACAGCTTGTGCTAAAACTGACCTGTGGCCCTTACACTCCTCAGGGCATAATTGTACAACCTTAGCCCCCCCGCCCCGCCCCTATGGAGTTCTACACCTAAGGGTGGCCTTATTCTTATAATCAGCCCATAAATGACACTTCTAACTCCCCCGTTTCACAGCTCATCCCTTTCCCTTTAACCGAGGTGTAATTGACATACAATGTTACATTAGTTTCAGGTGTACAACATAATGATTTAATATTTGTATATATTATGAATTGCTGACCATAATAAGTCTAATTAACATCCATCACCAAAGTTACAATTCTTTTTCCTTGTGATGAGAACTAAGATCTACTCTCTCAGAAACTTTTAAATATGTAATAAATTATTGTTGACTAGTTACCCCTCTGTACTGTCCTTATTTTTCAGATGTTATACTTCTTTCTAATCAACCCCTTCAGCTTGCTTGAGTTCTTTCCTTTCTCCAGGCCATGCTTGATTTCCTTGACCTTCGTTCTCCTACCTTAAAATGAGGGAGGCAGGAGCAGGGGAGGAGGGGCAGTATGATTTCTCTGGGACCACACTTCCACGTGGATGACCCCACTAGCCAAGTCCTTCATCTTGTGATTTACCTTTTAATTCAGCTTCCTACCTAACACTGAGTTTCCGTTTTTTCTTTCTTCATTTTAAAAACAGGCACAACAGTAAGCCTCTGGCCTGTTCTACCCCTGTACCAGCTACAGATGCTTGCTCGGCCTCTGAGGGGAACAGAGTTGCTTAAACTTGTTTCTCTCAGAGTTGACATTTTAATTTTATTTATTCTCCTACATTGTTCACAAAGTGTTTGAAATGATTAATTATAAAAAAGGGTAACATCAATTGTAAGCCGTAATGGGAACCAGGGGTAATATAGGCAGAGAAGTCAAGGAATCCTAATGATTTTTTTTTTCTTTTCTCCTCTTGATTCAGGAAAACATGACAGAAGAAACATATATACATTTGGATAAAAAATTATTTGAACTATTTCTGACCCTCAGTCAGAGCCTTGGCAGTGCGGAGGAGATGCTGCAGACTCCTGGGCTCTTCAGAGAGGATGTTTGTGCCCAGCAGGTGTACTACGAGGTGGGGAACTTGCACAAGCCCATGTACTGGTCTTTACCAGCCAGCCCCCAGTGTAAACCAGAGCCGAAGCCTCTTCCCCTCTGAGCTCATTCGCTGCCTTCCTGCCTCTCCTCTTTGCAGGCACTGGCTCTTGAGCTGAAGAAACTTTACTTAGCTATGAGCGACAAGAAGGATGATCTTTTGAAAGCCATGACGTGGCCTGGCAGGAATGCCAGCTTGTTCCCCGAGTGTTTGGACAACCTCCAAGTTTACCTGGAGCACACGCAGGCTACCGCTGCGTCCAGAAGCAAGTCCCTGAAAGCTGGCCTCGACTATAACCGCAGTTACCAGGTGGGGTCCGGCGCTCGCCTGTGTGGGCACTGGTTTAGGTTACAGCAGGCACCCCTAGTTCCCATGAGCTAAGGAAAGCGGCGAGGCTTTCTTGCTGCGAAGGTCTTTTGGTTCTGCTGCTCATGGTTGGAGACCATTCGAAAGCCAGGACCTTCCCAAATTCTCGGGTATGAATTTATGTTAAGCTGAAGTACTCTTTCTATCCTGTACTCGGTGCGTGTTGTGTCGGAGGATTTCTAGGTAAGAGGGAGCCATCAAAGTTTTTTAGCAAAGAAACGGCAATTTGTGTATGAGTTATGTAGACTCGTCCGGCAGTTGTCTCGTGGACTGGAGGACAGACTTGAAGCAGGCAGACTAGATGAGAAGTTACTAAAATTGTCAATGAAACAAAGAAGCACAGCACCTCTTGTGGAGGAGTCTTGCCCATAAATCCAAACCTGAACCTGATAAAGCCTCCAGAACTTAAGTAAAATAGACACAGGGAGAAGAACGTGTTAAGCGTCACGGTGGGAGTGCCGTCAGCCAAATCCAGACGGTGGGAAGCTGTGCAGAACAAATGATCCGGTTTCTCCCCACTCTCGCAGAATCCAAGAAACAGAAGAGAGGAGGGGGAGGGGGAGGCGGGGGAGGGCGGGGCAAGCCTGCAGGTTACAGGAGACTCGGGATCCCTGTTAATGCATTGCAACCTATTGGGCCTCATTTAGATCTCAATTCAAGTAAACAAAACAAAAATAAATTATAGGCAATTAGAGAAATGTGAGCCCTGTCTGGACTGTTAATAATCCTAAGGAATTGTTATTGATTTGTGGTATTTTTAAAGGGAGGAGACTTGATCTTTTAGAGATACATACTGAAACATATACTGATGGAATACTGTGATCTCTGGGATTTGCTTTGAAACAATCTGAGGGAAGAGAGGTTACATCGAGTCAGGAGGGCTCCAGGGAGACACAGAGGAGAGATGAGCAGCCACAAGTCAGTTAAAGCTGGATCGTGGCGATGCAGGGATTTCTCTATTTTGGTGTATGTTTGCAATTTCTGATGGCATACAAATTAAAGGACAACTGAATCTTTTTTAAAAAGTTATTATTGAAGCCCTAAATGAAATTTTCACTGTTTCTTGGATTTCTCTTTTTGTACAGAATGAAATAAAGCGATTATATGATCAACTTATTAAGAATAAAACATCTTTACAACAGTCTTTGAATGAAATTAGCGGCCAGAGTATTGATGAACAGCTTCAGGTAATCAAGTCAGCATCTGCCTTCACCGCGGACCGAGAGTCTCGGGTTTGAGCTGCGCTTCTGAGCCGCCTCCCTTGCAAGAGGTGGCAAGGCTTCAGTCAATAAATAACAGTGAAAACACTGATGTTGGCCTTTAGAAACATCTCTTCAGTAGTACTTTGTGAAGTGTAACTCAGAATAACAGACCATTGTCACCTGTCACCTGGGCAAAATGATAAGTGTGTGCATGCTGGGAGGTAGCACCCGTACCCTGTTGGTAGGGATGCTGGCCTGGACTGACTCAGAGTTCAGAGTTTTCAGCGTAATTTATTCAGCAAGTATTAACCGAGGACCTACTGTGTTTAGGCACTGCTCTAGGTGCTGGGATGCACTGATATGAAGGAAATAAGCGTATATAAAGATAAATGTGTATGTAGATATTCAAGGATGGACCAGGCAGCACTGCTTGAATTAAAAAAAAAACCTCTGCATAGCCCACAAGTTCTTTAAGAACAGACTGTTACAAGCATAGTGTGCAGCCTTGTAATGGCAAACCATGTGTCTGGAAGGAGCCAGACATGTTTGTGCTGATTTTAGATGCTGAGGGTCTAAGTGAGCCGTGCAAACTGCAGAATAGAAGGATGTGTGCAGTTCAGTGTGTTTAAGGACGTGCACTTGTGTCCCTGCTGGTACGTGATGAGAACGCATTAGGAACCAACTGGCAATTGTGGATCTGGGGGGAGAGCTGGAGGTGAGGGAGTTTCGAAAAGTGGGTCTTTCATTTTCCCTTCACTCTTCACTGTTTAATTTTTAAACAAATATATACACTTCCCTAACTTATTTAAAGTGTTTTCCTTTTTGCATTGTCTCTTTAGAAAGCAGATGCATATACAGTGGAGCTGCAGAACTCTGAGAGCCGAGTAGCAAAGCTCAGAGCCGAAGGGGAGAGGCTTCATTTACCTTATGCTCTGCTCCAAGAGGTTTACAAATTAGAGGTATGTCTGAGCAGAAAACATTCAAGCAGTGAATTCTTGTGATTCTTTATAAGGAGTAAAATATTTTTCCTCCTGCCAAGGGAGTTTAGATTTGTTCCTTTGATTACGTTCATGGTTGGATGAAAACGTGCACACCTGCTCCTTCTTTTCAGGATGTGCTTGACAGTATGTGGGGTATTCTGAGAGCCAGGTACTCAGAACTCAGCAGCCCTTTCATCACTGAGAGCCAGCAGGATGCTCTGCTACAAGGCATGGAGGAACTGGTGAACACTGGGAAGGACAAGCTTGCTCGTGACCACTTGCAACAAGCGAAAAGTAAAGATGCCTTACAGGCTCAAATACAGAATCACAAGGTGAGACACACGGGTCGGAGCATGTTTTCATAGATGAAGTTTCTCTAAGTTTGAACAGAGAGCATCCATTTTCTTCCTTGGGGAAATATACTTCATTCCTTCTTTTAACAGACGTCTATTAGAATGCGTACTGTGGCTGGAGCCCTGCTAAGCTCTAAGAATATGATGGAGAATGAAAGCAGACGCAGTTCCTTAACATTTGTAGAACTTTTAGTTGATGGTGAAGACATTTGTCAAGGAGTCAGTCAGACAAATTTAAAAATAAAATTGGGATACATGCTTTGAGAGCATTTAATAGAGGAAATTTAATTTGGGAGGTTAGAAAAGGCTTCCTGAGAGCTGAGATCTAAAGACATGTTATTTAAATATATAAATGTATAGCTAGTATAATGTTACAGTAAACCCTTTAGCTTTTCATTTATTTCATTAAACAAAATCTCATGATCACCAACAAAAGACGTGCAGTGACAATAAACTATGTAAGACTTAGTTCCTTCCTCCAACAAGCCTAAGTCAAGGCCTTTGATAAGTAGACCGTAGTCTAAGAAATTCAGAGGTAAATATGTATAAAGGATGGAGGGGAAGAGGTGAAAATAATATCAGTTGATGGGCCCTGTGCTAGCTGCTTCTTAAACTCTCCCTGTATCCTTCATGGGGAATCAGAGAAGGGACTCACCTAGAGGTTCCTCCAGGTTAGAGAGCACAGCTCTTATAAAGGGAGAAGAACCATGTGAAAGAAAACTTTCCCCAGTAAAGGCTCTTAAAGTGCCATTCTGGGGGCCTTTATATACCTGGATCCCAAAAGGTCCCATTAACAAATTCCCTTTATTTAGCCATTTTATTGAGTAGAAGTTAAGAGTCAGAGTTTAGGAACCCCGGCTGTTGAATATGTGGGCTCCTTGGGATAACACATCTATCTATCCAACTTATTGTCTTGAAATTAATCAGCCATATTATTATCTACCTTCTTGTGAAGTTTCTTAAACCTTAGAATAACCAATTTAGGAAGATCTCACTGGAAATTCAAATTAACTAATAATGGTTACCCTTTGACATGGACTTTTTTATGGAAAATATTACTTAGGATGGTTTTTCTTTATGATTTGTTAAAATGGCATTAATGCTCAAATATTTAAGGGACACGTGGTTTTCTTTTTGTTTTCTCGTGTGTTTTACTCTACATGGCTATCCTGGGATTTGGTGTTAAAAAAGCAAATGTAGTAGTATAAAAAGTTAAAGTAACTTGGTTTTGAAGATTTTACAGTGCAGAAATATTAAAACCTCCATTTCACAGCTTTTTTTCCAGAAGCTTGCTGCTGACCTGCTATTAATCCAAACACAGTCCCACAAGATGCCTCCTTCTTTATTGCAAAAGAGAGAGACATCTTGGGCAGAACAAATGAAAGAAGTTAAATTACTAGAAGAAAGGTCACTCCAGTGTGGGCTAAAGCTGCAGAGTTTGTTGCAGGTATTTGGGTTACATAAACTTTGTACTCCGCCAGGAATTCCGGATTGTCAGTCACTACATTAGGTGTCAAACACAAATATCTAGATGACACCAAGCAGTGATGAAATGGGAACAACAGTGAGGAACGTGGAACTGTTCTGGTTCTGACTGCTCCTCCCTGGATGGAATATTAGGTGAGGTTTCTCACATGTCAGTTAGGGATGGCACAGCATCTTTCTACCTTCGAGGTTTGTGAAGTGCACACAAAGCAGCACGTTGAAATCCTGAAGGAGACCATTTGGATGAAATAGTCACTGGTTCAGAAACTGCACTTCCTGAATCAGATGATCTTTCTGTTGCTGAAGCGGATTCATGACAACCTTGTCCAGATTCCAAGAAAAAAATTAATCTCTTTCTTAATTTTAAAATTTTCTCCTGTAACTTTTTAAATGCAGTGGATGCTAGCACCTGAAGGAAATAAACAAAAAGCAAGGAAACATTCAATTATATAATGTGATATGATATGGTGTTATTTTATGCTACTAAAATTTTCTAGTTAGTGTGTCAGATGGATATTATAATATTTCATGGCATCAAAAATAAGACTTTATGATCCCAGTGAGTGCCCCTAATAGTCAAGTGACCCACTATTTCAGTATATATGAGAATTAGCAACATATACTATTGAGTGTCCATAAGTTGGCTCTGTGATGTGTGGAGACCCTAGAAGGGGGCTTCTGTGGGAACAGAGAGCCAGGATAAGACACGATTCTGACGAAGGCGATACTGCGCCTCCAGATGAAGGGTAAGCAAGCCACCACCACCTCAAACGGTGAGAGGATGCTTTAAGCACCATGGTAGGGTGATGTTCGTGGACGGGGTGGGGGCAGGCAGGAAGGAAGCAGTCTAACAGGAGCTTCTGTTGAGAAGCTTTCAAAGTGAACCCTTTGCTTTTGCAAATGCAAGAAGGGGTTCTCTCGTGTCTCAAAAGCCTCCGCTATGGTGTCTGCTGAGAATATCATTTTAACATAATCATTCCAGTCCCAACTCAGTTTGACGAGACAAACGTAAAATGCTAATGTCAACTGGATTTTTTTAAAACCTTCTCCACAATGGCAGTGGGATTTCCATTAGACACTAAGCTCTTAACTAGAGTGGGTTATGTCTCTCAGAACCCCCTAGAATCTGTGCTTTAATTTTATGTACGTCTCAGAGTTCATTTTCAGTTTTATGATTAATTTTGTCATAGTCTGGATTTAAGTAAGAGGTCTCCTATTGTGGTTTTATGTTCTTGATTCTCTAGAAATGGGAAGAATTTGATGAAAACTATGCATCTCTTGAGAAGGACCTGGAGATCCTTGTATCTACATTGCCCTCTGTGAGTTTGGTGGAAGAGACAGAGGAAAGATTGGTGGAAAGGATTTCACTTTATCAGGTACTTTGCTTCTACTTAGGCTGTCAAAAGCATGGTCTGTAGTACTTCGTGTGTGTATGTGAGTGGTGTGGGATTTTGAACTTTAAACATTTTCTTGTGTAACTTTTAGTACTGTTATCAAAGTGTGTGTCTCAGATTTTGATGCCACAGAAAAGATAAAGCCTTAAAATCATTTTTGAGTGGCACTGAGAACATGGCCGACAAGGTGAAAACGAGTTTCAAAATCTCAAGTTTTGCCCTGCCTGGCGTTGCCCAGTGGTTAGAGTGACGGCCCGAGAACTGTAGGGTCACTGGTCCGACTCCAGTCAAGGGCATGTACCTGGGTTGCAGGTTCAATTCCCAGCCCCAGTTGGGAGGAACTAATTGATATGTCTTTCTTACATCGATGACTCTCCAGCCCCTGTCCTCCTCCCCCACCTTTCTCCTAGTCTCTCAAAATCAATGGAAAAAATGTCCTTGGGGGAGGATTAACAATAACAATAAAAAACTATTAAGTTTTCACTTTAGATTGTAAGTAAAGAGAATCTGAATTATGTGCCCAGAGGTAGTTATCACATACCAAGTTTAAAACTTCAAAGCCAGGTTCGTTGCCTGAGTAGACTGGATGGGAAATGAAAGTGTGGCATACTTGGGAGGGTCCTGCCATTCCTCAGAGGCATTTAAGCTCCTGCTGGAAACATACTCCAGAGGTTCGAACGCTGTTCAGTTCTCTAAACACCTAGGAAGCTACAGCTGACCTCTTGGCCATCTTGTTGTATGGAGCCTGTCTCTAAGGTAAATAAATGTCAGTCTTCCGTAGGCAGGCAGCTGCCGTTTGGATGTTTGTTAGCCGAGGGAGACAGAAGGTGCACCTGCACAGCTCAAAGAATGCAGTTGCAAACAGATAGCATTTTAAACCTCATTCTATTAAAAAAAAAAAAACCAGTTAAAATTAGCCAAACTAATATAAGCCTGATTATTTTCCAAGAAGTGACTATATCCCTTAAAATGTAACCTGTGATTCTATTAAAAATGAAATCATTATTCTAAGACATTTAAATAAATTTGCCAGACTAAAAGACGCCTTGTAAAGCCACCTTCTCGCAGACTTCTCAGGGTCGTTTTCGGCCTTGTGTCTCGATGAGTGCAGGTCTGTGGATGTGGAACGTCGGTGTCAGTGGTGTGTCCTCGAGTCAAAACAGACCTGTGTTCCAAAGCTGGCTCGGAACCACACGGGCCGAGTGACCAGTGCAGTCTGACTCCATGTACGAAACGGGAAAATTAAAACTTATCAGGGATGCTCTAAAGATGGACAGTCTCCCACTGAAGGCTTAGAAAATTAGAACCTTTCTCTTTTTTTAAACTAATGTTGGACATTTTATTCTAGCCTGCAGGCTGGGGCAATGGGATGGGGAGTCACAAATGCGAGTGACAGGAAGGACATTGGAAGTAAAATTTTGGGCTTTAAAAAGGCTTAAGTCAATTGGAAAATGGCAAAAGTTCTACTTTGATCATAATTTATTTTTAAAGATTAAATTTAAATAGCTGTCAGGATAAATGTCATTATCTGAACCCAGCAATGGAAGATAATTGCCTTAGACAGAGTTCTCTTCAGGGGGTCATTGTGTTCACAGTTGTGGAGAATTTTATTTTTCTTCCCAATAAGTTTTGTTAATGATGTGCTGTCTGCTTTAAGTTAGTCTCCTGACGTCTTCATTTCTCCCTTACTGAATCTTGACATTTAGAAGACTCTGGAAATGAAGTTTTCCCTCCTAGTTGGGTCTAAAGGATAATAAAGAAATATTTTCTTATTGAGCCCCTTCCTATCTAGGCTGCAATATAGCAGGCTCACAGGGACCAGGCAGGAGGACAGAACTAGGCCCCTGAGTGGTCTGTAGTGAGGGTGGTGGGGACTGGGCGGAGGGGGCTGGAGAGAGCAGGCTCTTCGGCAGGAGGCTGTGGCTGCCCCATGTCACCCCACGAGAATACAGACCCCGGTGGCTCGATCTTCCAGTTTTCCCAGAGTCGCAGGAAACCCCGATTTCTATGTAAAATTTCCTACGTTTTCAAAATAATCTTCAGGTCACACAAAACCTGTCTACAAACAGATGTGCCCCGTATGTAGACTGCTGGCTTTTTAAATTTTTAAATAGGTCTGTGAATTTGTTTTCTGTGTATATGGCTAAGTCTGTAGATTTAATCTGTGCAGTAGAAATACATTAGTCGGAAACTGTCATTGTGAAACGTGATCAATAAACCATCCATCCTGTTTGTCTAGCCAGACTGCAGGGTTCTTGAGGGTTAGGAATGGGGTCATGTTTCTTCAGTAGACTCGACTGTAGGTCTTTTATGAAGTGTCTGTGAGTAGATTGCTTGTTTCATTTTGAAATAATTCATTCTATGACTTGACTTTTATTAGCAAATAAAAAGAAACATTGACGAGAAGCATGCCCGGCTTTACCAGACTCTGAATGACGGCAAACGGCTGGCGGCGTCGGTGCGCTGTCCTGAACTGGAGGGCCAGACCGCAAGACTGGAAGAGCAGTGGTTGTCCCTGAACAAAAGAATCGACCATGAGCTGCACAGGCTGCAGACGCTGCTCAAGCACCTGCTCAGGTGTGTTTTCCGAGGGATCGACTGGCGTCACATTTTGCTGTGGAGAAAGACCTCAGGGATTCTGAAGCCCCTGGGTTTCATGACCTGGTTCCCATTGTACAGTTTCTTTCTGACCATCTAAGGGAGCCAGGTCCCTCTTCTGGGCTCCATGGGATCTGGAGGCTCGGATACTGGTGTGCTAGACTCAGGTTAATATTATAATCAGTTCTGTGGAAGCTAGGAATTACAGAATTATACACGTGACCTTTATGGCATGATATTGCTCTTTCCTCTTCCAAAAGTTTTTTTTTTTAATCCTCACCCGAGGACGTTTTTCCATTTTTTGTACAGACAGAGTGGGAGGGAGAGAGAGGAAGAGAGAGAAAGGGAAACATCGATGTGAAGGGGACACAAACTGCAACCGAGGTACATGCCCTTAGTGGGAACCGAACCCGGGTCTCTCCAGACCACAGGCGGACGCTCTAACCGCTGAGCCAAACTGGCCAGGGCTCCTCTTCCAAAAGTTTTAAAACTTAAGAGAAATTAAATAATTTTAACTAACAGGATAGTTTGAGAAAGACTTTGGAGTTCTTCGGAGACTTTTTTTGCTTAGTTGATAAAATCTAGAATCCCTTGGGGAAAGGAGAGAACATAGAACATTTAAACCTCATTCTCCTCCCTCAAGGGGCTGTCTTAACCTAAGGAAGTTTAAAAGTTACAAAAGGGAATTTGCTTGGGTAAACTATCAGATAAATATGTTGGCATCTGGGCAACTGAACTTTGCTGTTACATAACTTATACAAACGCTGATTATATTTTTACTATTAACACATCTATAAGGGGACATTTGATGGATAAAAATCTGTCCTTACCCTATGCGTTTACTTTTGTGTAGCTTTAATAAGAAATTTTAAAAAGAATGTTTTAGGCTTTAAAATGCCTCTTTCTTCTTGATTAGTCATAATGGAGAGAGTCATAAAAATGCCAGGAGCATCAGGTTTGAGATAAAATGATACACTCCTTATAAACATGATGATTTTCTGAATAATGGGGCTGATGAACACAGGAACACATACAGTACAATAAAAAGAAAATATGCAGGTGATGCACATCATCAAGAGTGTTTCTAATTTTCTTTCTCTCACTTTGCTCTTGGTAGTTATAACAGAGATTCGGACCAGTTAACCAAGTGGTTGGAATCTTCTCAGCAAACTCTGAACTACTGGAAAGAACAGTCTCTCAATGTGTCTCAGGACTTGGATACAATCAGAAGCAACATAGACAGTTTCTTTGTAAGTTGTAATAGAATATGCTCAGATAATAATCGGTCAGAAATAAATATCGGGAAAATGTTCAGGGCTGCTGTGATAGTCTCCGTAATCGTTTGTGGATAAGGAATAAGATTGTAGCAGCTGCATTCTCCAGACACAGAACTATTTGTATATACTGCTTATTTATGCATTTATAATAATGAAGTATATTTTTATTTTTATATTTTTTTTCTTTATTGATTTTAGAGAGAGAGGAAGGGAGAGGGAGAGAGAGAAATATTGACGAGAGAACATCAATTGGCCGCCTCCTGCATGCCCCCTACTGGGGATTTGGCCCACAACCTGGGCATGTGCCCTGACCAGAAATTGAGCCAGTGACCTCTTGGAGCATGGATCGATGTTCAACCACTGAGCCACACCAACTGGGCATGAAGTATATTTTTAATTGACCCTATGACATATATATAAGTTTAAAACTTGCTCTGAGATGGGGTATGTTTAACAAATGAAAATAATAATAACTCTCCTACCCCCACAAAAACCAGAGGAGTATTAAGTCATAAATGTTAATGTTAATAAACACATAGTTTTAAATTATATAGACCTGATATTTCTTCTAAAATGTTGTTATTCTAGCCATGGCTGAGTAGCTCAGTTGGTTAGAGCATCGTCCCCATAGACCAAAGGTTGTGGGTTCAATCTCTGGTCAGGGCACATACAAGAACCAACCAATGAATACATAAATAAGTGGAACAACAAATTGATGTTTTTCTTCCTCTCTAAAATCAATACATTTTTAAAAAAATGTTATTGTCCTATTGTTTTGAGATGTTTCTTAAAGGAAAGTATTACTTTTGCAATATAAATTATAGTCCAGCCTGTGTGGCTCAGTGGTTGAGCGTTGACCCATGCACCAAGAGGTCACTGGTTTGATTCCCAGTCAGGACACATGCCCCAGGTTGGGGACCTGATCCCCAGTGGGGGTATGCAGGAGGCAGCCAATCGATGTTCTCTCTCATTGATGTTTCTATTTCTTCCCTTCTTCTCCCTTCCTCGCTCTCTTTAAAATCAATAAAGGGAAAAAAATTTTTTTAATTACACTTTTGAAAACTTTAAGTATTTTCTCTTTGCATTTTTCATATTTTATAGCTATGATTCACTTTGGTATTAAAATATAGATATTTTAAAATATACTTTAAAAACCTATAAGTGCACAGGAAAGATATCAAATATATTAACAATTTGTTGCATTTAGTTTATTTAATATGAACTTTGTTGTGCCCCATGCCTTCTTTTTTAAAGTTGAAATAATGATTTGTCTTTTAAAATATTAATCCAGTAGCTTGTAAGCCATTCAAGGGGCAGGAGTTTCACCTTTTTGGTTTCCTTCCACATGTCTAATGTCTGGAACAGTGTGTGACCCTTCATAGGGAAAGTGCATTTGTGACACGCTCGTGTGTGCGCACGCGCTCACATGCACACACATACATGCATATACATCCACATACAGATATTATTTGAGTTGAATCCAATTATTTTGTTTTGGACTCTAACCAGTTACTCTGGCTCTTGGCTACCCTGTTCTATATTTAAGTTTTTAAGGGTTCTAACTTTTAAAACTGTCTCCTCTAGGAGTTTTCAAAGGAACTCGATGAAAAGTCCTCCCTGAAGACCGCGGTTCTAAGTACCGGGAACCAACTTCTTCATCTTAAAGAAGCGGATACGGCTGCACTGAGAGCTTCGTTAGCACAGTTTGAGCAGAAGTGGACAGTGCTCATAACTCAACTTCCAGATATTCAAGAAAAGCTTCACCAGGTAAGTATTTAAAGACCCAGCATTTAAATTAGCATTCACTTGTTAGCTCACAACTATTTTAAAATTCTTTCTTTGACTCAATAATTTACATTGACACTACCTATTTTTCCCTGGCACCACTGAATATAGGTCTTAATTACTGGACTCTCCTCCAATGGGATCTTTCTTGAGAGAGAAATCAGGCTTAATTACTTTATTTCCCAGTTTATCTGCACCACTGTGTTAGTTTGTATGAAGGTCATTGTCATTGTTTTGGGGTCGTTTAGTCTCAGCCTGAATTCTGGGTTTGTTTTTGTGAGCAACCTACATAATTATGTAGCATGACCTTTTATCAGACCAGATAGCATCTTCAGCAATGCCGTGATTCATTTTGTTAACTGCAGGTAATTAAATGGAAATCATTTTGTCCTTGTAGCTTCAGATGGAGAAATTGCCGTCTCGTAAAGCAATCACAGAGATGATTAGCTGGATGCACAATGTGGAACATCAGACTGCAGGTGAAGACTCCGAGCCTTCACTGAGAACCGCATCTCAAGTTAAAAACCGTCTACAGAAGTACAAGGTAATTATCCGAAAGGAGCCAGAAGTCTTATTTCATCAAATAAGAAGGCAAGACGATCGGAGGGGAAATTCTAAACAAAGAAAAACATGTCGGATATAATTTAGAAAAACTAATTCGGGGGGGGGGATGGGGTGCTGGATGGTTCTTAAGAAAGAGGATTTAGTAGACTTGTTCTTACTCTGCTTAACTTCCCGCAATAGCTCTCATCACCCTCGGACAGTATTCAGTCGCCTGTCCAGCCTCCTGGTCTCATTCCCCCATACAAACTCCGGGCTCGGCCTGAGCACAGTGACTTGTGCTCCCTCAGCTGCGCTGGTGCTCTCCCTTCTCATGCTTTTCTACATGCTCACCTTCGCCGACACCCCCGTGCCCCCCACTTACCTGTAGAAATCCTCCTGGTCATCCTTCAAGAGTCAGCTCAAGTATCTTCTCATTTGGAAATCTACTCCTGACTCTCCCTGCTGCATTAGTTTACTTTCAGGGATTAGGTGTCTCCACGGCACTATCAGTGGCTCCTACCAAATGGTATTATAATTATTTGCTTGGTTGCCTGTCTCCCCCCCTTGACAGCTTTTTCAGAGCAGAGGCTGTGCTTCACCTCCCTGAAATAGCACACCTAGCCCTGTGCCTGGCAGCCAATAGGTGTTAAGTAACTGAGCTTTGAATAAGAGAATAAGTTGATACAGGGAAATCAGTGTAAGGAAAAGTTGATATCCTACCAATAGATATGAATGTGGCTTTGTCTGTGATACTTGATTTCAAGTAGATTTAAGTAATATTGAACAAGCCACACAGAAACATTTATTGTGTGCCAGGCATAGTGTTCGCCCCTAGAAATAGAGATGAATGAAGACCCTGGTCATTGTTGCTGGCTCAAGCCTCTGGTGGGCAGAAGATGAATGGCTTAATCACAAACATGATGTTGGCAAGGATTTTATTTTTGTATTCTATCCCATGCTAACTTCATGAGTAGCAGAATCTTTAGAGGATCCATGGTAATGTATTCTTGCAGACTCTAGTAACCTAGCATGTAACACCTGGTTTTCCCCTTTGGATATCTCCTGAGGAAGTTCTGGAACTTGCCAGAATAAACTCAACAAGTTGCAGGCTTGACAGAAATGTGTTTGGTCCTAGGTGTCTTTAGGGTTGCTGTATCACTTAAAGTCATCCAACCAGGCAGCCAAGACCATCCCCAGAGAAACATAGAAGCTGCCTAAACTGGTCAAGTTCCCTGAAGGTGTTCTGGGTGTTCTGGGAGTCTTAACTTCCGCTTTCCCCCGCGTCATTTCCACGAGCCCGCAGGATGGCTCTGAATTCCCGGGTAGCTCTCAGGTAGCCCCTCACAGGAACCCTCCATTAGTCCCTGGGTCCTGACTGTGGTTCAGATGATGCAGCCACCACACTGTGCTGCCTATGACTTTTCAGTCTTTTTGGAAGCAGTGAGTCCGTCTGTTCCCAGGAATGTGGAATTTCTAAAAAGCCTCTCCACTCAGATAAAGCAGACCACTGATGGGGGAGGTTTGAGAAGGTAGACCAGAACTCCTGACAGGTGCCCCTTGGTTAGTGGATGAGAGCTCGGAGCCTTCTTGAGTGCACCAAAGGGGAACTCCAGTTCATCTCACCATCTTGTTTGTTTGTTTTGTTTTAGGAGTTTCGAATGGAAATGGACTATAAACAATGGATAGTCGACTTTGTTAACCAGTCATTACTGCAGTTAAGCACCTGTGATGTAGAAAGTAAGCGCTATGAAAGAACGGAGTTTGCAGAACACCTGGGAGAGATGAACCGCCAGTGGCACCGGGTACACGGAGCACTAAATAGAAAGGTGTGCTCTCACCTCATTCCGATGCAGGGTGTGGCTTTTGCAAAATACCACTCTCTGAAAAACTTGCAAAGACATTCACATAGTTCATTTCCAGTGTGGCCTAATGATCATCGTGATAGCCCTTAATATGTTTTAGCATTCTCCATAAGAGAGTATGAAAGTAGTTCTTTGGAGATTTCTTAGTGGAAACTTGAGTTAGGCAAGTGAAGAGGATAAATTTTTATTTAAGATGTCAAGTATTATGTGAGGCTACTAACTGGTCAGAGATTTTGACATTTTCTGTGAAAGTAGATATTCAAAAGCGGCAAAGTATTTCCATTTGAAAAAGATTATAAAAAGGAAGAAAAATGTATGTGGCCTTTTTTGTAGATTTTTATTTCATGACTGAAAAGATTAAGAGAACATATTCCTGGAAAAATATTTAATCTTTGTATGTAATTGGTAGGGACAATCAGTTGATTTCTTTATTGTGTAGAGAATGCATACAAATGGATTTATACAATTAAAGATTCAAGTATGTGATAAACAAAAACATGAATTCACAAAAAAGAAAACTATAATCAACAAATTGTTATCAGACATTTAAAATAAACATTAATGTAGCATTACCCCCTTCTTAAATTAGAAGAATTTAATAAGATAAAGATAAAAGCCCAAGGCTATCACATTCACACATTTCAGATAATGGCTTAAATACCCTTTTGGAAAATATTCAGAAAATTCAAGAACCATAATTATCATCTTATCTGTTTTATCTCTTAACCCAGCAGTCCACCTCTTAAACATTTATCATATATAGCCTCTCAAAAAGGGAAAGATATGTGCACAAAGTATTAAATTCACAATTATACTGGGGAAAGTTGAATGCCTTAATTTTCTAACTACAGAGGAATAATTAATCAAATTATACTGTGTCCATTCAATGAAATATTGGGCAGCCTTTTAATAAAGCAAGCATCCATGACATATTAGAAAACAAATACAAATTTTACACACACACACACACACACATATGCATATGTAAATATATAATATTGTATATGTATGTATAATATATAATATTGAGTGTTAGCATGATTTTATTTTGTTCAGATATTATAGAACTTTTTAAAAAAATCTTTTTTCTTTATTAATTTTTAGAGAGAGAGATAGAAACATTGATGAGAGAGAACATCAATTGGCCATCTCTTGCATGTCCCCCACTGGGGATTGGGCCCACAACCTGGGCATATGCTCTGACCAGGAATAGAACCTGCACCTTCTTGGTGCATGGGTCGATGCTCAACCACTATGCTACACTAGCCAGGCTAGAACTTTTTTTTTTATTAATCCTCATCTGAGGATATCTTTCCATTGATTTTTAGATAGAGTGGAAGGGAGAGAGGAAGAGGACGGAGACACATCTATTGGTTACCTCCCACCAAACCCCAATTTCCATTTGGGGCCAGGGATCGAACCTGCAACCCAGGTGCATGCCCGTGACCGAGAATTGAACACCCAACCTTTCGGTCCACAGGCCAACACTTTTTAACTGCTGAGCCAAACTGATCAGGGCCAGATATTATAAAACTTTAAAACAGACAGCTTTCTTAGCAGATTAGGGTTCATTTGAAATGTTAGAATTATTTTTTAAAGAGGATTTAAATTCTGTTTTCTGATTTGTAAATTTCTGTTACAAAAGTTATTGGGAAATCTTACACCTACTAAAAATCTCAGAAGAAAAATATGCTATTTAAAACATCATATCATGACATTTACATTTTAAAGCATGTGGCTTAAAATAAGAACTGGTCTTATTCAACACTTGTAGATACAACATTTAGAACAACTTTTGGAAAGTATCACTGAGAATGAAAACAAAATACAGATTTTGAACAACTGGATGGAGGCGCAAGAGGAGAGACTGAAAACTTTGCAAAAACCTGAAAATGTGGTCTCGGTGCAGAAGGTGCTCCTGGATTGTCAGGTGAGCCGAAGCACCTGCCCAGCGCAGGGTGGGCTCTCCAGTCCGCGCAGGGCGAGCCGTGGTCGCTTCTTGGGACTTGCCTCCAAATCCCCATGTACTCACTTTTTTATGCCAAACAGATCATTATTCATGGTTGTTTTCTCCATGGTAAAGAGAACAAAGTATTTTTCATAGTTATTGATATTCTTAAGAGGTGTTAAGGAAAAAATGTTCAAAGGGAATTTTGACGTAGATGTTTTCTAATTGTTGCATCTTTTTAACTGTTGGTTTTTTGTGTTTTTTTTGTATATTGATTTTTAAAGAGGAAGGGAGAGGGAGAGAGAGACAGAAACATCGATGAGAGAGAACATCAACTGGCTGACTACCTCCTGCATACCCCGTACCGGGGGACCGGGCTCACAACTCGGGCACGTGCCCTGACTGGGAAGTGAACTGGTGACCTCTCAGTGCATGGGCCGATGCTCAGCCACTGAGCCACACTGGCTGGGCTGTTATGTCTTTTTTCAAATGTACCAAACATTCACAAAATGACTCCAAAATTTCACTGATTTGGGGTATTTCATACTGTTTCTCCAGAGGACTGCTTGTCCTTTGGAACCACTGTCTAAATCACATTTGGGCTTGAGGATGTTGGCCGTGCCCTTTTTTGTTTAGTTGTCTGTGGGATGCCCTTGCCCAGATGGAGGTTAGTCCTCCGTCCGCGCTGCCCTGATTGTGCTCCTCCCTGTCCCTGTGGCTGCGGATGGCGCAGGGTCTGCTGCTCTGCACCTTCTGCCTGGAGCTGAGCACCACTCGTCCGACCCACTTCTGCTTAGAAAGTTACAGAATGGTGCTGGATGATACCGGAGCAGCGGCGCCACTCTAAGAGAGCTCTCCCATGGTCCTGTCCTGTCCTGACTTCCCACTAGCCACTCCACTTTAGCATTTTTGTAGACACCTCAGACCCAACATGGCTCGTGGCTGGAAGCCTACATCCCACAGCTCAGTGCTCCGTCCCCGACAGGCCACCCTGGTTTCACTTGAGTTCCAAGCTGTGCACAATGTGGGGTATCGTCACTATTTTCCAGTTGAGAAAATGCGAAGTTGGGGGTTTAATGAACTTAAATGCCTGGTCCAACAGCCAGTACAGATGGACATGGATGGGGACTGTGTCTGCTGGATGGACTCTTTTCCACTTTACCATGATGATAAGCACTTGTTATCAAGACGCTTGTGATGAACAAAAGAGACCCAGAGACATAGAAGTAGGGTTCAGACTGCCAGACTTCAGAGGAAGGGACAGTGGGGAGGGAAGAGATGAACCAAAGAACTTAGCATATAAGCATGACCAATGGACATAGACAGCAGTGCTGGGGCGGGGTGTGTGGGGATGGGAGGAGGATGTCAATGGGGGGAAAGGGAAAAACATCCGTAACAAAAATAAATTAAATAAAAAAATAATAATAAATAAAATCTAGACCCCTATAATAATTGAAATTATTGTAAAAAATTCATATTGTAATGTGACTTTATATTGTAATAGTTTATTATAAAAATGGAATTCAGAGAGTGTTATGATTAATGCCTTTGGTGTAATGTTATTTAATAATATACTCTAATATCATTTTTCCTTGAAAAGAACAAACTCCTATCTCTTACACCTTATTGTTTTGTGATGTTGTACATACGAAAGCTATTTTCTCTTGCCCGTCTAGGATATAGAAAATCAACTTGCCGTTAAATCCAAAGCTCTGGACGAGTTGAGACAAAGTTCCCTGACTTTGGAGAGTGGGACATTGCCGTTGCTAGAAGATACGGCATCCAGAATTGATGGGTTATTTCAGAAGAGGAGCAGTGTCACCAGCCAGGTACTAGGATTCATTTGAAGTGCGCCAGTTCTCTTCATGTCCATATTTTATCTTATTTGTTCTTGTTTAATCACGGAGAATTGCTCTGTACCAAAAGCTGAAAACTGGCTGAGAAAAAATACTGAAGTAGAGAAAAGCATGTCAAAGCCTCCACACTTTTTTGCACTGGATACTTAGAGACAAAGCCACCAATTCCAACATCACTGGCAGTCTAGAAATCCACTTGGTTATCTTTGTTTTGTCTAATGTAGTCACACAGCCCAACCATACAGCATCTGGCTTTGTGTCCTGGCCAGATGTGCGGGAGCAGCTGTGCAGGAGTGGCCGAGTCCCTGCCGCCAGGGAGATGCCTCAGGGAGAGGCTGATCCTGCCTCCAGTGCCGTGTGAAGCTAAAAGCATGGTCAGCATAGGGAGAACGGCAGAGGTAGGGAGAAACAGCACCTGTGAGGAGAAAGAACAGAGGAAGGTGGAGGACAGCGGGTCATTTACCCCTCCCAGGAGGAAAGCTCCAAAAGAGAGAGGACAGGCATCTCCAGACATTGCGACCTTGATGTTTCCCCACTACCGGAGGGAGAAAAGTGTAAATACTAACCAATTATAGGTGTGTCCATATTTCCCAGAGAGTCCTTATTGTGTATTATTTGTCGTCTACTCAAGTCTTTGTTTAACCACTTGTCCCAGGAGGGAATTAGGAATAACCTGTACGAATAAAATTCACAGGTGACCTGCAGCCTAATGCCTCCCCCAGAACCCAAGCAAGAACATAGGGGTTAAGCTTAACATCCCTTGTGTGTGAGTCATTTGTTAAACGTGTCTTGAGTGAGGCACTAGACTCACTGCAGAGGGTACAAAGAAAAAAGGAAATAAATGTGTCTACCCTTAAAGAGCCCACAGGCTACTGGAGGAAACACTTGAACAGATCATTACAACACAGTAAATTACAATATAATAAAACTGTAGAGGGCAAAAAAGATTAAATGAGATAATGCATGTAAAAAACATGCAGGTAGAACTAGGTAAGGATAAACATAGATAAATGGAATAGAATTGAAAATGCAGTAATAAACCCTCATTTTATGGTCAATTGATTTTTGACGAGGATGCAAGACAATTTTAGTGGAGGGGGAACAATCTTTTCAAAGAATACTAGGACCACTGGATAGCTACATATAAAAGAATGAAGTTAGATTCCTACATTTACATTATATACAAAAATTAATTCAAAATGGATCAAAGATATAGATGTAAGAGCTAAACTACAAACTTAGATGGAAATATAGGTATAAATCTTGATGACCTTGGATTAGACAATGGTTTCCTAGACAGAACAGCAAAAGCACAGACAATACCCTCCCCACCCAAAAACCAGATAAACTGGACTTCTTCGAAATTAAACACATGTTTCAAAGGACACCATCAAAAATGTAAAAAGACACCCTGGCCAGTTTGGCTCAGCGGTTAGAGCATTGGCCTGCGGTTCAGGGAGACCTGGATTCGGTTCCCGCTAAGGGCACGTACCTTGGTTGCAGTTTGTCCCCGGCCCCAGTTGGGTTGTGCGGGTGGCAGCCACTTGTGTCCCTTTCACGCTGATGTTTCTCTTTCTCCCTTCCTTTCTCTCCCTCCCACTCTATCTGAACAAAACATGAAAAAATGTCCTCGGGTGAGGATATAAATAAATAAATAAATAAACAAACAAACAAACCCATAGAATGGGAGAAAAATATCTGCAAACTATATGATAGAAGACTTGTATCTAGAATATACAAGGAACTATTACAGCTCAGTAATCAAAGGACAGATAACCACATGAAAAAAAAATGAGCAAATTATATAAATAGACAGTTCTCTTAAGAAGATATACAAATGGCCAATAAGCACATGAAAAGATTCTGAACATCATTGACTCAGGTAAATTCAAATCAAAACCACGATGAAATCACTCCATACCTACTAGGATAGCTATAATAAAAAGTAAGGTGACCACAGGTATTAACAGGGACATGGATGGTGAATGTGAAATTGGGCATCTGCTTTGGAAAACAGTCTTGCAGCTCCTCAAATGGCCAAGCATAGAGTTACCATACGACTTAGCATTTTCACCTCTAGGTATCTACCCAAGAGAAATGAAAACACAGCTGTATCAAAAACATGTTCACAAACGTTCATAGCAGTGGGATTCATAATAGCCAAAATGTCCATCAACTGATAAATGGATACAAAATGTGGCATATTCATACAATGGAATATTATTCAGCCATAAGAAAGAATGAAGTACTGATACAAGATACAACATTGATGGCCTTGAAAACATTATGCTACATTGAAAGAAGCCAGTCACCAAAGACCACTTGTATGATTCCATTTTGTGAAATATCCAGAATAGGCAAGTCTATAGAGACAAACAGTAGATGAGTATCAGGGGGAGAGGGGGTGTGTGAAGAGTGGTTGCTAATGGGTATGGGGTTTCTTTTAGGGGTGATGAAAATATTCTAGAACTAATTATAGAATAAAGCTATTTTTAAGTAATACAGAGGACACAAACCCTAGATCATCTGTCTATAAGAGCAAGGGCTTTGCATTCTCTGCCTGAATAATGATCTTGGCAGCACCACTATCTGTCCTAGTGTCCTAGGCAGGCACTTAACCTCTCTAAGCCTCAATTTTCTAGTCTATAAAATGGAAGTGATGATACCTCCTCTTATTTCTACCTTGGCAGTGATGCCTCTGCAGCACTCGATGAATGCTGCCCCACTGGCTGAGTCCACTTCTAACATTTTGAAAACATTCCTTGTTTCTAGTGCAATGAATGGTGCTTAATGATCTTTTTATCCTCTCCTTCAGACCACATGTGCCATTTCTTCTCTATGAAGCTATATCCTAAGCGGTTACCCTTAAGAGCACCAGAAATTGCACCAACTTTTCATTTACTCATAGATTGAGTCCTTGTCCACTGTTCTTTCCCTGGGCTGTTCCTCCCTAGGCTGACCTCTCTCTATGGTGATCCTTCTGGTCTCTGAGCTCGTTTCCATTCATCTGTTCTATTCTGCGGCCTGAACCTTGGCAGTGCCTTGGGTGCCAAGTGCCCATAGGCGCTTTTGTGTCACAGCTACCCCTGCCACCTAGACAGGTCCCAGCTTCCCAGAGGTACATCTGTGAGGAGTTTCCTTCCTGTCTCCCTTTCTTTCTTCCAATCTTTTCTTTTTAAATATAATGCCTCTGGGTTTAAGGAAGCCTCCCATTCACCATGAATTTGCAGTAACCCCTGTAGTTGTTAAGCAGAGAACAGAGGGCCTGAACCTGGGCTTTCGTGGCTACATCCAAATCTTGACCTCATACTACAAATAAAGACATCTGGTGGGGCCAATATAGTGATCACACTTTATTTCTAATCAGATCCTTATTTTAAATTGGGATATAATTTGCACCATAAAACTCACCCTTTTGAATATACAACTCAATGGTTTTTAGTATATTCACAGAAATTTGCTACTACTATCACTGCTATCTAATTCTAGAATATTTTATTCACCTCAAAAAGAAAGCCCCATACCCATTAGGAGTCAATTCCCCTCTTCCCCTATACCCTAGTCCCTGGAAACCGCTAATCACTAAGCTGCTTTCTGTCTCTTGGATTTTTCTGTTTGAGACATTTCATATTAATGGAATCATACAATATGTAGTCTTCTATATCTGTTTCACTTCGCTTAGCATGTTTTCAAGATCATTAATATTATGTAGCATGTATCAGAACTTCATTTCTTTTCATGGAGGAATAATATTCCATTGTATGGATATATCATGTTTAGTTTGTCCATTGATGGACATTTGGTTTGTTTCCACTGTTAGGCTATTATGAGTCATGTTGCTATGAACATTTGTGTACATGTTTTTGTGTGAACATATACTTTCAGTTCACTTGGGTATATATCAAAGAGTAGACTTGGCAGGTCATATGGTAATTCTATATTAAACTTTTAGAGGAGATGCCAAACTGTTCTCTACAGCAGCCGCACCATTTTATGTTCCCACCAGCAGTGCGTGAGGGAGGGTTCCAGTTTTTCTACTCATTTACCAACACTTGTCTGTAACCCATCCTAGTGGATGTGAAGTGGTATCTCATTATGGTTTTGATTTACATTTCTCCGGTGACTGTGGGTGTCACTCATCTTTTCATATGCTTACTGGCCATTGTATATATTCTTTAGAGAGATTCAATCCTTTGCCCATATTTTAGTTTAGTTATTATTGACTTACATGTTTTTTATGTAACATATTTATATATATTTATATATTCTCGATTTTATCTGAGGTCATTAAAATGCTTCAACCTTCATCCTTTAATGATCTTGAACACATTAGTGATTAGAATATGCCCACTGTTGCATTTCCTCCTAATTAGCACTTGCCTGTCATTTTGGCCAACCACGTTTCGCTCCAGTTTTGCTTTGCTCACTAGTAGTGATCAGACTTAAGCGCCATCTGACACAGGTAACATTTTGCATTTACAACGCTTTTCAGCTTTCAGAGCATTTTCACATACACTGTTTTATTTATTTATTTTTGTTTATGATCTCTGTTTTGTGGATGAGAAAACAGACCCAAGGGTTAAATAACTTATCCAAGGTCAGAAAGCCAATAGACTGTCTCTGGAGTGTATGCACAGGTTCGATTCCTCACCCCGTGTCCTGTCCGTGGGCTGTCCCTCCCGAGGCTGAACGCTCTCCGTGCTGAGCCTTCTGGTCTCTGGGGTTTTCTGTTACCTGTTCTGAAACGCAGCCGTCTTTGGTAGTTTCTGTTCATTGACCTAACCTTCCCACCTTCAGTTAATCACTGAAACTCCTCCAATACCTGCCGATTAAAATGCCTAAATGGTAGTTAGAGTCCTTGGAAAGGAAAAAAATGATGACGAGACAGCCTCTTCATCAATGGTTTTCTAAATACGCTTCCACTTTTCGCGTAGGTCGATGAGCTCAAGGCCTCCATGCAGTCCGTTTTGCAGGAGTGGAAGATTTATGATAAACTCTATGATGACGTGAACATGATGACCATTCGATTCTGGTACTGCATGGAGCACAGCAAGCCTGTGGTTTTGTCATTGGAGGCCCTGAGATGCCAGGTGCAGAGCCTTCAGGTAAAGAACCAGGTCTCGGTGTAACACATCATTGGCAGATAATCTCCAGTGGAAGCAGACACAGTAATGGACACCATTGCATTCGCCCTCTCGACAGAAAAGCACAAAACATTGATGCTGTTTTAGACACCAGCATCAAAAGTACAACTTGAAATTCCAAAATGAATCACATGCGCCAAATAAGTGAAACTTAGTATTTACATTGAATATTTCTTCATTTTTAATGTTCCTATTATTTTACAACATAAAGGTTTGGGGTTTGGGTGGGCGTTTTTTAAGTACGCTTTTAAAAGTTTGTGTCTCAAATAAAAGAATGTCTTCTCAGTTGTTTTCTTCTTCACATTTCTAATCGTTCATCCCCGTCCTATCGAGGTTTGTGTTGTTATCGCGATATGCAGCAAATATTAAAAAGCTGCTGCCGTCTTTGAAATGAGCCAGGCCATTCTGGAACTGACATCCCCTGCTCTGTTCTCTTAGTCTCTTCAAGACGAAGCTGAGAGCCGTGAAGGACGTTGGCAGAAGCTCCAGGAGGTTATTGGAAAACTCAAAGGTTACTGCCCCTCGGTTGCTGAAATAATTGAAGAGAAATGCCAACAGACTCACACAAGGTACTTATCGCATCAGGTACCATTGGAATAATAGATCAGATGTCTTAATGACATGTGGTAAATGAAGTGTCGTGGGCCTTGGAAAGTCTAATCTTCTTAATCATCCAAGATGACTGGTTTCATACTATTCTGGCCTCTACTGTTTGGAAGGATGAATCCATGCATGATTTGATGTTGTGAAGGCTTTTACCTGCCCTGTTCAAGCATTTGGTATAATCAATCTAGAAATACCATAATTATAGCCCCAGAGTAGAAAGCTACTATTTTCAGTCTAAATACCCAGTGTAATCCTCAGGGACACGAAAATCCCAAGCAGAAACAGACTAAGGGGTGGGCCAGATGGGCAGCCAGTTCCACTGGAAACATAAGATTGAAGACATTCATACTACAGTTGATATTTCTTGCCAATCACAAATTTTGTAATTTTTGTTGAGAATTATAAAGTCAGTGAAATACTCGGAGTTGGACTTCTGTTTATATATTGATGGTGCAATTAATGAAAAAGGCCTTTAACAGTGTTGTGTTAATGATCCATCTGCTATTAACTTGCCGGGGGAGTGTGTACATCGAGCTTTTGCTGCAAGGGAAAGGATGGGATCAGGACTCACTCGAGTTGTCCTGACAGGTGGACCCAGGTAAACCACGACATTGCAGACCAGTTGCAGAAGGCCCAGAGTCTGCTACAGCTCTGGAAGGCCTATACCAGTGCTCACACTGAGGCTGTAACGAGGCTGGAACAGCAGGAAGCCAAGTACCACCAGCTTGCAAACATCAACATGTCTGGAAACAACCTGACAGAGATCCTGACCCCGGCCCTGCGGGACATAAAGGTGGGTGCAAGGCCCATTGGTCTTAGTTCCGAGGGCTGAGACCCAGGGACTGGACAGACGGGTGGGTCAGGATAGGTGCATGAGCAGGCTGTGCAGGACACGGGCCAGGTGGAGGCTCAGAGGACACGTCCAGGCATCAGGTCGCTGGATCGGGGACACCTGACCCTACCTCGTTCCAAGTCTCCCCTTTCACTCTAGCAGGTAAATCTCTAAAGCAAAAGTCTCATGCAGCCTGGCCTGAGTGGATCAGTGGATTGAGCATCATCCCATGGACTGAGAGGTCCTGGTTCGATTCCCAGTCAGGGCACGTGCCCAGGTTGTGCAGTAGGGGGCATACAGGAGGAAGCCAATCCATGTTTTCATCTCTCTCTCCCTAAAAAAATCAGTAAAAACATATATTTTTTTAAAATCTCATGCAAAGTTTTAAATGAAAGCAAAAGTATCTCAACTGATTGTGGTTATCTAAGAATAATAGATGTTGAATCTCTTGCTTTGGAAATAATCATGGAAAAAAAAGATAATTATGGACTTGCCTCCATGTTAATGTGGCTTTTCTGTAGTTATAGTTATAACTATAAATATAGTGACTATATTTAAGAGCTGTATAATTTCCACTGTGGTTTTATCTTATTATGTTAATAAAGGCCCCAAAAGTAAGCTTTTTCAAATTTTAAACTGGATGATCAGCTACCTTTTGTGTCTTCTGATACTATAGGACAGACCAAAAATTATTAACCAATTTAATGAGAGACAGGAATCCGACAGATATGATCTGTACTTCTTTTTTTTTTTATCCTCACCCGAGGATATTTTTCCATTTTTTGTACAGATAGAGTGGGAGGGAGAGAGAAAGAGAAACATCGACATGAAGGAACACATCGAGTGGCTGCCACCCGCACGACCAACTAGGGCTGGGGACAAACTGCAACCGAAGTACGTGCCCTTAGCGGGAACCGAACCCGGGTCTCTCCGGACCGCAGGTCGACGCTCTAACCGCTGAGCCAAACTGGCCAGGGCTGATCTGTACTTCTGATCAACTTCTACCTGATCTGTCATTTTAAAAAGAAAACCAAAAGACACATTCACACACATAGTATTTCCAAAGTAGCCTCAAAACCAGAGTCTCATTGTTTAATGAGATTCTATAGTCTCTGCAAATAAATGCATTTATGTTGCGGAGTCTCAGAGGATAAGGTTGCACTGACCCTTAACATGGCATCAAAGCAGATTCCTAAAGTGTCTGATGATTAAATAGAAAACACAAGACCCACCCAAGTGATCTCCAGATTCTAAAAACTAGAAGCCCCAGTTCTGCTGGTCAGTGTTCTCCTAGAACTGGCAGGTTTCAGATCAGCACCAATGATGTGTGTCATGTAAAGAAAGCTTAGCTTTTCCAGCTCTTTGAGATAAATAATAACAAAAAGCCAAGCCCACAATTTCCAGGCAGAAATTCTTCTAGATGTTGATGGAACACAGGGGCTGGGGATCCTTGCTGTGAAAGGGGGAGAAAATGTTTTGGGCTCACTTTTTCTTATCCAGGAGCTGCAGCAGGATGTACAGAAGACCAAAGAAGCCTTTCTCCAAAATGCCACTCTCTTGGATCGACTCCCACAGCCCGCGGAGTCTGACACCCACGTGCTCCTCTCTGGTCAACTGCACTCCCTCCAGAGGGCTTCCTACTTGGAAAAGATGCTGCTTGTGAAAGCAAATGAGTTTGAGGTTCATCTTATTTTTTCATTTCAGTTGTACTTGCGGACATTTCCCCACTACTTACTCTCAATTCCTTGTATCCTATGAAGTAGTAGTAATCCACGCATTGAGGACTGTTCCTTGGGGCAACTACAGAATGAAGCTGCCCCCCAAATATGTGCCATTTGATGTGATTCTTCAAGTATGTAATTGTTCTGTCAGCTGGGCAATGGGCAGATCTTAAGCAACCATTTCTTCTTTATGGGCCATGTTAGTGCAAGAAGTCATGTGTTTCATACACTGTTCAGATCTCAACAGTTCTTTAGACCTCCAAGTGGGGAAACTGCGTCATGGGCCATTTGTTCTCTGCGTTCACTTTGAAGAGCCGTTGTGCCCTGTCACAAAGCTGCATAGAAGGCCATGGAAGGCCGGTGTCACATCTCAGTAGCAGGAGGGGGAAATATGTAGCAGGGCTGAGGGTCAGAGTGTACTGACCTTCCTCTGGTGGCCCCCTCGGGCAGGTGAGCCTTTCCTCCGGAAGGCCAGGGCTTTGCCAGAGGCACAGAGGGAATATCCGGAATCTGGATAGTGATGTGCTGCTGGGAGTTGAAAACTTGACCTGTCAGCAGCTCCCAAGGTTGTGCTTAATTCTGTTCGGTAGGCACATGAACATTGTTTCTAATGAAAATTTCTTTTGTTCTAGTTTGTTCTATCACAGTTTAAGGATTTTGGGGACCGGTTGGAATCTTTGAAAGGTCTTATTATGCACGAAGAAGAGAATTTGGATAAACTCTACCAGCAAGAAAAAGAAGATAATCCTGACTCATTCCTGGTATTGCCAGTATTTATCATTTCTAAGTGCTCAAACCCAGCATAGGATAAAAAAGAGTTGTGATATAAAAGATAAAAAGAAGCTAATTACTGTCGCATTATAGAATCTGTTTGTATCATAACTCTTACACACAGTAATTTATGTCATTCATTCTTGCCCTGTTTTTCCTAAACTCTAGAAAAGTATAACAACATAGGGATCTATTGGTAATAATACACAGAAATTTTAGTAGGTGTTTAACTTTTGATGTCTTTACTAATTAGCTTCAGTCAACTTGAATAATCTAAGAATTGGCTGTTGTGATTAAATAAATTTTTCTGGTTAGTTAAAGATCACAAGTAAGATACCCTAGCCCTGGCTGGTTGGCTTAGCAGTTAGAGCATTGGCCCACGAACCAATGAGTCGCAGGTTCGATTCTGGTCAAGGACACGTACCTTGGTTGCGATTCGTCCCCGGGCCTGGTTGGGGTCTTGCGGGAGGCAGCCACTTGATGTGTTCCTTTCACCTCGACCCCCCCCCCCCCCGACTCTATCTGAACAAAAATGGAAAAGTATCCTCCGGTGAAGATTAAAAAAAAGTAAGATACCCTTTTAGACTAATTGCATATATTTCATTTACTAGTTTAGTAAGGTGAGTAGAGTTAACATAAACGAATGGGAGATTTAAAGACTGCTGGATCCTGCGTACTCCTAAAGTACTAATCCTCGTAACGTAGATCGGGAGGCAGGAGCCTGCGGCCCCCTCTCGGCACCCACTCGTCCCCTTTCATTGATGTTTGGTTCATTGGAATTTTCATGCTACAACGACAGAGGTTGAATAGTTGCAACAGAGATCATATGAACCATTAAGGGCTTAAATATTTATGATCTAGCCGTTTACAGAAAGTTTGCTGACCCTGACCTAGACTGTTACAGCCGAGGTTGTAGTGACAACGTGGGTATCACAAAGGATGTTTGCTTAACATATTGTTGACCTAGAAGCTGTCTCTGGAATATCATTTTAAAAATAAAGTCCTGATGAGTTTGTATTCTTATATGATTTTAGAGTCTACCAAAATACAGATGTTTAAGGACTATGCTTTACAAAGGTTATTTTAAGGATTAAATTTCCATTTGATTAGTAGGTAAACTGCATGATCTGTTGAAGGTCAAGTTGTTGGCAGACCAAATGAAATTTGAAAGTCCAGAATGGGTCCTTAAAAAAAAGCCCTGGCCGGTTTGGCTCAGCAGTTGGAGCATCGGCCTGTGGTCCAGAGAGACCCAGGTTCGGTTCCTGCTAAGGGCACGTACTTCAGTTGCAGTTTGTCCCTAGCTCCAGTTGGGCCAGGGCCGTGTGGGTGGTGACCAGTTGATGTGTCTCTCTCACATCGATGTTTCCGTCTCTCTCTTCCCCCCTCTCTCCTTCCCGCTCTATCTGAAAATAAATGCAAAAAAATTGCCCTCAGGTGAGGATAATAAAAAAGAAAAAAAAGCTTGTTTTCACCTTCCTCAAGCAAGACAAAATCTGAGATCACTTTCTGTTTGCTGGGCTGTTGAGGTTCTGGCCGTGTGTGCACCCTGTTGTTCTAGAGAAGCCACAGGACGGAGACCTGGGTTCAGGCCGGGGCCAACACTCACTAGCAGTTTGACTGGGCAAGTCCTTCATACACGGAGGCCCAGTTTCCCCTCATCTTTGAGATGAGGATGGTGCACGGGATCTCTGCGACCTTCCCATCGTGTGGAAATCTGTCGTCCACAAATCTGGAATTTGTGTTTGTTTCTCCAGAATCATGTGCTGGCACTGGCAGCCCACCTACCTGATGCTGAGCGTCTGAATGAAGTGAGCCTCAAGCTCCCGCTCAGTGACATGGCTGCAAAGACACTGCAGGCTCTGAACCGGCAGTGGACTCGGGCCACGGCGACCGCGCTGGAGCGCTGCAGGTCAGACAGCCGTCTCCACGGTTCTGTTTCCGTTTCGGTAAATGAACGGCTTGAACTCAGTAATGCCATTCTTATACCGCTCTGTTTTATTTGTTTTTTAAACCTTTACAGTGAGCTTCAGGGAATCAGATTAAATGAAAAGTTTCTTTACTGCTGTGAAAAGTGGGCTCAACTCCTAGAGAAGGTGGAAGAGATGCTCAAGATAAATGTTGCCGACAGCCTCCCAGCCCTCCTGGAACAGCAGAAAGCGTATGAGGTAAACCTGTCTGCCAGCCTGGCGGCCCTCACCCTGGGCAGGAGTCAGGGAAAGACAGACCTAAATAAAATACAGAGAGGACCTGTCTTCTGTGGTCAGGTGATTGCATGTAAAAGTCTAACATTCCATAGTTTTCGAGATTTTGTTTTATTGCTGTATTTTATTAATGACAGGACTAGATTTTCTGCAGTAAGTGGAATCTTCTAGCACAACCTCACTTCCACTGAATGCAAACATCATACCACTTGACCACAAGCCTGTTCCAGGACTTCAACTCATCTTTGCATTTTCACTGAACAACACTCTAAAATATGGAAGAACCTGGTCTTATTATAATTGTATGGCTAATAACTTCACAGAAGAGCTTCCCCACGCTTGTGCTGATGTATATTTGGAAGTACTCCTGGTGGGCCCTGGCCTGTGTGGCTCAGTTGGTTGAGCATTGTCCCATGTACCAAACGGCCACCTGTTCAATTCCCCATCAGGGCACATGCCCAGGTGTCAGGTTCAGGGTGTCTACAAATTGATTGATGTCTCTCTCTCACATTGATGTTTCTATCTCTCTTTCTCTCCCTCTCCTTTCCTCTCTCTCTAAAATCAATAAAAACATTAAAAAAAAAAAAAAAAGAAATACTCTCAGTGGTTATAGGCAGACCCTGCCTTTCACAGTGGGCATGCTTAATTCACTGGAACTTCTTAACATAACTGATGTGTCTGCATTGTCACACAATCCAATGAAATGAAATCCACCCAGCCAAAAAGCTTAGTGACCTTGGATAAATTACTGAACTTCTTTAACCTTAGCTTCCATCTCTTTAAATGGATATTACAATAGTATTTAAGTCTAAGTTTGAGGAATAAACAAGATAATGCAGGTTTTCCACAGTGCCTAGCAAATAGCAAATGCCCAATAAACAGACATTAATCATAGTTATTGTTGGATCTTTTTCCTTCTAAGATTATATTTATAGGTGCAACTGAAGTGACGCTTGAGTATTTTTTTGCAGTTAGGCTCAAATAATTTGAAAACTGATTGCCTCAGGTGTCCTCTGTGAGCTTAGATTTTAATAGTAGATATCAGGTCCAGATTTATAAAGTGAATTCTACAAGCTGATATTTTATATTTTAATTCATACACAGATGTTAGAAGCTGAAGTTTCTATAAACCAGATGATTGCTGATTGCTATATCACCCAGTCCTTACAACTCTTGGACACAACAGAAGTAAAGAAGAGGTAGGCTGTCTGGGGGGTGTGTGATGGGGGTAATGCATTCGGGGTAGGCCTTCCATCCACCGGGTGACTCTTGACCACGTCAGTACCCTGTGGCCATGTCAGTTGATAGACCACCACAGGGTCAGTCTTCTGACAGTATTTGAATGGAGTCTTGCTATGTGGCCATAAAAACATGGTGGTACTCTCCCCTGCGGTAGGTGAGTGGGGTTAGCAGACCAGACCCACTCGCCAAGTACAGTTAACTCATTTTTTTATTCCAAACGAGTCATCTATAGGATGTTTTCTTCTCTACCTTCAGCCTCATGATGATTTTCTATTTAAAAAATAATTCTGGCCCTGGCGGTTGGAACATCAGCCTGCGGACCAGAGAGTCCCGGGTTCAGTTCCCGCTAGGGGCACATACCAAAAAAAAAAAAAAAAAGTTTAGAAAATAATTCTGGCCCTGGCTGGTTTGGCTTAGCGGTTGGAGCGTCAGCCTGTAGTCCAGAGAGACCCGGGTTCGGTTTCTGCTAAGGGCATGTACCTCGGTTGCAGTTTGTCCCCGGCCCTGGTTGGTCGTGCAGGTGGCGGCCACTCAATGTGTCCCTTTCACGTCGATGTTTCTCTCTCTCTCTCTCTCCCTCCCACTTTATCTGAACAAAAAATGGAAAAATGTCCTCGGGTTTGGAAAATAATAATAATAATAATTCTGTAAGTGCTGCTGTTTCCAGCAATTAGCTTTGTCACAGTTGTGACGGAACCCCCTATGCTGTGTATATGGGGTTGGGATCACTGGGCAGTGCCAGTCCAGCTGAGCAGAGCCCAGAGGGGTCCTGGCCCATTGAATACTTCTCCAGATGTCCTGGTAGGGATAGATTTTCTCCCCATCGTCTCCATACACCTCTGTATCTTTCAGCATAACTGAGAAATATAAAGCCCATTTCTTTCTAGCTCTGAAGTAATAAAATCAAGCCAGTTGATGATCAACTAGTTTGGATTTGCTTAGTACAGCAAAGCATGAATTTCCCATAATAAATAAAAAGGGCCTTGTTTTTCATGTGAAAGGGGTCACTTATCAGGAAAAGAACTAATCGAGTAGTTGCCGAAAACATGTTTTTATTACTGAAATTACATAAAGTATAACCCTCAAGTAATAAATAACGTTAGCAGGTGCCTGACTGTTCATCTCTTTCCCACCTGTCCAGTGTGTAATTTTCTGTACAGCATTTGGCATACTGGGTGTTTAACAGCTTGCATTTGTTTAGGGAATGGCTGTCATGCATGCTGGCAAAGTACCCGGGTCATGTGCAGCTATCTTTTGCTAAAACGTTTTGCCAGCCACACACCGCCTCTGCTCTGATTCCAAGTTCCCCATCATACTTAAGTTAAGCGGTGCTAAGATTTCAAAAAGTTTGTCTGTCATATAAATTGTGCATATCAATAGCACATCTGAGTTTCTATGATGTTGTGATAGTTATTTTTTCTACCTGTTCATGTCTGATTCTCTCACCATCCTTTTTTCCTCAAGACCGGAATTTGTTTCGAAGTTCGCGAAGCTGAAGGCCCAGTGGCAGAGCGCTGCCCGGAGCGTCCGGCAGAGGAAGAGCGCGGTCGCTGGGCTGGTGAGGCAGTGGCAGCGTTTCAGCACCTCCGAGGAGGACCTGCTCCGCTTCCTCGCCGACACCAGCCACCTGCTGTCTGCAGTCAGGAGCCAGGACTGCTACGGTCTCTGCCGAACCAGGAGTCTGATCCACGAGCTGAAGGTAGTGCGCGCACAGCAGCAGTGGGGGTCCCAGGGTGGGCATTCGTGGAAGACGTGCATTCACTCCAGGTTTTATGGTTACCATGATGTCATGGTTCAGGTGTGCTTTCTGCAATGGGAGACCAGACGGCTAGGGTCCCTAGCCTTGCAGGGTCGGAAACCCAGTCTTACCCATCCACCCAGAAGGAGTGAGGCTCTCTTGGGCTGTGGGAGTAGGGATGGAGTAGAGATGGGGGGGTTGGGGTGACAGACTCACCCCACCCAAGGTTTTATGCTACAGAGCAATGTATAAATTGGCCACCAGTGTGGTAGTTTACAGTGGCACTCTTGTTTACTTGTGAAGGGCCGATTTCATTTAGGCAGCAGAGTTTTCCATCAGAAAGTGGCTTGACGAGCACGGGACTAGAGTGATTAGTCGGCAAGTCCCAGGGCACGTTCCACGGAGCTACGGAATCACTCTCTGGAGGTGCAGCTTCGACGAAACACCGGCCCTCTGAAATCCTGTGCTTTCCTCATTCACTGTCAGTCCCCACCTGGGTGCCCGCCCCTGCCAGCCACTGGTCTGTGTGCGCGGAGAGAGGGCGCCCATTCTCCCGGGGCCGGCAGGCCGGTTCGTGAACAAGAAAGGAGTCGTCGGTCTGATTGGAGGGGGCAGTCAGACAAATTAATAAATAAGAAAATATCAGATCGCAATACGGGATCTGTACGTAATTAAAACAGGGCCAGTGGTGGAGGGGCTAGGTGCTACTTTAGATTGGGTGACCTCTGGGATTGTGACATTTGAACGGGAACCTGAACGACGAGGAGCCAGCCGAGGAAGGAGCCTTTCAGACAGACGGAACGGCTTTCCCAAGATCCCCACGATGAGAACACGCTTATCAAAGCAGAAAGAAGGCTAGTGTGACAGGAGCATAGCCAGTGAGGCCAGTGATAGGTGGATTTGAGAAGCAGGCAGGGAGGGGCATTTTGTAGGCAAGGGTGGTAGCTGGATGAGTCTCGGTGTAATGGGAGATTGTTGAAGAGTTTCAGTTGGAAGAGGGGGCAGCACGATGCTGTTTGTATTTTTTAAAGATCCTCTGGCTGCCCAGAGGAGGGTGGATTGTGGCGGAGCCAAAGGAGAAGAAACCCCAGTGCATTTCCTGTCCATTGCTGCGTAACAACCATCATTGCTACTGTCTCTCAGTGCTGGGGGTCTTCGGCACTCAGCTAGGGGATTCTCGCTTAGAGTCTCAGGCAGTTTCAGTCAGACAATGGCTCGTGCTGGACTCCCTGAGGCCCGCTCACTCTCATGTCTAGCATGTAGCTGGAAACACTCAGATAAGCTGGAAACTGGGGCACCTGGGGTTCCTTGGGCATCATTCCCTGTGATCACTCCACAGGGAAGCTTCTGGTAGCCAGACTTCTGACATGGCATCTCATGGCTTCGAAGGCATATGTCCCAAGAAAGAGAGATCCAAGGGCAAGCTCTACTCCTCTTAGACCTAGCCTTGGAAGTCACGGATGTCACCTCCACCATCCTCTCGTTTGCCAAGGCCATCACACCTGCCCACTTGGGGCTGCGAGGAGGGTTGGAGGCACGCCACCTGACGGCCAGTGACGAGGTTCTGGGAGAGCATGTGGGACAGGGGATGTGGCTGTGAACTTCTTGTGAAAAACAGTCTGCCAAATCCAGCTAGGCTGTTTCAGTGCTCCCAAGAGGATAGATAAGACAAGGGTGATCACAGTGAAGATACAAAGGGATATGTGTGTAGGTGGCATTTATAAGACCTGCTAATGGTTTGGACATGCACGTAAATAAGAATCTAAATCAAGATGACTCCCGGCTCCTGGCGTGAGCACCATGACGAATAGGGTGCTGTCGACCAAGTCAGAGAAGACTGGGGAGGAGCAGGTATTTTGACCAATCAAGTTGAGATGGCTGAAACAAGTTACTTGTTTTCTTTTTTTTTAGAATAAAGAAATTCATTTTGAGAGACGGCAAACGACCTACATGCTCACCTTGGAAGCTGGGGAAGAGTTACTGAACACAGCTAACCTGGAAAGTAAAGAGTCTGTCGGCAAGAGGATCAGTCGACTTCAGGACAACTGGAAGGACACAAAGCTCCAAGTAGGAGAGATGATTAAACACTTCCAGAGCGTCATCGAGGTAAACGCACCATTTGCCTTCCCACAGGGCACCGAAGTGCAGTCCGTAGAATTTTGTTTGTAGTGTGACAGTGGGAATGATTATGGGGTGATACTGTGAGTTCCCCAAAGGACCTTGAGTGCTGCTGCTCCGTGAATCATGCCAGTTACTTAATGTACCATAATAATAGCATTGAAAACCTCAATATTGAAATATATAAATACTTGAGGTTCTATTTTACATTTACTCTTATGAAATAGGGAACTTATTTTTTAAAAAAATTTTTTTAATCCTCATCACCCAAGGATATGTTTATTGATTTTAGAGAGGAAGAACATCAGTTAGTTACCTCCCAGACCCCTTAACTGAGAATCGATCCCAAAACCTGGGTATTTGCCCACAACCTTTTGGTGTACGGGAGGCCACCCAGCCAGGGCAAAACAGAACTTACTAATGTTCAGTGGAAGCTCCATACACAAACTTAATGTTCCACATACAGTCTGTCCTTGGGGTATAGTATATGAAAATAAACAGCAGTACTTCATCTTTCTGTTATCATAAAATGCATTTTTGCATATGAGCGAATTTTAGAGGTAATTTATGATTATATCTTTAAGAACTGAAAGGTTCTTCTGAGTCATTAGGAAAATCATTATTTTGTTAGGCTAAAATACCAAGTTTTTAAGCTGCTTTGAACCTAGACCCTACACTGCTGTGCCCTTTGAGGTCTTGTGTGGTTGTGATGGTTTTCCTCTCTCTCTTTAGTGTGAAGTTGTCTATTTTTACTTTTCATTTCTCTGAGCATATCTACCCCTTATAGCCCAGTCTCCTCTCTAGACGTGTGTGTGTGTGTGTGTGTGTGAGAGAGAACCAGGTAACCAAGCTTATGAGAGATGTTTTTCTGAATAAAGAATAAGTATGTCCTGAGTTAGGGCCTGAGCATCTCTCCTGTGAACAAAGTATCTGAACTTTCTTTGACGTACAGACTGCGAGGTTCTTTCACCAGTGAACGTTTGTTGCACACCTGCCACGTCTGCAAGCATGATGGTGACATGCAGTTACCTGTTTGCTGGGGGAGATGAGGATTCTTCATTTTGTTTCTCTATCTGTTCTCTGCCCGACCAGTGTGGCTCAGTGGGTTGAGCATTGTCCCATGACTGAGAGGTCCCAGTTCAATTCCCGTTCAGGGCACATGCCCAGGTTTCAGGCTTGATCTCCAGTGGGGCATGTGCAGGAGGCAGCTGGTTGATGTTTCTATCTCTCTCTCCCTGTACAAAGATCAGTAAAAAACCCACATATTAAAGTGAACTTTTCCAAAATTAAAATAGAAATAACATTATATAGATCAGAGTTATGGGAAGAGAGGAAGAAATATAGTTGACTCTTGGACAACATGAGTTAGAACTACACAGGTTCACTCATTTTTTCAATAAATATAGAAGGCCCTCTGTATCCCTGGGTTTTCCTTCTGTGGATTCAACCAACTGCTGATTGAAAACTATTTTCTTTTTTTTTTTTTTTTTTATCTTCACCCGAGGACACTTTTGCATTTATCTTGAGATACAGCGAGAGAGAGGGAGGGAGAGAGAGAGAGAGAGAGAAACATCGATGTGAGATAGACACATCCAGTGGTTGCCACCCACACGACCCCAAACAGGGCTGGGGACAAACCGCAACTGAGGTACGTGCGCTTAGCAGGAACCGAACCTGGGACTCTCCTGTCCGCAGGCTAATGCTCCAACCGCTGAGCCAAACTGGCCAGGGCTGAAAACTATTTTCAATCTGTGGTTGGAAATCTGTGGATACAGAGGGTCAACTTAAGTTACGTGGGGATTTTCAACTCCGCTGGATGGGAACCCCATCCACCATTACCACACCCCATGTCATTCGAGGGTCAACTGTATTTTGAAGCAAAAGCCAACCAACCCGATGGTTGAAATGAGCCACACGTGAATGCAAAGAGGTGTCGAACCAGGCTGGTGTCGCATCTGCCCTTTCAGACCATGGTCTGTTCAGGAAAGGAACGAGGTTTCTGTGTGATTTACAAAAACATTTAGCAGAGCAATTATATGGATTAAATGAGTTACTCTGGTTCTACAGTTCATTCTTAAATAGCAAAGTACTTACCAATTTTAACCCTGTTTTCGAATAGACCTGGGACCAGTGTGAAAAGAAAATCAAAGAGCTGAAAAGCAGGCTGCACGTTTTGAAGGCACAGAGTAAAGATCCTCTTCCCGAGCCTCATGAGGACCTCCAGAAAGAGAAAGAGCGGACAAAGGTACTGAAAGCTGAGGTGGTCTCAAGATCTCCCTTAGTTGTTTTCTGAGAAGCTAAAGTATCTGTTTGCCCTTTAGTTTCTGTGTTGGAACCAAGTTTTCACGTTCATTTGGAAAACTTTTTTTTTTATTTTTTTTATCCTCACCCAAGGACATTTTTCGATATTTTGTTCAGATAGAATGGGAGGGAGGGAGGGAGAGAGAGAGAGAGGGAGAGAGGAACATCGACGTGAAAGGGACACATCGAGTGGTTGCCACCCTCGTAACCCAACCAGGGCTGGGGACCAACTGCAACTGAGGTACGTGCCCTTAGTGGGAACCGAACCCCGGGTCTCTCTGGACCAGAGGCCAACACTCTAACCGCTGAGCCAAACCGGCCAGGGCTAGAAAACACTTTTTCTGTCTTTTATCTAACAAAGCATCCTGGTCTCTAAAGGAATTAGAACCTGTGCTTTTTGAGATCCATGTGTGAAAATGAGAGACTTTTGCAGAAATTCACTTCTTAGGATCTGGAGGGTTTGCTCCTCAGGAGCTCTGTCTGTCTGGTTCTCCTCTGTAATGTAAGACATGGCCTCTTAGATAACCTTGAAATCTGTTCCCTTATCTAGTGATCTTGTCTTTGAAATGAGAGTAAGGTATGACTAAAGAATTCCTTTTTTAAAAGCCAATAGGTTGAGTTTTTGCTCAATTATAACATTTTTATAAAATCTTCCAGACTGTATTCTCCCTAATTGATATCACACTAGCAAAATTTCTGCATATTTTAGGCCTCTGCAGACAAAACAGAGGAATTTGCATCAGTAATATTTTCAGGTCAGAAATTTCTTGTGTCTCTTCCCTATTTGCAGGGTTGGTGTTTAAAAACACATCAAAGCCACCCTGGCTGGTTTGGCTCAGTGGTTGAAGCCTCCGCCTGCGGTCCCGAGAGACCCAAGTTCGGTTCCCACTAAGGGCATGTACCTTGGTTGCCGTTTGTCCCAGGCCCGGGTTGGTTGTGTGGGTGGCAACCACTCGATGTGTCCCTTTCACGTCGATGTTTCTCTCTCTCTCTCTCTCTCTCTCTCTTTTCCTCTCTCTCCCTCCCACTCTATCTGAACAAAAAATGGAAAAATGTCCTCAGGTGAAGATTAAAAAAAAAAGCCCTGGCTGGTTTGGCTCAGCGGTTAGAGTGTCGGCCTGCGGTCCAGAAAAGTGTTCCGCTGCAGTATCTGCTCTCATCCAACTTTACTAGAATTGTGAGGCTAAAACTAGGTAACAAACATTTTAAATAATGATTTTTTGATAAAGATGTTTTTTCCTAATCTCCATGCAACCTTTAAAAAGAATTCTCCAGACCACTTTATTAAACGTAAATTCTTGTCTGCAGCTTGTATGGTCATACCAGTGTAGATTTTAGAGCATTGAAAAATCAATCAGAATTCACACACACACTTTTATTGTTGCCACCCCTCAGCCTTTTTCCTAGTGTGAATAAGTAGTTGCTTCTTTCAGGAACCTGTAGATAGGTGTGAATGAATGGACACCCTTGAAATGTGCCCGAGTATGAAGAATTGTAAACACAATAAAAATGACTCGGGTGTGCTGGCTGTTTCCTTTTACTTCCGCTGTTGTGAAAGTAATTTTCTTGATTAAGTCCTGGAATTCAAAAAGTTTAAATTTGACAATTTATTTAAAAAAATAAATGTCTCCAGGGCTGGAGGAAGTTCTCTGCTAACCAATCTCCACCAATTATTAGGGAACAATTTATTTTTTGTCTCATTATGTTTAACTTTCTTTTCTAAAGTTAACCCAACTAATTCCCTTTGAACAGAAGCTGTTGCTATATGGTAGCAACACTGCATTTCTTAGGTGTTTTTAAACATGGGAAGTCACACTCTACATTTCCATGACATAGTTGCGGAATTAAAAATGTGTGTGTGATTGTTGCATTCCTCTAAACAAAGGTAAAGACCGACAGGACTTTAAAGTAGAATTAATCATATAAAAATCTGAGCTACCTGAGAAAATGAAAATAGAAGTAGAAAATAGTTTTCCTTTGAGAAGAAGGTGGTGAAGAACCGGCCAACCGCAACTGCAGACGCTCGCCCGGGGCTGTTTCTCATTCAGGAGGTCCCGCCCCCTTCCGGGTCTCCCCTCCCCCCAAGTCCAATCAAAGGATTAGCCTACAGGTTTGGAAACAACAGCAGTTTGAGTTGAAGGTTTTGTTGTTGTTTTTTTTCCTCCCCGTTGTGTTTAAATGCAGGAACTGGAGAAGTCTTTGGCCAACTGGACCCAGAACTTGAAAGAACTTCTCACTATGAAAGCCGACCTAAGCCAGCACATTCTGGTGGAGGACGTGATGGTTCTGAAGGAGCAAATAGAGCATCTGCACAGACAATGGGAGGACCTCTGCGTGAGAGTAAGTCAGCTCACTGCAGGGCACGGCCATTCGGGAGGTTACTGAAACGTCTCTGAAGGCCCGGCAAAGTAGAAAGAAGCTTAATTTCACTGAACCGGAGGCCCTTTTCCGCTGGAGCCCGGCCGGCTGCTGTTCCTTTGGTGGCAGCAACACGGTCTAGCAGGTTTGACCCTTTGTTTCTCCAGCACTCAGGGCTGGGACTTGGCACATTTTTAATGAGTCTTTTAAAAAATCATGTTAAGTGTGTGCGGAGGACAGGAGGAGGCTGCAGTATGATTCCCCATGTGGGCTGTGCTCTCTGTCTTGTGCAGATGACAGGCACTAATCTGTGTTAGAAGGAGGACTCGGAAGGGACCTCTTCTAGACTTAGAGCATCTCTCCTGGGCCGAGTCCTACTCAGTGCCCCGCACAGGCCGCCTGTTGTCCCAGAACTCTGTATTCATGTGCACCCGATGTTTATGTCAAGTCGACGGTTTTTAAAACTTTGTAGAAGAAAGGATCTGCCGCTGTGCTCACTGTGTCGGGCTCGCTTCCGGCTGAGGGTGGGTTGTGGTTAGGGTATTCTGCCAGGTTTGTGACAGGTCTTCATTTTACTAACATGTAATTCTAAGAAAAATAAACTCCTGAATCTCATTTTTGTGAATTACAAGATGTCTTTGTGTTGAAATTCAGACACTTTCGAATGCATTTTAGTAAAAAATAGTTTTCCTTCTTGATTTTAATAATTAATATTCACAATGTACTTTACTTTTAAATGTCCTTTCAGAATTTTCATTCAACTTTTATATAAAAGAAAATATTTAGAGAATGTGAAAAGTATCCTGTAAGTTAAGCCGACTGGGGTCCAGATGTTCCTAATTGTTACCATGATGAAGCCTACAAAGTGAGGCCGAGCAAACAAACTGCCAGGGTTTTGTAGAACCAAGATGAATAGATGCCCTGAGGAACAGAAACACTAAACTTGGTGTGGGGGGCATAGTCCTTTGTGCCTTTTAACACATCTGGTGGGGTGGGCGTGCAGGCGCTAGACATTTTGCCTCGCCCTGAAAGGAGCAGAGGTGTTTTTGACAGATCTCTGGGAGTTCAGCCGTAGTTTCCCTGTCGCTCCTGTGGGTGCTAGAACTGCCAGAAGAACTCTTTAGCTGCCCCTTTTAACACTAGGATTCAAAAGATTTTTAACACCTGAGAAGACTTACTTTTAGAAAGGCTGATTTCATTCTTTAAATTTATTTATGGAAGGAGTAAATTTGAATCTTGGAAGGAGGAAGACCTTTACTGATAGCAGCGCAGGGGCTGCTTGTGTATAATGGAGCACTGGGTGTTTGGGGGTCAGCCTGCTCGCTGCAGACCAGTATTCTGTCCCATCCCCGTGTTTCTCTCCAAAGCGGTAGCACACTGTGGGAAGGGGAATTACATGAGTGATGTACACTGTTTTTCAATCTTATTTTGCTTTGTTTTTGTTTTGAAATACAATTTAGACTAGAATGTCTAAATGACTTTAATTTTCATGGTCCATTTTAATTACAAATGTTAGATTTATAATTTGATCTATAGTATAGTTTTTTTTTAATCCTCACCTGAGGATATTTTTCCATTGATTTTTTTAGAGAGAGTGGCAGGGAGGGAAGGAAAGAGAAAGAGAGATCAGTGTGAGAGAGAGACATCCCCACAGGACCTGGCCGGGGATCAAGCCTGCAACCCAGGTACTTGCCCTTGACTGGGAATCGAACCCGAGACCCTTTGATCCAAGGGCTGATGCTCTAACTGGCCAGGGCCTGATGTGTACTATAGTTGTTATTGTTTTTTTAATTAAATAGGCAATGTCATTGTCCTAAAGTAGGTAGAAAGACTTGATCATTTTTAAAAGGAAAAGGATTTGGGTCATAAAGTTATAAATTAGCATGTAGCAAACATCCAATGAATGTATACTGAAAGAACAGGAAGAGAAGAAATTCAGGTGATGCTTCAGGTATTCTTCTAACCTTTTCTGTTTCTAATTTTTAATAGAACGTTGGTCAGACAATTTAGGTACAGTCTTTATTTTGTTGCTTTTTATGACATTTATCAAAGGAGTAAGACAATTCTGTTGTTAAACCCTAGGAGTTTAAGAGGCAAAAGCAGTAATTTAAGTCTGTAGGACTACTGATTAAACTGAATGAAATCCGTAGTCCTTTTGATGGAGTAAAGGGAAGGGACAGGCTTTCCTTCCCGCCTGTTCTCAGCGGCCGCATGCATTTCATTTCCAGGTGGCGATACGCAAACAGGAGATCGAAGACAGACTCAATTCATGGATTGTGTTCAATGAAAAAAATAAAGAGTTGTGTGCATGGCTGGTGCAGATGGAAAACAAAGTTCTGCAGACAGCAGATATTAGCATCGAAGAAATGATTGAGAAGTTACAGAAGGTGAGCAACAGTAGCCGGATGAACGCAGCTCCCCTGCAACGGGATTCTCTGCCCTTCTCTCTGCCCTCCTCTCTCCCTGCCCTCCTCCCTGCCCTCCTCTCTCTCTGCCCTCCTCTCTCCCTGCCCTCCTCCCTGCCCTCCTCTCTCTCTGCCCTCCTCTCTCTCTGCCCTCCTCCCTGCCCTCCTCTCTCCCTGCCTTCCTCTCTCTCTGCCCTCCTCCCTGCCCTCCTCCCGCCCTCCTCTCTCTACCCTCCTCCCTGCCCTCCTCCCGCCCTCCTCTCTCCCTGCCTTCCTCTCTCTCTGCCCTCCTCTCTCTCTGCCCTCCTCCCCTCCCTCCTCTCTCCCCACCCTCCTCTCTCTCTGCCCTCCTCTCTGCCCTCCTCTCTCTCTGCCCTCCTCTCTCTCTGCCCTCCTCCCCGCCCTCCTCTCTCTCTGCCCTCCTCTCTCCCTGCCCTCCTCCCTGCCCTCCTCTCTCTCTGCCCTCCTCTCTCCCTGCCCTCCTCCCTGCCCTCCTCTCTCCCTGCCCTCCTCTCTCTCTGCCCTCCTCCCTGCCCTCCTCTCTCCCTGCCTTCCTCTCTCTCTGCCCTCCTCCCTGCCCTCCTCCCGCCCTCCTCTCTCTCTGCCCTCCTCCATGCCCTCCTCCCGCCCTCCTCTCTCTACCCTCCTCCCTGCCCTCCTCCCGCCCTCCTCTCTCTACCCTCCTCCCTGCCCTCCTCCCGCCCTCCTCTCTCCCTGCCTTCCTCTCTCTCTGCCCTCCTCTCTCTCTGCCCTCCTCTCTGCCCTCCTCTCTCTCTGCCCTCCTCTCTGCCCTCCTCTCTCTCTGCCCTCCTCTCTGCCCTCCTCTCTCTCTGCCCTCCTCTCTCTCTGCCCTCCTCCCTGCCCTCCTCTCTCTCTGCCCTCCTCTCTCTCTGCCCTCCTCTCTCTCTGCCCTCCACCCCGCCCTCCTCTCTCTCTGCCCTCCTCTCTCCCTGCCCTCCTTCCCGCCCTCCTCTCTCTCTGCCCTCCTCCCCGCCCTCCCCTCTCTCTGCCCTCCTCTCTCTCTGCCCTCCACCCCGCCCTCCTCTCTCTCTGCCCTACTCTCTCTCTGCCCTCCACCCCGCCCTCCTCTCTCTCTGCCCTCCTCTCTCCCTGCCCTCCTCTCTCTCTGCCCTCCACCCCGCCCTCTTCTCTCTCTGCCCTCCTCTCTCTCTGCCCTCCTCCCCGCCCTCCTCTCTCTCTGCCCTCCTCTCTCCCTGCCCTCCTCCCTGCCCTCCTCTCTCCCTGCCCTCCTCTCTCTCTGCCCTCCTCTCTCTCTGCCCTCCACCCCGCCCTCCTCTCTCTCTGCCCTCCTCTCTCTCTGCCCTCCTCCCCGCCCTCCTCTCTCTCTGCCCTCCTCCCTGCCCTCCTCTCTCCCTGCCCTCCTCTCTCTCTGCCCTCCACCCCGCCCTCCTCTCTCTCTGCCCTCCTCTCTCCCTGCCCTCCTCCCTGCCTTCCTCTCTCTCTGCCCTCCTCCCTGCCCTCCTCTCTCTCTGCCCTCCTCTCTCTCTGCCCTCCTCCCTGCCCTCCTCTCTCTCTGCCCTCCTCCCTGCCCTGCTCCCTGCCTTCCTCTCTCTCTGCCCTCCTCTCTCTCTGCCCTCCTCTCTGCCCTCCTCCCTGCCCTCCTCCCTGCCCTCCTCTCTCTCTGCCCTCCTCTCTGCCCTCCTCTCTCTCTGCCCTCCTCCCTGCCCTCCTCTCTCTCTGCCCTCCTCTCTGCCCTCCTCTCTCTCTGCCCTCCTCCCTGCCTTCCTCTCTCTCTGCCCTCCTCTCTCTCTGCCCTCCTCCCTGCCCTCCTCTCTCTCTGCCCTCCTCTCTGCCCTCCTCTCTCTCTGCCCTCCTCCCTGCCCTCCTCTCTCTCTGCCCTCCTCTCTCTCTGCCCTCCTCCCTGCCTTCCTCTCTCTCTGCCCTCCTCTCTGCCCTCCTCCCTGCCCTGCTCCCTGCCCTCCTCTCTCTCTGTCCTCCTCTCTCTCTGCCCTCCTCTCTGCCCTCCTCCCTGCCCTCCTCCCTGCCCTGCTCCCTGCCCTCCTCTCTCTCTGCCCTCCTCCCTGCCCTCCTCCCTGCCCTGCTCCCTGCCCTCCTCTCTCTCTGCCCTCCTCCCCGCCCTCCTCCACGCCGTCCTCACTGCCAGGCTTAGGATGGTGTGTGGTGGGTGTGCTTCCAATAACATTTTAAGAATGTTAAGGGACTGTCTCTCTCTTTCTCTTCCTTCTTAGAGAAGAGCTGGTAAGTAGGGATTCCAGAAAGATGGGGAGTGCGGGGCCATTCTAGTGGGCGTGGTGCCGTGTACCAAGGGGAGTTCTTTTCTCTCCCGAAGTCTGGCCAGAGCAGGGGCTCGCATCTCCTTAGCATCTGTTCCAACCCTGAGTGAGTTATGGCTTTTCTGGTCGGCGGTATACAGAGCTCCCCTTGCCTAAGGGCAGAGGCCAACAGTAATGGGGCTCATAACTTTGAAACAGTTACTACCTCCCCCAGAGAAAGGTAGAAATGTTCTTGTCCCCCAGGAGAACTCTTACTGATATTAGGCTCATTTAGTTGTACTCAGTTGCCCTCAACGCCCAACTGGTGAGATTAGAAGAAATCTGTGAGGGGAAACCAGGGCTGTTGAATTAAGACAGTAACTCTTGTCATACAAACTACATGTGTGCTGAATGGGCATTGTTTGAATTGTTAGCTACTCACTGAAGAGTTGTGTTAACAGGTGTGATGCCCTGGTCAGTGTTGTTTAGTGGTTAGAGCGTCAGCCCATGCAGCACAGGGTCTCGGGTTTGATTCCCGGTCAAGGGCATATACCTGGGCTGCAGGTTTGATCCCCGGCCCAGGTTGGGGCACATGCAGGAGGCAGCCAATCGATGCGTCTCTCACATCAATGTTTCTCTCTCCCCATCTCCCTCCCACCTCCCTTCCACTCTCTTTAAAAAAAAAATTTAATGGAAAAATATATCCTCCATGAGGATTAAAAACAACAACAACAAAAACGGGTGTGAGAAGTTTTTTAATTAAATTTTTTTTCAAGAAGTAACTGTATTTATTGCCTGGCAAAGAAGTGAATTTGGGGCAGTAACTGAAGCTTTGTTTTGGTGCCTTTGCCAGGACTGCATGGAAGAAATAAACTTGTTCAGTGAGAACAAGTTACAGTTAAAGCACATGGGTGACCAGTTGATCAAGGCCAGCAGCAAGACCAGAGCAGCCGAGATCGATGACAAGCTCCATAAGATCAACGACCGCTGGCAGCATCTTTTCGATGTCATTGGGTCAAGGTAAGAAATGTCCTAAAAATAGTTATGACTGCCGGTACAGTGGTTTCTCCACCCATCTAGAAACTGAGCCCAGTCTTCCTCTGAGGTGGTCCAGAAGTTTTATAAACTTACAGATAAAGGTAAAGTTTGGTAAACATTAGTGGAAATTCTTGCTTCAACAATATAGAAAGATGATATTTTAGTATACCCCACTTTGATACGTGTTTGGTTTGTTTTTTTTCCCTTTAGCTTAAAATTTCACATGAATTAGATTAGGTTAAAACGAGAGTTAGAAACTTAATTTGAAAAGAGATCCTGAAGGTATTGTTTAGAAATTCTAACTCGGCTTTAGGACCTGCTTGTCCCCAGATGAAACCATGCCTGCCAGTCCCTGCTGTGGGTGGCACATGCCGCAGGTCAGGGCACTGGCCTGACCTCTCGGTGCTGGTCCGGAGGCAGGGGCTTGGCACACTCGAGGCGGAGGTCCTCCATGAGTGCCAGGTGTGCCGAGTGCCCGTGGGCATCTGGTCCGAAGGCGGGGACTTAGGAGGCACGGCTGTGGCTACAGATCAAAGCTATGTTCTCCAGAGCAACCTTATCAGACACAAGACTGATCATTTTATCTGCTCCAAAATGATGGTGATGATGCCACGGGAAGCTTTGAAATGTTTTCTGTTTTCAAATTCTTTCTCCAAAGACAGGCCCCAATCAAAGTTTTTATTTAACTACAACCTGACATCCAAAAAAAAGTCTCTCCGCTTCAGGCCCACTCGTGCAACTTTGTGTTGCCTGGTCCAGCGAGTCTTTGTTTTGAACACACAATAATGGGGAATATATGAGAGAACTTGTAAGGTGACGGAAGTATTGGGGTGTAATGAAAATAGATACTCTTAGTACTTTGGCATTTCCTTTACCTCACTATTTACCGTCAACGATAAGTAAACTTGCAGCAAAGGCACCAGGCTAAGTACCGTGAGAATTACAGACAGGAAGTGAGATGAGTCAATTACATCAATGGGAGCCGACATCTGAGCAGCTATTAAGCCAAGTGGTTTGAGGGCTCATATCTCATCTTCCTGAAGAGAGGGCGGGGACTAGGAAGAGCCTCACAGAAGAGTGCTCCCCGATGGTCAGGCGTGACAGTTGGGGTTCCTGAGAGTTACCATGTGGAGAGAGACGTGAGCAGAAAGTTGCAGGAGAAAACAGTGTGGAAGTTGTTCAGGAAGCCTGGGGCGTGGGAGATGAAGCTACCACGGCAGACTGGAGCTAAGCCCTAGAAGACCTTAAATCTCAACTTCAGACCTGCGTCCTAAATCAACTCTGAGTCATTCGTGGACTTTTAGCAGTGGGGGGGTCTGCCGAAGACAAGTATTAGGGCAGCTTGGCTGGCAGCATCAGCTGGGCTGAATCCAGCTTCTCTCTACTGCCAGTTAAAAAATAATCTATGGCAGTCCATGGCGGTAAGCCAAGTCAAGACCAAGAGCACAGGTTCCAAGTCCATGCTGACTTGATCACGTACTCATCGTGGAAACTTGAACAGTGAGTTAATCTTTCTAAGCCTCAATTTCCAAATCTGCATAATGTTCTTAACAGCACTGTTCACAGCAGAGGCTCCTGTGAGGACGAATGACAGGTGTCTGGCGTTCGGCACAGGGCCAGCGTGTGGGGGCCAGCGTGTGGGAGCCAGCGTTTATTGAGTGGTTATCATTGTTTTCCCCTAAAAAGACTTTAAGACTAAGGAGCGTGTTGAGGAGAAGAGGATTCCCCTAGCTGTGCCTAATAGTGAGAGAGGTCTTTCCCCCATGAGACCAGTGTCTTTGGCTGTGGCCTTCACAGCTCTTAGACAGGGCTTCGGATATTTGTTGAAATGAATGAACATTTTGGTGCATAAGAATAAGATCATTTCTGCTGGGTAAACTGTATCTAGTATGTCTTTGTGGACATTGTCTTTGTATCTTAAGTCTTCTTGGGCTCCTGGCACTAACTGAGGGTATGGTGACATTGTACCTGGTCACGGACTCTGCTTCCTGAAGACTAGAGTGGCCGTCCACTCTTAATTATTAATGATTTGGTTATATCATATCACTTCGGAGTGTAATAGGCCATTTGCTTTCTCTCTTCTCTCTGGCTACCTGTCTTCAGCCAGTTTCTTGGTGAGAAAGAAAAAGGTAGTAAGTAAAATTTCAGTGGTCTTTTTGAAGGAGCGAAGGAGCAACTGGTAAAACAAGGAGTTGAAATAAATGGCAAGTATATTGTCTGCCAGTATTTTCTTAACAATGTGCTTGATTTTATTTAATTTTCATTGAAATTCTGAAAGGTAGATACCATTATCCTGTTTTACAGATAATGAAACTGAGGCACTCGAGTTAAATAATACGCCCATAGTTACAGCCAGTATGCGAAGCAACCAGGACTCCAACTCGGGCATTTGTGTTGCTTTCCCGTAACCCCAGGCCCTTCTAGTTTGTTACGTTGAAATGACCCAACAACCCTTTAAAACTTAGGAACTAGGGAGGGAATAACTTACTTCCCTAAAGCCAAGACGAGGCTGAGAAAGCTGGCTGGGAGTCTAGGAAGCCGAGTTGAGTTTGCCCTTCAGGTGAATCTGTGGATTGAGGCAGCAAGCTTGGATCTGCCTTACATCAGCCTCTGTACAATCAGCTCCGTGTCTGGCCTCTGACACTGATCACGCCATCATCAGGGAAGTTGGGGAGCATAGCTGCAGAATGTGGATTTGAACAGTGCCGACTGGAACCTGCAACCCTGCAGGGTGCACTAAGGCTTCATTTGCCCAGAGGATTCTGGACACTGTTTAACTTTCCCCCCGCTCACGGTGCCTGCCGTTTCACTCCTGTGGGAGGGGACAGCATGGCTCCTTTAAAATGGTGAGCTTGGGGGGGGACCCCACACAGGTGCCCAGCCCCATGATTTCAGGATTTTAATTTCAGGCCTTTAATACGAATGGTATTCAGAAGTCCAAGACCTCAATAAATCAGGTTTAATTCGCTGGAAAAAAAAAAAAAAGACCTGTTGTTTCATGTTCATTCTCAGCATAATAGAGGAGAATTCCAGGGTTACTTAAATGCACATTAAATTCCTGATCATTTCAGGTAGTGAATAGGGGCAGAAGCCAGTGTTGTGTACTTGTAAGTGCAAGTGTATATGTGATTTCATCTCCTTCTTTGCAAGGTCGGGGTCCTCCAGTTTTCAGAGAGGAGCATTCAGCTCAGGAGGGTGTTCATTGATGCAGGGCACCGTGTGGGCTACACACGGCAGGGGAGCAAGGTCCGTCGATCCCCCCGCACCTGCATCAGAGGAGCACTTGGCTCCTTTGAGACCTTGGCTTTTAAAGGGAGTTTATCAGAATTTTTCTGAAACGGAGAACTCCATGTAGAATTCACCGTTTGTTGTAGAGCAGTGTTCTCAGTCTTAAATGTGCATCAGCATCCCGAGGGCTCATGAAAACATGGGCTCGCGTCTGTGGGGCCGGGTGGGGCCGAGAGTGTGCCGTTCTAACAAGTGTCCAGTGTTGCAGGGGCGCTGGTCTGGGAACACAGAGCGAGCATCAGGGAGCAGGGACATGGTGCTACACCTGGTCAGACGTCCTGGACCTGCCCCTTCCTGTGAACAGGTCCTGTGGCCACTGTGTGCCTCGGTTTCCCCATTACAAGATCCTGGGTGAAAAGCACCAGGACAACGATGCGTATGCTGGTAGCCTCTGGCGAGGTTTAATATGGCTACACAGGGTGGGGCAGAAGTGGTTTACAGCTGTTCATATGGAAAATAATACAGTAATTGCCCTGGCTGGTTTGGCTCAGCGGTTAGAACAACAGCCCGCGGACCAGAGAGACCCGGGTTTGGTTCCTGCTAAGGGCACGTACCTTGGTTGCAGTTTGTCCCTGGCCCCGGTTGGGGGCGTGTGGGTGGCAACCACTCGATGTGTCTCTCACGTCAATGTTTCTCTCGCTCTCTCTCCCTCCCTCTCTCTCTCCTGCTCAATCTCAAGATAAATGCAAAAATGTCCTCAGGTGAAAATAATACAATATTTAATAAATAATAATACAAGAATAAACTCTCTCTCCCTGGCCAGTTTGGCTCAGCTGTTAGAATGTCACCCTCAGAACAAAGGGTCGCAGGTTCGATTCCTGGTCAAAAACATGTACCTGGGCCCTGGCCGGTTTGGCTCAGTGGTTAGAGCGTCGGCCTGCGGTCCTGAGAGACCCGGGTTCGGTTTCCGCTAAGGGCACGTACCTCGGTTGCAGTTTGTCCCCCGCCCTGGTTGGGTTGTGCGGGTGGCAGCCACTCGATGTGTCCCTTCACATCGATGTTTCTCTCTCTCTCTCTCTGTTCCTCTCTCTCCCTCCCACTCTATCTGAACAAAAAATGGAAAAATGTCCTCGGGTGAGGATAAAAAAACAAAAACAAAAACATGTACCTGGGTTGCAGGTTTGATCCTCTACCCTGGTCAGGGTCATGTAGGAATCAACCAATCAGTGTGTCTTTCTCACATCCATCCATCTTTCTTTCTTTCTTTCTCTCTCTCTCTCTCTCTCTCTCTCTCTCCCCCTCTCTCCCCCTCTCCCCCTCTCCCTCTTTTCCCCCCCTCCCCCATTCTATCTAAAAATCAGTGGGAAATTATCCTTGGGTGAAGATTAACAAAAAAAAGAAAAAGAATAAACTCTGTTTCATGTACTCAAAACTATAAACCTACTTTCTCCCCACCCTGTATATAAATAAGGGGGGTGGGGCTTAGATCCAAACAACTGTTTTTCTTCTACTGATAAAGGTTCTTCAGCTTCTATAAAACCCTTAAGGCAAAGAACCTGAAGGATGCATGTGAAATAACCAAATAATCCAGGCGGGTAGTGGAGCCCAAGTCAGCCCTGATGCTGACTTCTCACTATGGCCGCGTAGGCCTGGTGTAGGCACTGACGTTCTCGGCTCGGCTGTCAGAACTGCAGGAGCCCTCCGAGTCCTCGTGGATCCGAGGGCCGCGTCTGAGCTTGTGACATCTGAGCTCG